ATTATTCCCTCTCTAATTACTTCTTCCAAATTATATTTTCAATATCAAATCAATTATATAACGAGTATTTATGAGACTCTAGAATAAAAACTGGCTGAGAAGAAAAGACATTTTGCCTAAAATTCCTCGTCACAATAAACAAAAAAGTACGTATTGATAAACTATCACACTACGGTATCCTTCAACTTACTTTTGATTCCATTGTAAAAAAAAAAACACTCACCGGTTTTTCTTCAATTTAAGAATCTTTACAGAAATATGCAAATCGTTTGATGATGTAAATATGATAATGACACTAGACTATTTATTATTTATTTTAGGAGAATTTATATGTATGTATTTCTTTTTGAACAATTTTAGCCCCCAAACTTGTTTTGGGTTATTCTTCATAAATCAAATGGATCGTGACAAAGACTATCTTCTTGAGCTGCTAGTATCGCGATATATTGATATCATGTCTGTCATGGCTTTGTGAAACGGTTTATCCACTTCATGACATCTCCGTAGGTCGGCAACAAAGATATGACTGTCATGGAGTTGGTTTCGAGAAACGGCCCCCTGCATAGCGATGCGTGCAATCTCTAGTCTAGTAGAGTAAAGGAGCCGGTTTTCGGCCACTTAAGACAAGGGGGGGGTGGTGGTGAGCACATTTTTTTTTTTTTTGGTCCTCAAAAAAATTTCAATTTGCACTCCCCCCTTGAGCGCCAGGGGGGGGGGGGGGCCCAAACCCCCAAAAAGGTAAAAATCACGTGATTTTACATGATTTTTTTCTCAAGGGGGGGGGGGCCCGGGTCCCCCGGGCCCCCCCTGGATCCGCCACTAGTTGTTGTTTTAGTTTATAGGCGTTTCTCATTCAGAAGTGAATATTTATGCCTCTTCTCTTAGGATTTTTATTCTTTTAAAATTAGATTTAGTTTTTTTGATATATAGATTTGGATAAATTGGATTTTTAAAAGCTAAACTTTTGTTTAATGTTGAAGAATTCAGTGGCTGGCGAGCAAAAGGCTTATCGGCTATAAATCACATCCCTTCTAGTCTACGCCAAAGGCAAAATGATTATAACGGAAAAACTGTGCATGTCTTTACGAACTCATACATGTAGCTCGGTTTATGAGATGTAACCTTGGATTGGACTGAGCGGAGCGCACGCCTCCTTAATTAGCTGATCCAACAAATAAGGGGAAGGGTATTTTTAAACTGTTATGCCGAGTGATCTCTTGGGGCTAGCGAAAAAATAAGTGCATAGATATTTTCCTTACGTCTAGCCGGACATAAGCCCGGGGGGCACGGTTCAACAAAGTGGCAAATTTTGGAGCTAGGATGCAAACAACATTTCAATTGCTGTTTTGACTAAAATATTTTTAGAATTTCGGGGTGCGCCCCTTTGGGGAATATGGAGAAAAACTTGCTCTTTCATATGACACCTCATTTTTTGAATTTCACCTTCAGGATCACGAGGAATAAAGGTTTGAATTTCAATTTGTTCATAAAATCAGTGACCAACTTTCATGGTCGCTCAATGCACGTAGACTGCATAGGGATGCGTGCAATCTGTATGGGAAGGATTTTAGTACGGGCGTGCGTAATCAGACACCCTAAAATTGCAACTCGAAGTAAAATCGCTCGAGTTTTTAGAGACTGATTTGGGATACTTCTCCCGTAGTACATGTAGTATGGTGGTGGCAAAAACAAAAAAAATCAACAAAAAAAATAATAAAAAAAACCCCATGGCGTCCGAATATTTGAGTATCCGCCTGTAAGCCTGGGAGTGTACTCGAGTACATGTACCTCATTACACGGTTATGCACAGCCTTAATGTAGATATGCAAGAATATTAAAACTTCAACAAATCTCATGAATTTTCCATTTATTGCACAAAGATATTACTGACATGAAAAATTAGGAAGAACATTTGATACACAGCAAAATTTACAAACAACTGACATAGCAGATCCAGCTAGCTGGAAGCGATGGAAACTATGGTTTGGCCGGAGGACAAAATAGAATCAAATGGTGGCCTGCTAAAACTAAAACAAGCAAACTGAACAAGCAGAATAATACCAACAGTGAGGTGCCTGAATCATTTTTCTATCTTACCTTATGATTTTTTAATCTTAAATTAGTTTTTTTGTTGCAAGTGAACATAATTTAGAAACAGGTCTTGGCTGATATGTACATTTACATGTAGGCAAGAGGCATCAGCTGATATTGTGAAAATGTGCCCATACGCTAAGTTACAATCAAATTCTTCACAATTTACTTGCTTGCGTGGCTTTGCTATTACATTAAATTGTTTGCACTTCCATTTGACGTCGTGGTCCAGACAAAATTTCAGTATTTTAAAGTTCATTACAAATCTGGTCACCCTGGTACAGTACCTTACATGTACTCAACAGATTTGAGGTCATTGTTTACGTTGATTGGCCATATACTCTTTATAAATAGAACTCGAGGTCTATTTTTGTTGCTTTGTTACAATCAAGTTATTCTTTAATTTCCTAATCAATGGTTGTGTTTGTGGAAGGGATTATTGATAAAGTGATCTTGGCTGGTCAGCAATCTACGTTGTACTAATTTAAACACCCTGGTTTACCTGTGCAAGGATCTTTGACCAGATATTTGCTACAGTGACAATTTCTCCAGGTCAAAAGTACAAGGTTAGGTTTAGGTTCAGGATTACATGTACAGGGGGTGTTTCACAAAGACTAAGATCAACTTTAAGTTGGACTAATATATGGCAGGCCGTTCATGCCACTGTTTTTGCTCTCACCATTATGAACTTGAGAGAATGTTTGTTTCTTCTATAATGAATTATAAAAAAATTCAAAAAATTCTGTAGATTTGTGACCTTGATGTGTATCTCCTTTGAGAGACCAATGCAAGTAAATGGTGAGAGAAAATTGTGGGATGAATGGCCTGCCATAGTTAAGTGCAACTTAGAGTTGATCTTAGTCTTTGTGAAACACCCCCCAGGTACATGTACATGTACTTTATAGTGTTGGGTCCAGGATGGAAGTGAGGAGTTGGTTATTGTAGGAAAATGCCTTGGGGATTAGGATTGCAATAAGCCAGTTCACGGTTGCAGTCTGAGCACGAGCAGATAAAGGTCATTGCAGAACAAATTGTGAAATACACGGAGACGAAATACTGGATACGTGCTCATGAAAGTTATGTAATCATTATTCATTTACATGTATGCACTCCATAATACACAGGTGGAAGTATTCTTTGAAAAGGGGAAACAAAGGCTATTTATGTAGCACCTCCATCGCTGTAGGAGTGATTATTTCAAAATGTACAAAGTGGGACCTCTTCATGTTTTGAAGATCTGTGGATATTCGGGGTCATTTCAGTAACTCTCTAACCGTGAACTGGTCTATTGGATTAAACATTGGTTAGGGATAAGTAGAGTTGGATCCAAGGATAGAAATTTAGGAATTTGGTTAGTGTAGGAAGGTGGAGCAACGGGATATGAAATGCTGAAACGTATGGCTAAAGACCGAAGTACTTGGAGAGACACTTGAAGTAGAACTCTGATTGGGTCACTGAACCTGTCATAATTAAACTGACAGATCACTATTGAGAGGAAGTTACCTCAGAGCAACCCACAGCGTATACTCCTGGGAGGGCAACAAGCACTCATTACATGCATACACTCTTGTAGTTGATTGGCTTTAAAATCTATCTACATACATGTATGTAACTCCTTAAACAAACAAAAAAGAATATCAGAGGTTCTGTTGTAATAATGTCATATTTGGGCCATTCAAAAAATGTTCATGTGTAGCTTCCCCACCCGCTTCTATTTTTTTTTTGTGGGGGGGGGGGGGGGACGCCTCCCTTTTTTTTTTTTTTTTTTTTTTAAATTTAAAAAAAAAAAAAAAAAAAAGCTAAAATTATCTATTTCTGATTTTAAAAAAGATAAAAAAAAAGACCCGCAGCCATCTTCAAAAATAGCCCGACTGTCAGGGAAAATGTACCAAACGGCCATTTTGAAAACAAAACAAAAAAGGGCCTCCCTATTTTTGAAAAAGGCAGGACGCTAAACATGTTTTTTTTTTTAATTTGGCCTTACACCATATCGTAATTGTAATTTTTTTAGTTCAAAATGTATAGCCAGAAAGTTAACCTAACTGAATACTACTCACAAGATTGACAGTCCATTAGAGCCCAATGTTGGGTGCCACAAAAGGGAAACCAACATTTTTCAGTCAGTGGCAATTATGATACCAGTAGAAAGCTAGGATGAGCATCCTTGCTGGTAGTATTATGGTACAGTGAAACATACATGTCAGGCAGTGAAATTCGCATTAGATTTATAAGGCGCAAAATCTACTTGAAATCAAATGCTGAAGAATGATGATGCACTACTGCGTAAGATGATTAAAAGAGTACAACATGAGAGATAGAACAATTATTTGTATTGGTCACTGACGAATTAGGGGATCTGCAGCGATCTGAAAATGACGGCAAATGGCATATCATGATCGACAATTTTGTTCTGTGGTGCAGACCAAAGGACGCACTGAACTTGAAAGTTTGGTCCAAACTTTTTAGCTGCACTTTTATTGTACATGTATTTCTTCTCATGTTAAATATTTGGTGGCATTCGATGAGCAAACCTTTTCAACTTAAATTTTTATTTTATCAAACTGATATACAAAAAGAATGTGAGAGCTCACAAAATATTTCTTATCTTCACCAGAACCAAAATGTTCTTGAACTGCAGACATTTTGTACATGTGTACATGTGCAAGGAAAATTCCTCTGCAATGTACATGTATTAAAGCTCACAACCTATCACAGAGACGTCCTGTATTAATACTGTACCCTCATATTTCTTTCATTTTTACCAATTTTATGACAGCACTTTTCCTATTTTGATACCCCTACTCTTCCTGTCTTCTAAATGTAATGGTATTTGAAGCCAAGACTCCTAAGCTACATACCAGCACATGTTGGCTTGGAAATAGTTTTACAGGGTAATAGATGATGGGGTGGGGTTTCTAAATAGATGAAGACTGAAAGCTAGAACATTATTCACTGCAGAACTTTGCCGATAGTGGACATACTGTCATTCAAGAGTAGTGGAATTTTCTACCTGTGCGCTTTAGTTGTGCTTTGAACTCAGTGTAAACAGTGTGTGCTTGTAAAGTGTAAGTATGACATTGTATTTGCTCAATGATTTTGAGGCATTCCTTTTTTTCATGGGCTATTTCTTTTGATTTTTTGTTCATGTAATTTTCAATGACATTGATTCATTTTTGTACATTCTTTTACAACTTTGAAAAAGTGTTCAAAATAACTTCAAATTGGTGAGGAGGACAAGCTACCGGTAATTCATTAAGACCTTAACAAAATTCTAAATTGCTATACATTGGTGATCTGGCGTGATCTGTTTACATTCATGTACATGAAGTACATTCATGTACACCTGTATGTCATCAGACATAATGTACCGTATGATGTCTATGCCCTTGGACCCCAGACAAAAATGTTTGTTTTCTTGATAAAAACTTCTGAAGTTCTGATAAGACCCAATATCAGATCAAGTGTTTGAGACATGATTGTTCTTCGTGCCAAGATTAAAATGTTTATTCTGTTCATCAATTCTCTAGAAATTTTGCACTTGTAAGCAAAAAGATTGTACAGGTGAAAGGTTAATTTGACTAAGGGGAATGTGATTGATGTAGAAGTTTTAGACCTTTGAAATTATCATTCACCGCAGGCAGTAGCAGCCCTTCAAATCCTCCTGGCATACACTGTACATGTACAAGTATTTAATGTCAACGGTAAGTTTCAATTGAATCTGTGACCATTTAATTTAGTACAAAATAATGTTCATTAAATTATTCACCAAATCGTTACAGGCCTCCTTCATTTGTGTTTTTCTAATTGGATGACCTTTACAACAGCTTAATGAATGAATTGTACTGTCACGGCACGCGCATTAAAAATAAAGTAAAAAATAGACTACAATACAACTTAGGCCAAAAGGTGCAAGTAGACTCTAGTCTAGAAAAGTTATCGTCACTGAAAGATTTCCGGTGATACTGATACTGAGTGATAGTTTAGTGATACTGATAGAATTTTTTTATTTCATCTTGATCTAAAAATGATGGCGCTTGTTCACAACTGTGACCATTTGGAGTGTACATACATGTACATGTATGTCCCTTTTCCACTTCAGTAGTTTATGTTTTAGATGATTCCTTACACAAACTTTTTTCCATACTCCACCTTTTATCCTCCCATCACAGATACTTGGTGACCGAACAGCAGAGAACGATCCACCAGAGATGTCTGCTTCGGCCGGGAAGGAAAGCGGCAAGGCTCCGCCCAGCCAGGGTGTGGCCCCGCCCAGCCAGGGCGTGGCAGCTGCTACATCCAATGGGAGTGCACCCCTTAGCAGGAAGTCGATGGATACGTCCCAGAAGAGGGTGCTCTTTCAGATCTCTGAGGACTCAACGATGGACGATTCGCCCCCTCAGACGCCCAACAACAACGGGGAGCTTTCGGACAGCGTCTTCACGGCGACAGAGACGGGAGCAAGCAACGGCAGTGATGTGGGAAACCTCAAACAGAAGAAACCTGGGAGGTATGTCTTAAACTTAAAGCCTGTCTGCACCAGTTTGGCCAGGAGGGATTAGACCTCCCTGCATGGTAGCTGACAGGTGGTTATCTCATCAAATCAGCTCTCATTTAACATAAGATAAAGGGGATCATGGGGGACCAACGGGTACCGCTTAGGCATTGTTTGCTTTAAAGAGGGCGCAAGTAGCTACAAGTAGTGCAGTCCCGCATTAACTCATTGAATACTGGATTCTCTGATCCCCATATACTTAATACACAAACCACCCAGTTCCTGTAGGCTATGGGTTAACCATGAAGTCTGGTATAGAGAGTCACAGTAATTCAACTACCGTAGCTATGGTTTGTTGTTGCTGGTAGTCTCATACCATCCCATCACGGGAGGCCTACAGTAGGTGGTTCGATCCAAATAATGATTCTTTAATCTGGTTTCTAGGAATAATTAGCACTTCTTTGACTAGTATTGCTTCTATAGATATTAGCTGAATTTCCTACTAATTAAAGTAAAACAAAAAGAGAGATGTAGATGAATTGATAGTTTACTTTTTTCTTAATAATTAAATTGTCCTCCCATGGAAATCACATTAACTTTCTAGAGTATTGAGAAGGATGCCCAGAAATGTTTTGTGGTAGCAGACAAGGAGACCAAAATTTAATGACGAGCATGGCTGAAGCTTTGATGATGATCTGTAGAAACAAAATATGAATTTTATTATCAATGGATTAAGTTCCAATTCTCTAGTAAATTTGATGGTCCAGTGCAGGTACTTTGCACAGTGAAAAAAATCAACAGGCAAAGATGGTGATTTTGAATTGGAAGGCTACAAAAAAGCTCTTACAGTGTATGAATCTAGGAGAAAAATGAAAATAAAAGAAAGAGAAAGAAAAAGAAAATTGAGAGGCGATATTTACATGTATATGGTCTGCATTGTACTTTGTACACCTGCTTGACACTGTACTTTAATTGTTAAATTGGAAATGAACATTCTAATAAAACAATAATGATACAATTTGGAGACATAAATTGTAAGGCATGACATTCTATCTAATATGATTGTGCTCGTAATTTATACTCTGTACTTTGTGTAATGATAATGTACTACTTGTTGAAATCACCTTTGTGATCCAGTGTTGCTAATGCAACAGCAAGCACTGCCATTGGAGCTTTTTTTGATGAAACTAAAGGCCGGGTCAAACTTTAGCGATAACGATAGCGAAAGCGTTAATGAAATAACTGTTCCCGAATTGGTCCCCTGCTGTTCACGTTGTAAATGCAATGTAATTTCATTGTACCTACATATACACATGTACATGTACAAGTAAGTCAGACCGCTGCGGTATTGAGCCACCCTCAGAGACTGTACAGGTCTCCTGGTCTAAAATAACCGGACTGTCAGGGACAAAATAAAATAAAATTGGGGGGGGGGGGGGGGGCTACTTTTTAAGATTACTTGCAGGAAAAAAACACTCTTTAATTTGTTTTGTATTGAACTCTATATTTTGGGGCTCTTTTATGACTCTTGTGGTTTTTTTTTTGCATTTCGGGGGCAAATTAGCCCGGAGCCCGTGTGTGATTTTTCCCCTGCTGACTGTGGTTCCAGTCCTGCAACAGCACTTTTGTCATTATTTTTACATTACTATGCCAGCATTAAAAAATATCATTATCACTCAGGTTTGACCAAGCCTGTTTTTCAAATTCCTTATCTTGCCGATGCCTTTTGATTTGCTACCCTCCCTCCCTTCCTTTCTGATGAGTACCTTGATCTATCCATCAATCCCGCCACGTTTCTTTGTTCTAGTCCAGGGAAAGATGCAGCCAAGTCCAGGTTTAGTGCCCTTGGCGCCCCTCACCTATGCCACCTCATCTCCTCTGTAATGTCAATGTCACCGGAGAAGTAAGGGTCACGACCTTTAGCGGGGTCATTGTCCCAACCTTTCGTTGAATGTTGAATGTGTTTTGTATTTGTGTAGTCCCTACCATTTGCAGTCAACTGTACATACTGTACAAACTGAGCTTTGAAATGAAGCTTTAATTATTAAAAGAGACCTAAAAATTGCTGAAATCTACAGAGCCTCATGTGGACATTTGAAATTATATGAGACCCATCAGTCATTATGTTCCTTTAGGGCTCAAGTAAATTATTAAAATTCTCACTGGCTCAGCCCCCCCCCCCCCCCCAAAAAAAAAAAAAGAAGAAAAAAAAGAAGAAGAAGAAGAATTGGTTCATTGTACCCTTTGTCTTGCATGATTAGAGGCTGATGAGAGCGCTGTGAAGCCAAAGAAGGGAAAAAGAAAGAAATTCCAGGACGGAATACGAGAAACTGACTTCAGTTTCTTTCATTATTTGCCCAACAGAAAGGGTGCTTACTTATTTTCTTGTAAAAGTCTTGAATTTCTGATTTTTATTTTATACAAATTATGATGAATCTGGACAATGAACAGACTACATTTTTTGTGTTTCATACACACTTGCAAATGTACACTCAAATTTCTCAAAGAATGATCAAAATTTTGGAATACAATTTTGAATTTTGTCAGTTGTCCACACATCTCTTTCAGATCTCTTGCTACGCATGCACCTCATTGTGTGCAGCATTCTAAAAGTGATACCATTTATTTACTTCATAACGTTGTGGACGAAAGAACTTTATTGATGGATTTAATTTACCCTACAATGTTGGGAAGAAACAAAAACAGTTGCACTGCAAATGGTAGATGTTGGATCGTTTTACTTATTTATTGTATGTTGCAAACTTGCATCTGATCCCACAGTGACTGCCTGAAAAGCCTGCAAGTAATCCTGTACATGTACTTACAATAGTTTTTTCTAGTTATTCTTGAATGCTTGAAATGGTATGCTCATTTTCTTTCCAAAAAAAAAGTTGTTTAATACTTTTATGTATTTATTCATTTGCTTTTCCCCTTTCCTGTTTCCATTTTATTGTTGAATGTTATGTTTCATATTCATTTTTGACCTTTACTTTACTGTTAAATTCTGGGCCTTGTCTTATAAAGTGTTTAATTGATCCCAACTATGTACATGTATATTAGAGATAGGAGATTGTAAACTTGCGAATGATTGGAGGGCTTTTGATTGATTTGGATCAATCCTAACTCTTTATAAGACGGGGTCCTGAACTATATATATATATATATATATATATATATATATATATATATATATATACCGGTGTGAACATTTACTTCTTTGTGGTCTTGTTTCCTCATGTCTAATGTACCATCTTGGTTCCATGTAGTCCATGTCAAGTAACAAAATGTCTACTAATCAACATTATTAATGATCCAGCTATATTAATAACTTTAATGTGTACGTATTTTCAGGTAACGAAAGTCAACACTAATATTGGAATATTTCAGACACAATATTTGTTTCTTAAAAAAAAAAAAAAAATGAGTCCCTAAATCAATAAGTGCACCTACTGTACATGTATCATCAAAACATTTTTGATCTTGATTTGTGTACATGTATTATGCTGCGCTACGGTATTCAAAATATGATTATCAAACATCACTTCTACAACGAGCTCTCATTAAACCAAAACATGACTTGTGTAGACTAGTTGACTCAAATGTGCATGCTCCCATAGAATACAGAACAGAATGTGTAACCCACGGGGGGGGGGGGGGGGGGGGGGGGGGGGGGGGGGGGGGGCTGTCACATTGAGCACCGTACACCCTAAACACAGATCAAAGTCTCAAGTAGTTTTGATACCCTATACTGGAAAAAAAAAAGAGTTCCAAATGCATTAAAGGGCATTGCTACCCTTATAAGAAGTTCATTTGTATATGTAAGTGGAATAATAAGAGGAACAGAATGGCAAAAGTTTAAAATAAATTGGACCAATGAGAAGAAAGTTATGAATGTTTGAATTATGAAGTCCTTGCTATTCTCATAATGATAGTGTGGTCAGTGAATTGTAATACTTTATTCGCGGAAAACTCTCCTGTTTGTCAAGTACAAAAGTATAAACAAATATTTAATTTCTGTTTTTCTCCTAAGTACAAACCTCCTTCTCTCTTGGGGCACTGCTCAAATATAGGTCCTCTAAAAAGCAAAGACCCTCCTGATTCATACATTGAAGACAAAAATTGACATTTGTGTAATTGTTTGTGTTGGAACAAATAGGAAAGTAGTCCAGCACTACATCACAGTAACATTACTGATTCTGCAAATTTGAAGTTCCCATACTGTACATTTGCATAGTGTTAACAGATTTCATATACAGTATCCATAACTTTGTTTATTTTTTCGTGGAATTTGCAGCATACTGCTTATCTGATTTTTCTGCTTTCTTTTAGAGTCATTTTCTTTTAAGGTTGAGTTTCCCTTTAAATTGTACCAATCACCAAAACATGAATTACTATAGTGATAAAAGGATTCTTTATTGCTACATACATGTATTTACATACGGTGTAATCAAAATTGATATTCAAATATTACTTAGATCACGCAGTGTACATGTAAATACACTCTAGGTAAACATTAAAATGACTTGTGTATTCTAGTTGAGTTACGGGTACAACTACAGTACATGTAGTATAAAATACAGAATAAAAAACAAAACAAAATTTGGAATTGGGTTCCATATGCTGTTTTTTAATTTTATTATCTTCTATTTTCTAGGTACTGTAGGCTAGGTGGATTTTATACATTCTCCTTTTTTCTAGCTAGCTAAATTATTTTTTCACCTGATACACTGTAGGTACACTTAAAGCCATTAGCACACCAAATTCTTGGCAGTGCCATTCATGTACTGTACATGTACACCATACCTTAAAATTATTGTTTCAATGATCTCTATGTCTCATTCTTCCTCTACCTCTTGATTTTTTGTCTCTACCCCTGTCTTGCTCCCCCTATACCTGTACAAATGTATGTAATTTCAATCCTATCCAATCAACACTTGAAGTAAAGTGGTCTCTTTTAATATTAAAAAAACACTGTTGGAGACCCATTACCATTAAAAGTAACTTTGTCTGTCCCAGCTCTTTGTACATTGTACTCAATTGATTTTGAACCCTGGTACAAGATTTCATTATCTTGGTCCCAAAGGTGTTTGATATGATATTAAAGGTACTATGTCCCTTTTGCAGCCAACCTCAAATTCTGTAGAACTTTGCAGGAATTATGAATATGTCATGTATGTCCTATCTGTGGAATTTAAACATAAGCAGTGTCCTCATATTCAAATTATGCAAGGAAACCCGTTTACTTGCTAGACTTCACTGTCAGACACTATTGAGTGACTGACTGGCTTTTTTTTCTTCTTTGGTAATAACATTCATGAAAAGAGTTGTAAAGGGTACATGAGCATTTGTCTACATCAATAACCCACTTCTTGTGATGGCCAAGATTAAACTGATTGAATCTTTGCGCAGCATAAAACGTATGACCATTCGGTACAAGTCTGAAAATCAAGACTATTACTTTTGGGCTCTATAGCCCTAAAGTCGATTTGACAACTAATAGTCGTTATTTTCCCACTTGAAGACATTTTCAAGCCCCATCTTTTTTAGGGAAGTTCTAAATTAGTATTATCTTTCAAATGCAGTTGGAATTTAAATTTTTCATTGTTTTGGCCTGCAAATGGGACATTGTACCTTTAAAGGTTCCACTCTGTGTACTTACAGTTAACAACTCAATTATCCATACCCTTCACAAGTTTTGTAATTTTCAGAGTATCTGAAAACTTGATTTGTCCTGACCTATGTTTTTTGAAAATGTGTTATAACTTATATTAAAATTATTCACCACAGGCCCTTATTTAACCAGTCCACCTTTCATTCTTGAGATAAAAAAACCCACAGCACATCAAATTTCCAAGGGGTACTATAAATAACTTTTTTGTTAACTGTATCTCATGAAACTGGATGGAAAGGAGCACACAATCGTGGTTCTCAAGGGAAACTCCCTTATCATAAAACGTCCACTCCGTGGTTTTAACATCCTAGTAAAAGTGAAACCATACGTACATGTATGTACATCATGTAGTTGCAACATATGTAAACTTTGAAAAATGAAAGTACTAATACAGTAATAAGCCATTGTCATTTCAACCTTTAAGCCATACGCTATTAGGCCTTTGTCATTGGTATTGTTTAGTGAAAACCTTTGAATCTTGAATCTTACGATGGCTAGTATTTGTGAAATCATATAAGTAAGTAAGTCTTTAATTTCATTTCAAGTTTAAACAGTTTTTGAGCGTCAAGTAATGCCTGGCTAGAATGCTCCCCAGGGAGTGGAGATTGTGCACACAGTGTGTGCGGGCAAGCACTGAATCCAATGACCGGGGTAATAGTATATTTGTAAAGCGCTTAGAGACATTTGTATTAAGCGCTATATAAAAATTAAATATTATTATTATTATTATTAAACCTCAACTAAGTGGTCAAATATTGTCAACTGATTTATGGAATGCCAATTGTAAAATCATTCAAATTATCACTTGAAAGTTCTCACTATTATTAGGTTACGAAAAATGAAGTGATTTTTACCCTTTTCAAATGTTGAACAAAGAGGATGGTAAAGGGCATTCCTTAAAACAATGGGCTACATTTTTAACCACCTTTCATGTGTAGAAGTTTGCCTTCCTGAATGAGATTAGAAAAAATACCAGCTATCCCTCAACATCTAGTATCTTTTTCTTCCGTAAATTAAAAAGCTAAACATGTTCATTGGTATGGTTTATTGAAAACCTTTGAATCTTCCAATTGCTAGTATTTGTGAACACATATGAATTCCATATTAGTTTGCCGCCTTGAATGAGATTAGAAAGAATACCAGCTTTACATGTATCCCTCAGCATTTAGTATCATTTTCTTCCTGTCGTTGCATGTTCATCTGTTCAGTGAAGATTGTGATGACCAGTAAGTACAGAGTTTTTTTTTTTAAGTGCTGAATTTGCATGAAACTTATGACTTTGCTGTGCAAATGAACAAATACAAAATAGACTGGTCTCTTTTTCAGCAAGAGACCAAGACTTTTTATTCACATTCCCAGGGAAAAAAATTAATATTTTTCGAGCTTGCCTGCATAAAAATAACACTCTAAAATTTGTTTTGCATTGAACTCTATGCACATTTACGGGGGCTCTTTTCTGATTTTGGGGGCTCTTTTTGGCATTTCGGGGGCTAATTTGCCCTGAGCCCTGTGTATTTTTTTCACTGCACATTCCTACAAATGTACACATGTTCATTATGCATTATTGAAAAAAATGACAGGCTATAGAAAGAAATTTTGATTTTCAAAAAATGCAAGGCAATGACAAATTGGAAATGATAGGAAAAAAACACAACCAAAAAGTAGATGTATAGTCTTGTGATCGAATTAGTCCATGTAATCTGGTCCTAAAAAGCAAACCAAAAGGTCTTCAGAGTGGACACATCATACATTGTACATGTACACCCGATGTATACAGAGTGATTCAGTTTTAACCATCGCAGAACTCACTGGCATGTAAAATGAAAGCTTCCCACTGAAAGATCTATGTAGAGTGTAGTGAAATTTAGTCATCCTTGCATTTTAGCTTTTCACTTTCCCATTATGATGCTTAATCCTGATCACATTCGCTTTCCAATGAATATATTTCTTTCATTTGCTTTATTTAAAAAACAAATTAAAGACAAAAAACCATTGTGTAGCTACATTCATATCCATACCAATTGATGGTTTCATAATAAATGCATCGCTTGATATTTCACAAATCAAGTTGCAGTGCACTATTAAATACTATGCTTTATGGATTAAAAAAAAAAATGTGTGTGTTGTTTATGTCCAACGCTTTTGCTGCAGAAGCGAAAACTGATATACAGGTATAACCAGGTAAAACAAAAAAAATACATGTAGCTGTATAACCCACATGTGCATGTACTGCACGACTTGTGCTCATATTATGTTATGGTGCAAATGAATTATGAGAGTCGATCTTCATTCGTTTGAAAAATTTCTTACTAGCAAAAGCACACACTGAAATAATAGCACCTTCATTGTGCATGCCTATTAATTCAGACTCAAGTTGTACAGTGATTCAAGCATTACAAGTGCATTAGGGAATAGAAAATCACAGTATTTAAATCTCACTATTGTTCACATGCTGTTTGGTGTTTGCAATGTCATGTTATTTGTCATCACCAAAGAGCTAAGGAGTTTTTAACCTTCCCTTCTGTTTGAGAGGGATTTATCTTTCACAATTTGAAAATATATAATCGGACAGATATGTATTCTTTCTCTGCTAAGATTCAGAAATAATTAGGAACTTACATTACTTTACTGGACATACATGTAGAATGTATTTGATGAACACTGAATACTAAATGTACATGTAAATGATACAAATTCTTGTTTAATTACTTGCAGAGAAGGAGTAATACCTATTTTGAAATTTAGGTTGAATATTAGATACAAATAACTCTGTCCTTCATTCTCTTGCACTTTGCTTTCCTAACAAATCAAACTTGAATTTGTTAATCTAACATTTGGCTTTTTATACATTCAGGCAATATTCGCCTTTTGCTATTAAAACCTTCCATTTTTAGAAATTTTGCATTTGCATTCTCTTTCAATCTGTTTGATATTTATTATTTATACATGGAGTATAAAAGTTATTATTTTAGTAGTATCTTTGCATTTTGATTATAATACTAATACATGTACAAATGATCTCCAGTAAACATGTAACATGGTATTGTATAAATTAAGAAATATTAAAGTCTATATGGTTTTACATGTCATACTATTTTTTTTTGTCCAAGTTGCCTTTAAAGAGTTGATCTTGACATTTTATGCAATTTTCTTCAAAGAAAGAAAAAATAATGAAGCAATAGCTAGCTATCCTCCAAATTTGGTCCAAAAACTTTTCATCGTGATACAAATTTACAAACAAACGATTATAAACACCTGGTATATTGACCTGTAACCTTTGACCTCCTGCAGCTTTCGACACAGTATGTCCGGTATGAACTTGGTGGAGATGGATAGCGGCCGACGCCCGGTCAACAATCGGGAATGGCGTCAGGGCCGCAGGGACAGCAAGGATTTTTCGGTGGCTACGTCTCCGGAGTTTGTCAAGAAATATGGGGGCGACTTTGTCATCACGAAGGTATGATTATTCCCAATTTTTTAAAGCCTGTCTGCACTAGTTTAGCCAGGGTGGATTCACTATGAACATGACGGACAAAGAAATAGGACAAAATATACAGTTCCTCATTCTACCCTCAACAATTGCTGTGGTAGACAAAGGAACGTCCCTTCACTGCTATTATGTAAACATGTGTAGAACAGGTGTCACATGCATATTCACCTGTTCTACACATTTTTACATAATATCAGTGAAGGGTTGCTTTGTCTACCACAGCAATTGTTGAGGGTAGAATGAGGAACTGTATGTTTTGTCCTCTTTCTTTGTCCGTCATGTTCATAGTGATTAGACCTCCCTGCTTGGTCACTGACTGGTGGTTATCTCATCAAATCACCTCTCAATAAAGAAAAAGAGGACCATGGGAGACCAATGATCACCGATTAGGCATTGTTTGCTCTATAGAGGACGCAAGTAGCTATAAGTGGTGCAGTGGGGCTTTAAGTTCATGGATAGGTATATGATGTTACAGTCATAATTCAAGATGCAAGTAGATTCAATTGAGCAGGGAAATGGATGTGGCGCGTTACAGATATTCATTATCATTGTCATGTGTCGTAGTCGAGTGGTTTAAGCACCTGACTTGAAATTCAAAGGTCATGGTTCAATCCCCGACATGGCACTAATGTCCTTTGGCAAGGCATTAATCTTCATTTGCCACACTCGACCCAGGTGAGGTAAATGGGTACCTGGCAGGAAGAAATTTCTTGAAATCCTAGACCGTGTAATGGCCGCTACATGTAGGCTAAAGCCGGGGTAATAATTAGTGTGCCTCGGAATAGAATTTCCAGATAGAGGGCGCTTTAGAAATGCCTATTATTATTATTTATCATTATTATTATTATTGTTATTGTTCTCTTTGTCTGTCCAGGTTCTTATTGCTAATAACGGAATCGCTGCCGTCAAGTGCATGAGGTCCATCAGACGATGGGCATTTGAAGTCTTCAGGAACGACAAGGCCATTAAGTTTGTTGTCATGGTAACGCCAGAGGATCTTAATGCGAATGCAGGTGAATAATAGATAGATGTTCTTAAAATAGATCATATGCAAATGCAAGTTTAATCAGATTGCCTTGTTACTTTCTTATTCGTTTATATAAAAAAGTAAAAATTATTGAACTTCACTTTAAAGAGGAAGTTGAGTTCTGGTCATGCGATTGCATTGTGAAAGAAAAGGTGTGGAATGGATCAGAAAAGTTGATCATATAGCATGTAAGTAATGGTGTGTAATGCAAGGTTCTAGAGTCATCAAAATCATCATAAATTTGGCAGAGTCTTGGTAAAGTAACAATCACTTACACAGATAGATGTATATGGGACAACACACATGGTGTCGGGGCTAGTACTACCCTGATTTCCTTATCTTTCTATGCTCATTACTCAGCCAGTATACATATTCTTCCAAAATTGTTTGGCACATGACATTTATTTGTAATCTTGAACATTCAGTGTAAGTTTCGTTAGATTCTGTGAAAATTCATTTTCTTTTTTTACCAGAACTCAAGTTTATCTTTAATGTACATAATGTTACTATAAATATATCTAGTTTAACTATATACCAGTACATGTACTGTATGTGTGCCTTCTGTTTTAAAACATCTTTTTTTCACGTTATCTTTATGAGCAACAGTTTGACAATTTAAAAAATAATTTTTCCCTTGTTAATGATATCGTAAAGAAAAATGATTTGGCAAATGAGACTACGGTAATTCAATATTGAATTGATATGTTCACTGTTCATTCATTCATTTGTGTGTTTTTGCAGAGTATATCAAGACGGCTGACCACTATGTACCGGTACCGGGCGGGTCCAATAACAACAACTACGCCAATGTGGAGCTCATCGTTGACATAGCAACCCGTATGCAGGTGGAGGCGGTGTGGGCGGGGTGGGGCCATGCCTCAGAGAATCCTAAACTGCCTGAGATGCTGCACAAAAGCGGCATAGCTTTTATAGGTGAGGACTCTTTCTTGTTAAACATGAAGGGTTTCCAGTTTTCAGATTTTACCTGATATCAGACCCTTTTTATCTACATTGTACATTGTTCAGTCTAACCTGCTATAGTGACCACTTATCCACAAAGACCACCTGTCTACAACAAGCACATTTTTTGTTTCCCTTGAAAATGGTTTCTCATTGAAACATGTACTAAAGGAACCTGTCTACAAAGACCACTTTTTATGTTTCCCTTGGGCGGTCGCTATAGACAGGTTTGATTGTACATACACATACGTAGCTTTGTTTTAGGCTTTGGTCCTGTAGGCTCCATGTTGACAGGGTCTTTTTATTTTTAGCCCATTTTTTTCTTTAGGGAAGGCATCACAACTTGACGTCTAAATGCTCCTTTACTTTTATAATGCAACCAAACTGCCAACTATTTAGTGTAACTAATATTACTTTAAAAAAAGAAAGAAAACAAAATTATCCTTGGTCACTTTTATGGAAACTTTGGTCCTTACAGTTGATTTCAACAGAAAGGAAAACCTTCCCATTTTTTTTATTAGAACTGCAGTGGCTGAATCCACTTATGCCACGAAAGGGGTCAAACTTAATTTAATTATATTTGTTCATAAACAGGACCGCCTGAGAATGCTATGTGGTCGCTGGGGGACAAGATAGCATCCTCCATCGTAGCCCAGAGCGCTGGGGTACCTACCTTGCCTTGGAGTGGGGATGGTTTGACCATCGAGTGGTCTGAGGAAGACGCCAGGAGCGGTAAGATCTTGACCATTCCCAAGGAGCTCTACCGCAAGGGATGTGTGGAGGATGCAGAGGAAGCCTTGCAGGTAAGGAACATCATGGCACAATATGCATCTTGAAAACTTTAGGAGGTGCATTTGATATTTCCTGAACCATTAAAAGTAATATGTATTTATGATTATTATGATATCATTGGAATGAGTGTGTGGTGATGATGACAAGTGATGGTGGTGGTATTGGTGATGGTGGTGGTGTTGGTGATGGTGGTGGTGGTGATGATGATGATGATGATGATGATGGTGATGATGATGATGATGATGATGATGATGATAATGATGGTGATGATGATGATGAGATGATGATGATTTTGATAAAAGTAATGATGACGATAATGATAATGCTGACGATGATGATAATACAAACAGGATGTAGATGTATGTACATCTTAACAACACAAAATATGAAATTAAAAACTGAATATAACAATAATGAATACGTAACCCTTATTCTTCTTGAATTCCCCATAATATCAGGCTGCAGAAAGGATTGGATTCCCCGTTATGATCAAAGCTTCTGAGGGAGGCGGCGGGAAAGGTATCAGGAAGGCAGAGGCCCAAGATGACTTTGCTAGCCTCTTCAGGCAGGTGCAGAATGAAGTGCCAGGCTCCCCCATCTTCGTAATGAAACTGGCCAAGAGGTATGTGTCTTGTGTATGGAGGAATAGTCCATTATTCTACATTGGTGAATTACAGTATGGTAGGGGGAGGAAGTCATTTGAAAAGCTCCCCTAACTTGGTATTGTAATTGGCCAAGAGGTATGTGTCTTATGTATGGAGGAATAGTCCATTATTCTGCATGGGGTGAATTATAGTGAAGGAGGGGGAGGAAGTTATTTAAAAAGCCTCTCTAACTTTACAATTCGACTTTGAAAGATGAGAAGTGCAGCAGATAAGATTAAAATTCACGCATTTGTATTGCTATAGTTACATGGAATCAACTTCTAATTTCTCCTTCAGATATTGGAAAGTTTGAGAGGGAGTTCTGTTTTTTTTATATTTCTTTTTGTTAAAAACATGATACCCTACATACTTGTACAATGTACAAATTCAGTGCAGTACTGTAGTTTCCTCACAAGTTTCTTCATGAAATGGTCATCTCTTTGTTTTCAGTGCTCGCCATTTAGAAGTGCAGCTGATGGCAGACAAGTATGGAAACGCCATCTCCCTCTTTGGTCGAGATTGCTCCATCCAGCGTCGTCATCAGAAAATCATTGAGGAGGCACCGACAACCATCGCTAAGGATGACGTCTTCAAACAGATGGAGAAGGTACAGAAACATGACATTTTTAGAAATTAATCCATTATCTTTTCTTCAAATTACTGTAGCAGTGAGATTTTCTCTAGTATTGCTGCATGAATGCTTTTCCACCCCAACTTTATGGAATATGACCCATAGGTATATATTTGTTTCTTTTTAATACTATTTGTTTTTCGTATTGACCCAGGCTGCTGTAACCCTGGCCAAGATGGTAGGCTACGTGAGTGCAGGAACAGTGGAGTACCTCTACAACGATGAAGATGGAACCTTCTCTTTCCTTGAGCTAAACCCCCGTCTCCAGGTGGAACATCCCTGCTCAGAGATGGTTGCTGGGGTCAATCTACCAGCCTTGCAGCTTCAGGTGAGAGGGAGGGGCATCGAACATACCTGCCAACCCTTACAAATAATCTGGAATATTCTGATTTTCTGGATTTTTATTAAGTTGTTGTTGTTGTTTTTGTTTGTTTTGATTTTGATATTTTTTTTTTTAGGTTCAAACTACTGGGTAGTCATTTAATCTGTTAAAAAATATTCATACCTTTTGTAGACGTTCTAAAATCGTACCCACGTACCGGTATTCTTTCGCACATATGACTTACTGTACAGGTAGTCCTAACGTACATGAATACTTTGGTGACAGAAATTGTTAGTTACTAAAGATACATATGAAATGGTCATCACAATTTAGAAATGTTACATATATGTTAATTCTAGATATGCCGCACATATATGTAGAGGTGTTGTGGACGAGTGGATAAGTCACCGGACTGTGGATCACAAGGTCCGTGGTTCAAGTCCCGCCGCAGCACTAATGTCCTTTGGCAAGACATTGATCTACATTTGCCACTCTCCATCCAGGTGTTAAATGGGTACCCGGTAGGATGCGAAAGCTAATGTGGTTAGATTAGCAAGTGTGCGCATGTAAAAATGACGCCTGGCTGGAATGCTCCCCAGGGAGTGGAGAATGTGCATACATTGTGTGCGGGTAAGCCTGAATCCTATGACCGGGGTAATAATATACTTATCTGTAAAGCGCTTTGTGAGGGCCTCTGGTCCTGAAAAGCGCTATATAAGACCGAGCTATTATTATTATAATCTCTCTGTGCCACATTGTATTTATCATGGGATAGATATACCAAAAAAGGTTTCAAGATTATTTAACTGTTTCCAATGAATCGGTGTTCAAGGGTTGTCATGGAGCTAATCTAGAACAGACATGGGTAATTTTGCAAAGCCATTGTGTTGCACAAAGCAATCCTTCCGTCAAATGGTGCCTACTGTTTGTGCACATTAGTGCGCATGTTGCAAATGAACAGCCTTGCAGAGAGGTGAAGAAAGCAACCAAATTGTTAAAATTTGCTCATGTTTTAAAAATATTTTTTACATTAACAGGTTGCAATGGGGATTCCCCTCAATCGGATCAAAGACATCCGGGTCTTGTACAGTGAAAGCCCCTGGGAAAACACGCCCATCAACTTTGACAAGTAAGTAGAGAGAGGGGGGAAGAGAGAGAGAGAGAGAGAGAGAGAGAGAGAGAGAGAGAGAGAGGGGGGGGGGGGGGGGGGAGGGAGAGAGAGAGAGATACAGTGGCAGATACAGCGAGAGAGCCAGAAAGAGAGTTAGAGAGAGAGAGAAGAAGAAAAGGGGGGGGGGGGGGAGAGGAGTGTAATAACAGATGCACAGACAGAAAGAGACAGTGAGAAAAAAAGTGGAGAGATGGAATATATTCAATAGACAAAATGTGCAGGTGTATTTAAGGAGAAAGGAAGAGAAGGGGGAGGGGGGGGGGGGGGAGGGGGGGGGGAGGGGGTGGGTGATGGGAAATTGGAACCCCTAGAAGGCAGGATTGCAGAAAATGAGAGAGGGAGAGACGGGGCATCGATAAATGAGAGGAGGAGTAAGGCTAAGATGATAAGAGTGAGAGAGAGAGATTTAAAAGGAACAACAAAATAGAGAAGATTAGGGTTATAGTATGAATTGCATTTGTATGGTCGATCACTGCTTTATGATTATGAATAACTGTTGGGAGATTGCTGCATATGTTGTTAGTGGAATGCATACTCACTTCTTTATTTCAAACGTTCTTTCCAGTCCTCCTGTACCACCCTCACCCAAGGGCCATGTGATTGCTTGCAGAATCACCAGTGAAAATCCAGATGAGGTAAATTATTTCATGTCTTTCTTTGTTCATTTAGGACATTCCCATAAACTACTTATGGGGGACCTTAATTCCACAAGCCGTGCTTTCAACCAAGGTCACCTCATCTTTCTATTGTAACGCCATATTCTGTTCACTTGTTATATTCATGTCATATTTGTAATGTGTGTTATGAAAGAAAGATAAATGAAACTTGAACTTGAACTTAACACCATTTCCTAACCGCGTTGAAACCTCTTTTCAAAGGTGTATGCATAATGCGCTATAGAAGAACTCTTCTGTTTTTATTATCATCCTTTGATAATAAATCCAGCAAACCTGTCTTAGTGGCCACCAATCTATAAAGACCACCTGTGTATAGTGGACAGGTATTTGGTCTCCCTCAAGAAAAAAATATGTATTATAGAACCTGTTTAGAATGGCCACTTCCCTACAGAAACCACTTTTTCTGTTTCTCTTGGATGACCATAACAGACAGGTTTGATTGTACTTCTAAAAGTATAATCTGCATGTCACTGATCGGATATTATGCTTTGCAACATAGATTGAAACATAGGTAGTGTTGATAACTTTTAGCATAGTCTTTGAATAATGTTTTGTAGATGATAATACCTGTGTCTTTTGCTTCTTTGGTATTCTGATTTCATAACATAGCATGTAGCTTTTACTTCTTTGACTTCATATGCTCTCTATATCTGTCTCTCTCTTTGACATTTCCATTTCTCTCTCATATTTCCATCTCTCCTCTTTTTCCTTTTCTCTCTGTATCTCGACTCTCAATCTCTATCTCTCTCTCTCTCTTTTTGTCTCATATTTTGTTCCATCTCTTTTTATCTTTCTCTATCTCTGTTTCTGTCTCTCCTTATCTTTCTCTCTCTGTCTCTCTTATATTTTTTTTCCATTTCTCTTTATCCTTTTCTTTCTCTCTCTCTCTTGTATTTCTATCTCTCCTCGTTATCTTTCTCTCTCTCTCTTCTCTCAATCTCTCATATTTCCATCTGCCCTCTTTCACTGTCTCATATTTCCGTCTCTCCTCTTTCTCTTTCTCTCTCTGTCTCTGTCTCTCGTATTTATATATCTCCTCTTTATTTTTTTCTCTCTGTGTTCTCAACTCTCTCTCTTAATTCCATCCCTCCTCTCTCACCCTCTCTCTTATTTTTCTCTCTCTACAGGGTTTCAAGCCCAGTGCAGGCACGGTGTCTGAGCTCAACTTCCGCAGCAGCAAGAATGTCTGGGGTTACTTCAGCGTGGCGGCTGCGGGAGGGCTTCATGAGTTTGCTGATTCTCAGTTTGGACATTGCTTCTCCTGGGGAGAGGATCGAGAAGTTGCCAGAGAGTAAGTCCATCCATTTTTCTGTGTACTCCATCAAACAATTGGTACTGAATCCATGAGGTTTCTGATAGGAGGGTTTCAAGGTCGCAGCTACAGAGATGCATCTTTATTTTTTTTTAAATTAAGAATTCAGTTTGTTTTAGTGTAGAACATTGACTGTGGAGCAATTATTTTTTACTGGAGCATGAATCATAAAAGTTGGCACAAAGCCTTCCAAATGTTGTGAAGAGTACCACTTTCAATCTGGACTTGAGAAATGGTGGAAAGATGCCCCAGATAAATATGATGACAACCCCAACCAAAGGAAACCATTGATAGGAACAACCGTCTAAATACTGAATAATCCTGGATCAAGTGAGTTACATGTACACGTAAGTTAACTGCATTCTGCTTTTCTTTTTGATTCATCAGGAACATGGTAGTGGCTTTGAAAGAGCTTTCGATCCGAGGAGACTTCCGGACGACGGTAGAATACCTAATCATGCTGTTAGAGACAGATTCTTTCCAGATGAATGAGTTCGATACTGCCTGGCTCGACAAGCTCATAGCAGAGAAAGTACAGGTAGGTCCTGGTTTTTGTAAAGCCTTCGCCAATATGTTGTTAGTGTTTATTGGTGAAGGCTGTTGAGTTTCGTATCTGCTCGTATAATAATGTTAATAATAATAATAATATTCTGTTCTTGTATAGCGCATATCACCATATAACATCCCTATGTGCTTCCAAAGAGCTGTGGAATTTATAACCCTAGCTTTAGCTTCGGCAGCCGATTTTGGCCCTCACGGCATTCAAGGAATTGCTTCCTACCAGTACCCACTTAACACCTGGGTGGAGAGTGGCAAATGCAGATTAATATTTTGCCAAAGGACATTAGTGCGGTGGCGGACTCCAACCGCGGACCCTGTGATCCACAGTCCAACGACTTCTCCGCTAGACCACAACACCTCTACCTCAAATACATATATCTTTCTGTTACTGTGTTCTCCAGGTAGAGACACTGGATCCAATGCTTGTCGTTATCATAGGGTCTATTTACATTGCTGTTTTTTCACCCGTTGAAACTCTTCTCTTTATCCGATTGTTTTCATAGGCAGAGAAGCCAGACGCAATGCTCGGTGTCATCATAGGGTCTATTCACATTGCTGATGCTTCCATCAATGAAAGCTTCTCCAACTACCTCGCCAACCTTGAAAGGTAAGTACAGTCGAACCTTTCTATAGCGACCACCCAAGGGAAACTCAAAAAGTGGTCTTTGTAGACAGGTTCCTTTGGTACATGTTTCAATGAAAAACCATTTTCAAGGGAAACAAAAAATGTGGTCTTTGTAGACAGATGGTCACTATATCAGGTTTGACTGTATCAACTTAATTCAGGGCCTGTCTTGTAAGCAGTTGCAGTTGATCAAAAATTAATACGCAACTTGATATGGATCGCATGGATCTTGAAATTGTTACACCCCCAAAATAAAAGTTTTGATAGCTGTTCCGGGTCGCGTAAAGGTGTTAGTATATATGAGCAATGTGCAAGTAAAAGAATCCTTTCAGTGTGTATACTAAAGATAAAGGATCTTTAATGTTTGGGATTAATTGGAGGACTTGCAATCCATCTGGATCAATCATAACTCTTTATCAGGGATGCCAGTTTTCAGGCAGTAGCCTGAATTCAGGCCCTGGCAAGTTATTTTCAGACCATAGTTAAGGCTTTTTTGTGTACAAAATTTGGAAAAAAAGCTCATTCTAGGTGATTTTCAGGCCCTCTAATCATTTATAACTTGCATCCCTGCTTTATAAGGCTGGGCACTGCCTGCGCCATTTCTCAGGGATGCCATATTTTAGGACCTTCCCTGGTTTCTGACAAACCGTTTTCCGTTAGAAATATATTTACATCAGTTACATAGTGTTATTATGATTTAACCATTGCCCTTACTGGTATTCCTTTACAGAGGCCAGTCATTTACAGTGTAGGATTATAAATTGCATGTTTTCTCAAAGGGACTCATACTCACAAAGACAGGTCAGGAATTAATGCCCCACTGCACTACTTATAGCTACTTGCGCTCCCTCTATAGCAAACAATGCTTAATCGGTGACCATTGGTCCCCCATGGTCCTCTTTTTCTTATGTTAATTGAGAGCTGATTTGATGAGATAACCACCTGTCAGTGACCATGCAGGGAGGTCTAATCCATCCTGGCCAAAGTAGTAATGCAGATAGGCTTTAAACCATTGCTCTGATTCCTTTACAGGGGCCAGGTCCTACCTGCCAGCACCCTAAGCAACAGCCGGGAGGTGGACCTCATCCATGAAGGCAACAAGTACGTCACTGAGGTCACACGACATGGACCCAACAGCTACCACCTGTGTCTTAACAAGTCTACCGTAGAGGCAGAGATCCATAGGATGCCTGATGGAGGTCTCCTAGTCTCCTATGATGGCAGCAGCTACACCTCGTACTTAAAGGAACAGGTTGATAGGTGGGTGTTTGGATCATGTACTCATATTGGCTGTGTGTACGTTACAGGGTTGTGAAGTGAGCAATAATAATAATAATAGGCATTTCTATACCGCCATCTATCTAGAAATCCTATTGCGGGGCGCATTTATTATTACCCTAGCTTTAGCCTGGCTGCCATTACAGCGCTCCAGCATTTCAAGGAATTAATTCCTGCGAGGTACCCACTTACCTCACCTGGGTCGAGTGTGGCAAATGAAGATTAATGCATTGCCAAAGGACACTAGTGCCGTGTCGGGGATCGAACCACAACCTTTGAATTTCAACAACTTTAGGCCAGATAAAGCCATACATAGAACTAGTCCAGCAACCTCTTCTTCCTTTGCAAATCACCACCATTATGCATCTGACATTAAAGTTTGTGTATACACAACTCATGCCAAGCTAAATCTTGTACATGTAGGTGATTGTCTTTCATAATAAGTGCGCAAGAAATGGTTTGATCTAAACTTCAATCAATGATAATCAATGATATCAATTATTTTTTAAATCACATTGCTTTCTCTCCTCTTCCGTTTCCATAGTTACCGCATCACCATCGGCATTCAGACCTGTATCTTTGACAAGGAGAATGACCCGACAGTCCTGCGTTCGCCATCGGCAGGCAAGCTCATCAACTTTGTGATAGAGGATGGAGATCACGTGTACGCGGGTCAGCCGTACGCAGAGATTGAGGTGATGAAGATGGTGATGAGTCTGAGGGTCAATGAAACAGGATGGTAAGCAATTGGTGGTATTGATGATGATGATGATGATGATGATGATAATAATAACAATTACGATGTTGATATTTGGCGGTGACGATGATAATGAAGAGGAGGAGGAGGAGGAGGAGGAGGAGGAGGAGGAGGAGGAGGAGGAGGAGGAGGAGGAGGAGGAGGAGGAGGAGGAGGAGGAGGAGGAGGAGGAGGAGGAGGAGGAGGAGGAGGAGGAGGAGGAGGAGGAGGAGGAGGAAGAGGAAGAGGAAGAAGAAGAAGAAGAAGAAGAGAGAGAGAGAGAGAGAGAGGGGGGGGTGTCACTAAAATAGAATTGTAAGAAAAAGAATAATTAAAAGTGATGATGATGAGATTGATGATATGGACAATGCTGGTATTGATGGTCGTGCTGGGGTTGGTGGTGGTGGTGGTGGTATCGTAGTGATGATGATGATAAGAATGTTGATAATGGTGATGATAATAGTAATAATGACAACATTTGTTATGAATATGATAACAGTAATGGTAATGATGACAGTGATGATGGTGGTGATGATGATGATGGCGGTGATGATGATGATGATGATGATGATGATAATGATAATGCTTATGATAATGATGAGGCATCTTGTAATCTGAATCATGTTGATATAATCATTACTACTAACCTTCTCTCACACAGCATCCACTACGTGAAGCGTCCTGGAGCTGTCTTAGATCAAGGAAGCATTGTGGCCAAACTAGTACTGGACGACCCAAGCATAGTTCAGAAGGTACTGTACATGTATTTACAAGCATTGATTAATATATTTATGCCTCCGCTACAAAGTAGCCGGAGGCATTATGTTTTCGGGTTGTCTGTCCGTCCGTCCGTCACGTTCTCGTGATTGCGTTATCTCAAGAACCCATTGATGGATTCCCGCCAAACTTGGGTCATGTATTTATCTTGCAGAGCCTATGAACTGACTAGATTTTGGGGTCACAAGGTCAAATGTCAAAGGTCACAGGGCTCATTATGTATGCAAAAATAGCTCGCTTCTGTATTGGTTTGTAAAATTGCTCCATGGCGGAGGCATCATTTTCGACTGCGCGCGGTCCAAGGTCTGTCTAGTTTCTTTCTTCATCTGACTACATGCATTACATCACATGTACTAGTACAATGTTCATACACATGTACATTTCAGAAGGGCACGTCATGTAATTTTGCTGTTATTCTTTATTTATCACCTTGTCTTTAATAGGCCCAGCTGTACACAGGGAAGTTTCCTGAAGCCACAAACCAGCAGACTGTGGGTCTGAAGCTCAACCAGATGTTCAGGAAGACGAAAGAATGCGCAGAGAACATCATGAATGGGTACTGCCTTCAGGAGCCCCACTTTACCAAGAAGGTGAGGTGATAACGTGGAATGCATCTATGCTAATTAGGCTGAGGATGATAGTCCTTAAACAGGGTTCGTACGGGTCATGGAAAACCTGGAAAGTCATGGAATTTTACTTTATTGCTTTTAAGGCCTTGAAAGTCATGGAAAATTATTTTTTCCATTGGAAAGTCATGGAAAGTCATGGAATATCAAAATTATGGACAACTATAGTATTTTCTCACTATACAAGTGAATAAATGGAGATATTTCAACCATTTTCTTCTCGTATTTTCTTTCATTCGTAACATACCGACTGATTGTACTTGTGAATGTGTTCACTATGATCGATGGATAAGCGCTGTGTACGTGGGTGTGTACGTGTACGATACGAACTACGTGTGTATGGTCAGTGTATGGCGGTACGGTCCACATCGCGCGCACATGGCTAGCTTGCGAGCGAGCTCGCTAGCGCTAGCTCAGTTCAGCAAGCTAGCGCACGTGTACGTGTGCAGTGTGTGTGTGCATATGATGATGGTGCCAACGCGACATGTGACACTCCAAGAACGAATGTAATGCCTCGATTGCACTTTGGCTTTGCATTAAATTGCGACCACTTAGACTACTACAATTTTTACACTTCTCCAATAAATGAGGAAAAAGTAAATTAGTAATATTTGTTTTTTAATTTTCATTATTTAAATAAAAAAGGAACAATACTGACGTGTCAACAAGGCAAATTGGCAGCGCTAGCTCGTTGACGATCTATATATCGACGCGACGGCATGTGTTTTGAAACTTTTGTGCATGTGTTGATTCTTCATGAAACGGAGTTGTTTATTTTCACAGACCTTGGAACTCGTCACGTGGATATTTTCACCATTACAAATTTTGTGGAAGTGATATTCAAAATGCCTGGAAATTGTCATTTTAAGGATGCTTGGTTAGAACACCCGGATTACCGTGGCTGGATTTTGAAAGAAAGTTCCGATCTGGGGACTGCTAGATGTGCTGTTTGTATGTGTAAATTCAGTGTCCGTAATATGGGCGAAGCAGCCGTCAAGAGCCACAAGAAGAGTGAAAAACACACAGCAAACCTCCAACAGCAACAACGTCGTAAGTGAGCATTTTTAATGTGAATTTTACCGATCCTTTATTGAGCATGAATCCAAATAATGACTGATAATAATTATATAAAAATGAAAGATTTGAGATTATTTAGCGATGCGATGTCACCTCGCAGGCATTGGTTACTGCTTACTGCGACCAGCCCGTTCGGGAGCGTCCCCGGCCCCGGGCCGGGCCGGCTAGGTTACTGCATGCAACAGCCCGAACGCTAACCCAGGGGGCTCCGCACTCACACGCCAGTGTTGTACCGGGCACTGTATGTGGACTGCAGAAAAAAAAAATAATAATAATTTACCTTAAAATTGACCCCAAAAATCATAAAACTAAATTTTGTACTTACAATTGGGTCCAACAGTTTGCTTGCCTTGAGAAGTATTTCCTCCTTTCTATTTCTTTAAAATATGTTTTTAAGGAATGAGTCAAAAATTAGTCCACTTGTCTTAGTGACTTACATCAATTGGCCAAAAGTTGCCGTGAATTTTTTTTTTTTTCCTTCCCCATACTGTCAAACGGTTGTCAAAATAGGAAAACGTTTATGCTTTTAATGGTCGTTTGAACGGCAGTTAAACGTTTTGACTCGGCCCTAAATCTTACCAAATGATGATATTTATATTTTATTTATTTTAATAGACATTTTTTTCTTTTCTCCTAGATTCTACTCTCTCACTCAAGAGCTTCTTCAAGGCAAAAGGTGCAGAAAGTTCATCAGTATCTATCACGTCTACAGATGCAACAACCAGTACTTGTGCGCCATCAACCTCTAAAGTGACAACTCCCATTCCTGTTGCTGCAAGAGAGGAAACTTTAAAAGCTGAAATACTCTGGTGTCTGAAAGTGGTGGAGGATCATTTATCATTTCATTCTTGCCAGCACAACAGTGAGCTCTTTCAAAGAATGTTTCCGGACTCAGCTATTGCTAAGGGTTTCACGTTGTCAGAAACAAAATGTCGGTATATGACGGTGTTTGGTTTGGGCCCATATGTGCAAGACCTCCTTTATGACAACATAAAACAATCAAACCACTATGTGATACTGTTTGATGAAAGCCTCAACAAGAAGCTCCAGAAAAAGCAGATGGACTTCCTCATAAGAACATGGCAACACAATGAAGTTTGCACTCGCTACTTGACGTCTGTGTTCATCGGACATGGTTCAGCTGTTCACCTCAAGGAAGAACTGAATAAAGTTCTGCACACAGTTGGCTTGGAAAAATTACTGCAAATATCAATGGATGGTCCCAACGTTAATTGGAAGATGTATGATGACTTTACGCGAGAGTACACTGCTGACCTGACCAAATCCATACTGAATATAGGCTCATGCGGGCTCCATATAGTTAATGGTGCTTTTCTGACAGGTGCCAAGGCTGCTGACTGGGAGGTGGAAAGCTTTCTATCATCCTTGTATTACCTGTTTTCTGATTCCCCTGCCAGAAGAGAGGATTATCAGAAGATAACTGGAGATCATACCATGCCACTTAAGTTTTGCAAGACCCGATGGCTGGAAAACCTTCCTGTTGCAGAGAGAGCAATCAGCATCTGGGAGAGTGTATGTGCGTATGTTAAAGCAGTAGAAGAGAAGAAAATCCCTCACCCAAAGAACAAGTCCTTTGAAACTGTTTCAAAATGTACTCATATAACTGATTTCTTAGCAAGACTGTACTTCTTCATATCTGTTGCAAAGCTGGTCAATCCTTTCCTAACAGACTATCAGACTGATGCACCAATGCTGCCCTTTTTAGCTGAAGACCTTACTAGAATGCTTGCATCCCTTATGCAGCGATTTTTAAAGCTGGACAGGAGTACCATTACTTCTCCTTACAAGATAATGCAGGTAGATGTTAGCAGTGAGGCCATTCAGCTGCCCTTGGCCAAGTTGGACATTGGATTCTACACTGAGAAGAAGCTGAAAGATCTGAAGGCGAAAAATATCATCAGTGAGCTGAAAGTTCTGGAATTTCGCACTCAAGCAAAGAAGTTTCTTGCTGCAATGACCCGGAAGCTCATTGAGCGATGTCCGCTTAAGTATGCACTTGTGAGAAATATAGGATGCTTGAGTCCAAAGAACATGGCAAAAGACAAAGAAAACTCCACTGCAAAGCTGAAGAGGGTGCTTAACACCCTTAGTGATGCCCACAGACTTAAGGATTCATGTGACGATATCCTAAGAGAATACTCAGAAGCATGTGATGAGGCATCAAGAAGTGCAGAGATGAGAGACTTTGATCCAAAGAAAGAGAGATTGGACTCTGTAATGTGCAAATTTCTGTCCGAGTCTCGCTATTCGACCCTCTTAAAGTTGGTCCGCATGTTGCTTGTCTTGTCCCATGGACAAGCCTCCATTGAGAGAGGTTTCTCAATCAACAACGAAGTTGAAGAGGACAATCTCCTGGGACACTCACTGATATCATTGAGGGCCATTTATGACCATATCAAGTATGTTGGAGGAATCAAGAATGTGACTATTGACAAATCAATCATGTTGGCTGCGTCTGCAGGCAGGCAGAAATACCACATCTATCTCGATGAACAGAGGCGTAAAAAGGAAAAGGAAAAGAAAGAAGGAAAGAGAAAAGGACTGATGGATGGTTTGGAAGAACTAAAGGCCAAACAAATGAGACTGCAAGCAGATGTGAAAAGTCTTCACACCTCAGCAGACAAGTATGCTGAGGAAGCAGAGTCACAAGGAAGATTGACTTGTATTTCCAAATCAAACAGCCTCCGACGTACAGCAAAGGAGAAGGCATCCCAGTTACAAGTAATTCAGAAACAGATTGATGAACAGCTGAATGCCATTAAGAATTATTAAAGAACTTGGACAGTTTGTTACCAATGCCACCAAATATTCAGACAGGTGCAATGTGTAGAGGGATTTCTTTCAAACAGCTACATGAAGATGTCTCAAGAAAAAACTCATTCAGAAATTATTGACCAGCTTAATGCTAGCGAAACAAGAATTCATCAGCTGATGTGAGTAGGCCTACTGTGTTTTGTTGGTGAAATCAAAATTGGTGATGGTATGTGTGTGAGTTTGTGTGTTGGTGTTGTTTTGTTTTCTTTTTTTTTGGGGGGGGGGGGTAGTTACCTTGTACATGCAAAGGAGAGCTATTGAAGGAATCATGGTGGTCCATGAAACCAGGAACAGGCAATTTGTATTCTTTAGAAGTGAAAATTGCCATTAAAAAATGGACAATTGTTGATATGAATACATGTACAGTATGTGTAATTGTAAGAATATTATATAGCAGTGCATATCGAATATGATGAAAAAATAACATGTAATTGTAACAGATGAAATAACTAGATAACAAAAGCTGCCTTTCTATTAGTAGACTTGAAACATGCACTTTGCTTCGCTTTGATTTGAGATCAAATTTTCAGTCTACCGTGTAAAAAAAATGTGTAAAAGTCATGGAAAGGTCATGGAATTCTGGCTAGAAAAGTCATGGAAAGTCATGGAATTAAATTTATGAGAAAGAGTATGAACCCTGTTAAATGTTTGTGATGGTGGTGACGGAGCTAGTGATGCTGGCGTTGATAGTAGCCATGAATATCAGAGTGACGCTGATGATACCGGTGGTTGGTGAAATGGTTCTGAGTATGGATGCTATGATGCATACATGCCAACTGTTCAGATTAAAGAGGAACATTCCTCTTTTTGGGAGAAGATAATTATCATTTTAATGCAGGTGTTCCTCTTCCTATACAAATTTGTCTGTAGTATTGAATAGGAGAGCTAGGATTGTTCCTCTTTTTTTTGAAAATAGCATAATTTGTACAGATTTTCTGATTTTCAAATGTTGGCATGTATGTATGATGGGGACCGTGTTGGTTATCATGATAGTGTTTATGTGGGTGATGATGAGGACAATAGTGGCAATGATAGTGATGATGACGATGGTGGGGATGACGATGTAGGGAATGACGATGGTGGGGATGATGATGACGATGGTGGGGATGATGATGATGATGGTGGAGATGACGATGGTAGGGGTGAGGATGTTTGTTTCAGTAAGAATGGGAGAAGTGATGAAGGTGGTGTTGGTGGTGGTGATGATTATGATATTTAAAGTATTGATGGTTATGGTGATGACGGTACAGTATAAAATTATAACGATAATGGTGATGATAGTATTGGTGATAATGGTAATGATGGGGTCGATTATGGAGAAGTTGATTATTATGATGAAATGATGTTATATAGTAAGAATGGTATTCCAATGGTATAAGAATGGTAATGATGGTGGCTAGAGTGATGACAATGATGTTGATGTACATAGTAAGTAGTCACTTTAATAAAACCTTCTGTCCCCCTCTCCCTTCAGTGTAACACGATCACTGATCAGTTGATGTCATCGCTGCGAGACCCTGTGCTACCTCTTCTTGAGATGCAGGAGATGATAGCCAGCATCTCAGGGCGTGTCCCTAACACGGTGGAAGCAGACATCAGGAGACTCCTCAATAACTACAGCAGTAACATCACATCGGTCCTCTGCCAGTTCCCAAGTCAACAGGTACACATCTTTAGTTTCTCTTCAGAGAGAGTCTTCAATTAAAGATAAGGTTGAGTTCTGGTCTTACAAATCAATTGCAAGTCCTCCAATCAATCACAAGTTTGCAGATTCCAATCTCTAATATACATAGTTGCGATTGATAACAACTCTTTGCAATACGAGGCCCTGGTGTACAAATTGTGTCTCTTGGGATAGTTAGACCAAATACTTTGTGTTTATGTAAATGTTTAAAGAGTTAAACTGATGTACGTTGGTGTTGCACAGGTTGCCATGGAGTTAATCAAGACCAGGAAATAAGTCACTTTTCAACTATTATTTGGCACTGGTGGCAATTGCAAAATTACCAATCAATATATATTAACCCACATCCGTTCAGGGTTTTTCTCAAGGTTTTAATTTATGAGCTTTTACTCCTCAAATCGGAACCAATAATTATCTTCTATTCCTACATTTTCCATAGACATAACACAATGTATAGTGAATGAAACAATGTGAATGAAAATAATATCGTTATTGACATTTGTTTGTCTTGCAATGTATGCCAAGCCAACGGCCCCCATTGATTGGTGTGCTTCGGCCAATAGGCCTTGTCCGTTATTGTTCTAGTTATTGATCAAATTATTTGACCGCCGGTCCACCCATAGAGTATAAAAGACGCTTGCTTTCATTATATTTTATCACCTGCCAAAGTGTTGCAGCGGCGCACGAAACGTCTTGATCTTCCCTTATTGACCATACATTGCGAGACTAACGAATATCACTAGCGATATTATTTTTGATGCTATATCCCCAATGAGTAATATATTTAGCATTAATGTGAATGAAATTTGCAAAACATGACAGAAAAAATACCATGTTTGATTTATTAACAGGCGGCATATTTAATGAATATCATTTGACCCTCTCTGTATCTTTCTCTTTTGACCAGATTGCCAATGTGTTGGATCGCTATGCAGCTACCATGCTTCATAAGAAAGCAGAAAGGGATACCTTCTTCATGCATACTCAGGGAATCGTGCAACTTGTACAACGGTGTGTAGAATTTCATTCATTTCAACTACCTTAAGGCTAACTCAGATATTGGGGCAAATATCCACTCTGGGAATGTTTTGGAGGCGAGAATAAGGTTTTCACCCAGCTTGGCCTTAATTGATTACAAAACAATAGGTTTTAGTCCATTCAAAGATAAATGAGGCACTTTGCGACCCCAAACCCCAACTTCAGCATTCCATATATGCAAATGCATGAACATTTCATGAATCGGTGTACATCTATATATTTTGTGTGTGCTTTGCTATTTAGAGGCTAACACATTTGGGGATTGGGGACATTGGGGTCAATACCCACTTTGGGGGCATTTTGGGGACAAAATTTAACCCAGTTGGACTGTAATTGCTCAAGCCAGTTTGTAATCTACTTACATCTTCACCAGCTAAAGGTTTTTCTAAGACACAGGCCCTAATAACTCTCTTCCTTGTTTGTTTGTCGCCCTCTGTAGCTATCGGAACGGAATCCGGGGCCACATGAAGGCTATCATCCAGGAGATGCTGCGGCACTACCTTGACGTGGAGAAACGCTTCCAGCACGGCCCCTATGATAAGTGCATCTTTGCCCTCAGGGACGAGTTCAAGGGGGACATGGCAACGGTCTTCAATATCATCTACTCGCATTTTCAAGTCCAGAATAAGAACAAGCTCGTCGTTGGACTCATTGTAAGTGCATCTGTGACCTGGGCCCCGGCTTACAAAGAGTTGGTATCAATCGCAACTCATTTAAGATTGATATCAATCACAACTATGTAATAATATTAATAATAATAGCTAGTTCTTATATAGCGCTTTTCAGGACCGATATGAGACTGCAAACTCACATGTTTGGATCAATTGCAACTCTTTGTAAGAAAGGGCCCTGGCACCAAAAAAGGAAAGAAAGAAATAACTCTTTAGTTAAGTTCTGATTCTAAGAGAGCAGATTCTGAGCTTTACAATGATATATTACTTATTACAATTGGATGTTTATAACCTAGTTGAAAACGAGAAGAATATGTAGGCTCCTAATAAGAACAAGCTGGTCATTGGACTCATTGTAATTACCTGTGTGACCCAGCACCACAAAGACCACAAAGGAGACGCCAGAATCGTTTTTTATAATTTTGGTCCGATTCTAAGAGGGGAGATGCTCAGCTTCAGAATAACATATTACTCATCGCAATAAGATGTTCCTAATCCAGTTAAAAAGGAGAAAAATGTCCAGTCTTATAATAATAATAATAATAAGTTTTTATATAGCGCTTATTAGCGCTTCCAAACTTGGAGATTATTACCCCGGCCTTAGCTGTGCTGCCATTGCGGCGCTCTAGCATTTCAAAGAATGAATTCCTGTCAGGCACCCATTTACATCACCTGGGTTGAATGTTACTTTAGAGAAAAAGGTATAATAGTTTAGTCTAGTCTATGTATGCACTCTGAATACCAAGCCATTGTACATGGTGAACCAGGAGGATTGGGACTATATAGACATTTCTGTCCATGGATTATTAGATTGTCCAAAAACTTAGCACACTAATTAAGCACATCTTGTTGATTATCTTATCCTATCTAGGTATCAAAGTAACAGTTTCATATCAACGTTATAGGAGATCAAAATGAGTTGCTTAAATTATCTTGAATGGTTTATTTGAATAGGTTGGAAGCTCATAATTGCAATTCTAATAGTAGAACAGAACCATTGTCTACATCAAAGTACCTCAATTATTCTCGTTCAACTTCTTGAATTTATTTATGCCTCTACCATTCTCTCACTGCTTGAACCAGGATCGTTTGAGCAGCCGTGAGTCGGGTCTCACCGACGAACTCACCCAGATCTTGAGCGAGCTCACCACACTCAACAAGACAGAGAACTCCAAGGTGGCTCTACGATCACGCCAGGCCCTGATCGCCGCCCACCAGCCATCCTACGAGCTCCGTCACAACCAGGTTGAATCCATCTTCCTCTCAGCCATTGACATGTATGGACACCAGTACTGCCCTGACAGCCTCAAGGTATATACATGTACATGTACACATTTTTGTTTATTATGGATAAAATCTCCACCATAGAAGAAAATGGTAAATAAAACTATTTTTTCCCACATTTCATCATGTTTTATCAATTTTTCTCACATTCCTCCGATATTCTCTGAATGAGCAGGGATTTTTGTTAAAGGTTTGCATTGTATAGATATTATTTGTACATGTATGTTCATGTATCTAAAATATTCTGATTCTTATGTCACATATAATATTTGTTAGTCAATTGTATACTGTATATTTACAGTCACTACATAATGTAATCCTAAATCAAAATCTAGTCACAAGAATGATTGTGTGACCTTCATACATGTACTTTTAATTTCTCTTTCTTATTTAGAAACTGATCATGTCTGAGACGACAATCTTTGACGTACTACCAGACTTCTTCTTCCACATGAACTCAGTTGTCCGACAGGCTGCACTAGAGGTAAGCACGATCGACTGTACTTCACATGCTCCAGTGACATTGTCTCAATGGTCAATATCCTACAATGTTACCCATACAATGCATTTTAGCTGTAAAATAAGAAGTCGTATATTTTTTTTTTTACTCCGAATACAAAACCGGAGCGGGCAATATATCATTTGTAAAAAAATGCCTTGTAAAGGTAACAATATTTATATTGACAGGGCTTCTTTCAAGGTACATCAGACATATCAACTGCGCTAAGACCATATCTAATGGGATCCTGGTAATAACAGTAAAATGTTTTTTACAATACGGTACAATGAAACCTTCTTTAGCAGCGACCCGTCTCAAAAGCCCACCTGTCTATTAATTCCACATTTCCTGTTTCCCTTGACTTGAATAAAGTTTTTAATTGAAATTTATACTAAAGGAACCTGTACATAAAGATCACCTGTCTATAAAGACCACTTTACTTGTCTCCCTTGAGTAGTCTTCATACATAGGTTTCACTGTATTATTCTTTTGTAGGTCTACGTGAGACGTGCATACATTGCCTATGACCTGAACTGTCTCCAGCATGCAATGCTCTCCAATGGTCTCTGCTTTGTGGAATTCCAGTTCATGCTCCCATCTTCTCACCCTAACAGGTAAATGGAACAGTCCAAAGTCATGTATTAGAGATAAAAGTCATATGATGATGTCACCTGATTCATTCTTGATAACTTGGTGTGCAGCATACATGTACATACACTGTACATGTCTCTAGGGCAAGACTGGTTTTGAACTCTACCTTGCTTCGGTCATCTTTTGGAGGATGCAATAGATTGCTTTAGGTGACTTTTGACACATCCACTATATCAACGGATCCATGTAATGAGGGTTTGGCAGAGCTGCCAACTATTCCATTTTTGCCGGCATTACTCTGTTTTTTCCTCCAAATTACGGTATTACGTTTTTTCTTCATAAAATACGTTTTTTAATAATTTTTGTAATAATTTCTTCTTTTTTTTTTTTTTACATACCGCACGTCAAACAACTGCCCTAAAATGGTGATTTGATCACAAATTCAATAGAAAACTAATTTTTAAAACATACTTGAAGAGAAAAATATTCTCAACAAAAAATGAAATGCCGATAATACCAAAATAACCACCCAAAAAATTACTTGCTTGTATGGAAAAAACAGCATAATGAATGAACATTTCTGCATTGGAAGTGTGTCTCACGTGGTTGTAAGTTTCGTTTGAAATCTTTTTTGTGGCTTGAAATTCCTTTTTTTTTGCCATCATGATTCCTTTCTTTGGCCGCACAAGGTTGGCAGCTCTGGTTTAGACAATGAATCATATTTGACTTTTATTTCCTACATGTATTCCTTGGCATGAAACGTGCAGTAAGATCATAAAGAAAAATCTATCCTAGTTTCCAAACATTCATACTCAATTGCAATCGCATTACCAGAACTCAAGTTTATCTTTAATACTATAACATTAAATGTCCTTTTGCAATCAATGTACTTTTTTAACCTATTGAAGTGGTTTCTCTTTCATGGGTTTATGAAAATTAAAGTGATTTTTTTTTAGGGGAGGGGGCATACATAAAAACCACTTTACATTTAACACATAAGAAGAAACCATTCTATGCAAACATACATTCACCTTTTTTCATTGATCATAAAATGTGTTTGAAAATGCTTCAAGATATATCTCTGATTAAATCAAATTGCATCTACGAACCTTCTAGCCCTTAAGCAAGATCTGGAGCCCAGCCACAAGGGCCCTCGTGATTCACATGCATCAGTTCATACTCCTTCCAATTATGTTTGATTTTGTTTAAAGATAATCTGAAAATTTGAGTGGAAACGGACCATTATTAATGATACAATTTGGGAAAAACTGATCTGATCGTTTCCTTAATTCTCCCAACTATATTATTACAATTTAATTACATTCTAGGTGAATGTAAATCGTCTCAAGGCAATAAAATGGCTCTACATACCATTCCAGACATTTAAGTGTTGGCAGATTTTTAAAATAGCCTCTTTTAATATGTCTTTTTTTCATGGAAAAACGGTTGGGAGAATTTACTGTTAATCACTGTAAGAGGGTGTTGCACAGTGACGCCTTCAAAGAAAACCATAGATATATTTGTGGTTTGAGAATTTGTTCAGGATTGTTTGCATGTCAGAGGGTTAGTACAGTAGAAGGAATATAATAAGTAATCAGTAAATTTTATAAAAATTAAGCAATTTTTTCATCAACCTTCAACAATGTTACAGAGTCACTTTAACACTCTTTAGTTTACACCTGTCGACACCTGTTAACCCAGCTCCCATTTGACTGTTTGCTTCCCTCCCAAGGTTCCTAATCACAGACAGGGGCCACAATGTCCCCGGCACTAAGAGTGTCAAAAAGAAAAAGTCTAGCTCTGGTTCCAGGTGAGATGCAGTGGACTGTTTGAGCCATATTAAGGAGCTCTTTCTCTCCTTTCAAACCTCTCACTTCCCTTTTTGCAAGTTTGCTGCATGTCGATGTTTGCTTTGACTGTTGTTTCTCTTTCAATATACACCATGTATGTCAAGCTACTTATTCATTCTAACTTTGAGATTTATTTCCAGAAAAGCACAGTTTTTGACTAGTCAAACATTGAGATTTATTCCCCCTAAAGCACAGTTTTGGCATTTGACCAATGTTCCCATCCTAACATTGCCATTTATTTCTTGAAAAGCACAGTTTTGGCATTAGACCAATTTCCCATCCTAACATTGCCATTTATTTCTTGAAAAGCACAGTTTTGGCATTAGACCAATGTTCCCATCCTAACTTTGCCACTTATTTCTTGAAAAGCACAGTTTTGGCATTAGACCAATGTTCCCATCCTAACTTTGCCATTTATTTCCTGAAAAGCACAGTTTTGGCACTGTAGTTTGCATTTTCTTTCAACTGGAACTACATGTAAGTGTGAAACTCTCAGGCCCAAATTCACAAAAGAGGTTTGCTGACAAACCTAGGTTCATGTGCGTCATATGACGCGTTTTGACACGTTTTTTCAAACCTAGGTACAAACCTTGGTTTAAAACGCGCTAAAGGCGTCAAATCTCCTTTGTGAATTCGGGCCTCAACAATTGTGAGTGATTCAGATAAACAGAAGTTTCATGAAATACTTGAATTTCTAGCAGCAAAAAATGGACTTCACAATTTGTTCAGGTATGATGCAGTAAACCGTTGAAAAGAAAAGAAAAAATCTGCATCATTTTTCTCAAGTCAATCAGTGACACCTGCACATTCACTGAGCGCTGTGCTTATGCTGTGTCATATCTAAACGAGGCTTTATTTAAACTTGCAAATTAATTTTCTTTTTTCAATAATGTCTTGATTTCATTCCTCCTTTATACTGTATCTCTCTCACTTAACCTTCACATATTTTGCATGTATTGAATATTGGCATGTTTATTCACCCTACGGTACTTTCCCTTATTCCTATGCTTTGATGATCCGTGCCAAAGTTGTTCGGTCATAAATAATCAACTTGAACTTTTCTATTAACTTTTACTCTAACCAAATTGCTCTTAACTTTTGCCTTGCTGTTGTTGCACTGTCATTCCTAAACACTTTGACCTGTATTCTACTAATATTTAAACGTGACCCCGATCGGGCCTTAGAAAATAAGTTAGCCTAAGGTCTAATTTTTCCTTTATTTAAACGTGATCTTAGACACAGGGCAGGCCTGATAATTACCTGATTTAAATCTAATTTTTTTAATTTTTCCTCAATTTTTTTTTCCTGATTTTTTTTTCTTTCTTCCCAATTTTACCCCAATTTTCTTGATTTTACACTTATTTTCCAGATTTTCCCCTATTTTCCCCAATTTTCTTACTCTAAAGGGGGGGGGGGGGAATGTTGTTAGATGCCTTTTTTTTTACTCAAGGGTTGGGGGGGGGGGTGGTTAAGGAAGACAAAGACATATTCTTTTTTTAATTGCTCACTTTCACCCCTGACCCAGGGTTAGGTTTAACTGAACTAGTGGAATACAGATCGATGTGAATTATGTATTAACTATTGCTTGCCTTCCTCCCTATTATTATAAACCGTTTTCTTTGTGGTAGCTTTGTGATTTCCCTTTGCTACAATGTTTGTTTAATCCTAATGTTTATTTTCTCTCACCAATATCACTTTTCAAAGCATTGTAATGCTGTCTTGCTCATGTACATGTGTTAAAAAACATATGCCTCGTTTTAACTTTGACTTCCTTTTTTATATGTAGCTTTAACTGTGCTATACATGGCCAGTATACTTGTTCAGTAGTTTGCACTTCTTTTTCAAGGTTTTCTACAATTTTTAATCATTCTTAATTCCTTTCTGTGATTTCACTCTTCTCCTATATATGTGCATGTATCTGCGAGTTGTAGCTTCTAATTGTATTCTATATTTCAACTCAAATATCTTTGCTGTTTAATCGCATCTTAACCCTTTACCTGATTGTATTATATTTATATTGGTTAGGGGTTCATATACAAATCAATTCAAATAATTATCTAAACTACTTTCCTTTTTATGAAATAAATCTTTATCTCTTCTCTCCTCTTCCTTCTCTCTCTCTCTCTCTCCCTCTTGCAATCTGTCTCACCTTTCTCTTCTCTCCTCTTCCTTCTCTCTCTCTCTCTCTCTCCCTCTTGCAATCTGTCTCACCTCTCTCTTCCTCTCCTCTTCTTTGTATATAATATTTAAATGTTGTTGTTTAGTTCATGATTTTGTATTATATGAAATATATAAGGTGTTTCCTTTTTATTTTCAAATATATGTTCAAACTTACATGATCATTCTGATTAATTTTATTCCATAATGCATGGAAATATCTATATTTAATTATTACATGTATGTCTTTGGATTAAAGAATGAAAAAACAAAAACAAACAGTGAATGATTTAACCTTGACATTACACAGAGCACTATTATTCATAGTGTACAGATATATATTTTAGTACAGTATCAACCCAGTATGCACATGTGCTGTTCAAAGTGTCCCATGAATTTAGAAACACTGTATATGTACTAGAGTTTGTATTCTAGGTATCACAAATATAGGGGATGAGGTTGTTGGATCCTGAAAATCAGTTTAGAACAACATTTTTTGTCTCCTAATGGTACAAGTACATATTCAAATAATGTATTCTACATTTCATTTTTTTTAAAGTTTGTTAATACTTGTTAACATTTGCTGATATCAGTTTCTTTATGTCTTGATAAGAACTCTGAAATCTGTAAGAAATCTGAGAGAAAATTGAAAAATATCAAAGGAAAATTAAGGAGGAGATTACCTTCTCTGAGTATGTTGCAAAAATGTATGGCTTTCCCCCTAAACACATCAGTCCTAAATTTATTAATACTGCAATGCTGCAATAAAGAGAACCATTATCAGCATTTTAATTCGTCCCTGGCTGCCCCCTCCCCCTAGTCTTAAATTTAGTAAATCTGCAATAGAACTGATATTTTGAACCCTAAAAACAAAAAGCTTTGCCCTTGCTTGTTTTTTTTGTGAAACAGAGAACAGTTATCAAACATTTTAATGTATGGCTGGCTGCCCTGCCCCTCTCCCACCCACCCCCCCCCCCCCATTCCCCGCCCCTCACCTCGTATCATGGGTGTTACCCTTCTTCATTTTTTGTCTCTTTATATTTCTTTTTTTTTGGCAGAGGAAAAAACAACCGTGTGTAAGTCACCTGCTGCTTACTGATTGCCACTTGCTTCTCCTTATAAGCTATTGCAAAGAGGGCAGTGTTCAAAGTGCATGCTCAGAGCCAATTACACACAGAGTTTGGCCAACTTGGTTTCAGTTGGTCACATCATGGTGTATATATACTTTTGTTTTGTGCTTGCCCAACAAAGCAGTCTTCGTCTTGTTCTGTCCAACTGAAATCAGGTTGGCCAAACTCTCCTAATCAATGGCACTGCGCATGCTGCTTGTCCAGGTTTCCCTCTAACAGCATCAGCATGTAATATTCAGGAGTCTTTAAATATATGTTTTTAAATTTATTTATTTATTTATTTATATATATATATATATATATATATACATGTATATATATATATATATATATATATAGTGTACCCGTATATTAATGCTTTTTTTAGGGGGAGGGGGGTCACTTGAAATGAAAATGAAAATGTTTAAAATAGCTTCTATAGGGTGTACATTCTTATTGATTGTGGTACACATTTACAAATCTTTTGGGCTCAAATAAAACAATAAAAAAATAGACTTGTATGCTTAGAATGGCCTTTGTAGTATTTACCCCCTTTTTATTTTCTGGATTTTAATCTTGAAGCCATACATCTAAACTGTATGTTGAAGTACATTTACATACATCATATGATTGTATAATGTAAGTGTACACATAGAAGAAGAAATTAGCTATTTTCAACATGCTGCCCTCTAGCAATTATCTTAAATGGAGGAGAAGTGCTCGATGATGTATATTGTGGTAGTGCATGTCTGTAGTACATTGATTGTATGCTATGATAAAGACTGGCAAATTTTAGAGCAGCTTGGCTATTTTTTGTTGAATCAGAAGGGAGAACGTACTCAACAACTTCACAAATCTAACAAGATATAATCTACATGTACACATATATCTCTTCTGGCCTACTAACCTATATCAGTTCAGAGTTTTATTATTTTCTAATTTAATCAGTTTCATCTTCTCAAATTGTCAACAATTAATCTTATTCCCCACTCCTTTATAGTTATACAAAAATATAATGTTTAATAAATGAACCATTGTGAAAGAAAATTGCACAAAAAAAAAAAAATGTGTATGTAAAAAAAAAGATTTTATTTAACACTGTGTTGCCAATTAAGAGACTTAAATGATAATTTCCAATTAATCACTCTTTTTTGTGAACGGCACAAGATACTTTATTGGTAGTAGACTAAAACATTCTGCTGTACATCCTAGCAAATCTGGATCTGAAGATAAAACAAAAACATCACTAAAAGGGATACTCTACTGCAATGGGGAAATCTCGGTATATATAATGAAAAATGGAGAACAAAATATGGATGTTGAATAACAAATTCATGTAATCATTTGTTATTATTCTCAGACCTGAATATTAATCTAATTCACTAACCTAACATCCACACTAACAGCGCTATGGAGTGTATGGGTCCAGAAATGTTATCTCCAGACCGCAAATCTTATTAGGGCCCCATGCCCATAGACCCCAGAAAAATATGGAAAGAAAAAAAAGTAATGAATAAAGTGAATAAATATTGATGTAAATTTGGGGCCCTGTGTATTTTGAAGGTTTAGAGAATTTTCAGATTTTTCTTTCACTGCATGTACATTTCTCACCGGCTATCAGCAGGACAGAGTGTACATCATGTATAAGATGAAGAAATTCTAGATTTCTGCTCGGAGTTTGAGAAAATACACAAAAATACAAGAAATAATGATGCTCCGTACACAAAGAAATTGTATATATGAATGTTCATGTATATGGACATACATGTATAGTCTACTTACTCCAGACTCGGTCAAACACACTACCGGGTATATATATTGAATGTAAAAAGGGTCCTTGTCCTTGTCCCTTACATGTGAAGGGGATGAAAACTCGCTTTCTCTTGGGAGCCTGGCTATTTTGTGGTATGCATCACTTACGATTGCAGTGCACTGTATCAAAACATATCAAACTGTAAATGCATTATATCACTCTTGCTCGATTGAGCAAAGTTCTGTGCTTTTATATCTCTTTCTTTAAAGCCTGAATGATTGCAGTGCCATCTAGTATTACTATTATTTGTATTTAGTATTAGTAGTAGCAGAAGTAGTACTAGTAGCAGTAGCAGCAACATTGAACAGGGAGGAGGAGAAGAAGAAAGACCAAGACGAGGAGAGGGAGGGAGGTGGAGGAGAAGAGGAAGGAAGGAGTAGGGGAAGGAGGAGGGGAAGGAGAAAGCACTAGGCCAGCCACTTTACATATTACATTTCCAACCTGAAAACAGGCTGGCTTAAAATCCTTTTAATCTGTTGCCCCATGTGCCCCAGGCTTTCAAATTAACTCCCTGACTTTCTAAGAAATAACTAGTACTTCACTTGACACATCTAAAATCATACCTTTACAATTCTTCTTTAAAGGGATCCTATAACTTTGTCTTAGATCCTTGAAAAAATCCTTGATTTAGCTCATGCTGCAATGATAATTATAAAGCTTTAGGTCAGTCAGGAAGCCCATGACTTTTACAAGCCGATCGCCTGTCTGATTATCAAGATATTTATGATTGGAATCACAAATTTTATGACACTACAGTCTATTGGGGAAAACGAGTATGGTTAAACCGGTCACTCAAAGGTTTTTACTTTTTGAGGCACTTCTTGATCATTTTGAAGTGCAGTTTTGTTAGGGCTTCAATATACATGTAACACCATATCACAGACACTGATAACACGTAGGGCCGTGCATCCCAGATTTAACATTGTTAAACAATCCCTTTAATTCATTGACTGACTAAGGGGTAGCTCCTTGTAACCTCTGGAAAAGTGCTATATGAATCAAATAATTATTGTTCACATGTACCTTTAGATATACAGTTAAACCTGCTTTAGTGACCACATTTTATGTTTCCCTTAAAAAAGGTTGCTCATTTAAACATGTACTAAAGGAACCTGTGTACAAAGACCACATTTTGTGTTTCCCTTGAAAACGATTCCTCATTGAAACAAGTACTAACAGAACCTGTCTACAAAGACCCCTTTTGTGTTTCCTTTGGGCAGTTGCTATAGACAGGTTTGACTGTATTTTATGTGCCTTTAGATATAGGACGTTCATATCTACTGCTCACTTGTATTGTAGGTAGTAATACTAACACATGTACACATATGTCTTGTAATATGTACTCACTTCTTATCAGTAACAGATCTCAACGTTCTCTGTAACTTGACTGACATCCTTGTTTCTAATTCCAAACCAACAAAATGTAAACTCATCTACATTTGCAATATTATATACTTACCCCTTTTTATACATACTCTTGTATTTCTTTTGTAGTGTGTATCTTCTCTAGTGGTATATGACATGTACTTTGCACATTAACTCCTAGTTAACCTCACCACATTGGCTGTAAATGGGTCTGAAATTGGTCAGACTAGGTCTGCTCATCTTGTTCAAAGAGATGGGCATTCCCTTAGTCTCACCTTTATATTTCAGACCCTAAATTCAGAATACTTAACTCCTAGTTAATCTCACCACATCGGCTGTAAATGGGTCTGAAATTGATCAGACTAGGTCTGCTCATCTTGTTCAAAGAGATGGGAATTCCCTTAGTCTCACCTTTAAATTTCAGACCCTAGATTCAGAATACATCATAACCTGTTTCCTTGTGCTTTGTTTCTCCAGGATCATCAAGTCTCCCAGGTCAGATGGCCTGCCGAGGGTGGCTAGCATAGGGGAGGAGCTGATGGGGGGATACTTGCCCCCCTGCCAGCGCACCGGTGTCATGTGTGCCTTCTCCAGTATAGGGGACTTTGAGAAGTAAGTGCAAAGTTCATAAAGGTTGTAAAGATCCTACATACATGTAGGTCATCATAGTCATGAGATGAACAATCACACTTTGTCCCTCTTCATTTGAATCAGCTGATGTTTTTTATGTTGATGAAGCAGCTAACTCTGCATAATTAGCCAAAGCCACATGTGTCAAATAATCGCAAAAGTCAATGATAATAAGAAGTCCAACTTATTTCCATCACGTATCTTAATCCCCTATATAAGCTGATCTTTGTAAGTTGAATTATCCCCTACATGTATTAAAGCAATCAAATTCTCACAACTTCTAGAGGAAAAAAATATTAATTTCACACCGTCCGATTCAAACTAGACCACATTGTGTAATCAATCACATTTAAAAATAGTTTGTAAATAGTTTAGTTAAAAGATACAATTTCAGTGAAGTTTTGCAAGTTTGTCTATCGTTTACTTAAAAAAGCCATACAATGTATCGATACTTCATGTATCTACCATCCCTCCCACCATGCAGGTCCTTCGATGAGGTCATCGACCGCTTTGCCGACATGCATCTCAACTTCTCACATGGTGTCGATGCAGACAACAATCCCGAGCACAACTGTGAGATCGATGAACCCATCCACATTGTCAACATTGCAATCCAGTACAAGGAGCTTAAGAGTGACAAGGATCTCGCTGAGATGTTCCTGGGTTTCTGTCGAGAAAGGGTATGTCGTGTGACCCGCTGGTGCTGGTCAGATAAAAAAATTGGCAAGAGCATGGGAGTGTTACACAAGGACTAAGATCGACTAGTTCCTCTAACCATTCCTGGCATTATTTTCTCAAGGGACGTACACATTGTGGTCACAAATCTACAGAATTTACATTTTTTGATCGTTCATTATTGAAGGAATTTTTAAAATCGAAAGATCATTATTTCTAATGTTTTTTCCATCTAATTTTCCATCTGGTTCAAGACTTTTTAAGGGCATAAATCGCATACTGTAGTATATGTCCAAGTCTTAAATATAATTAAGTTTACAATGTAAGTAACTTTTTTTCTTCAACAATCAACTATCAAAAACGTAAATTCTGTAGATTTGTGACGTCCCTTGAGATACCAATGGTGATAGCAACCAGTGGCATGAATGGCCTGCCATACTTCAAGTCCAACTTAAGTCGATCTTAGTCTTTGTGAAACACCCTTTAGGATTTGTTTGATCTTGAGCCTCTTGTTTCTCATTTTTCATTCTCATCAATAGTGTCTGTTCTAGGGTTTAAAAGTGTCTTCTTTGATGTACTACTTTAGAGCTTATCTTGATCTCTGGTATTGGAATCGTATTTATAGAGAAGATAGCTACAATTTATTTTGGATTGTTTATCCTGCAGTAGATTGGTTGTTTGAACCAGTGAAATAAAAAATCGCACAAAATTTACTACAACTTCCAATTGAACATTGTGACATGTGTTTAAATAAGCACATGACGTCGGGCCTGCGTACCCGGATTTCCTTATCTTTCTATGCTCGTGACCTCGGCCACTAAACATTTTCACACCAAAATTGTTTTTCACATGCCATTTATTTGTAAATTTGAATATTCGAAGTAAATTCTGTTGGATTCCATCAGAATTTATTTTCTATATTTACTAAAATTCAAGTTTATCTTTAACGTATTTAAATCCTATTACTTTGCTTAATATTGAAAGTATTTTTAATACATAAACAAAGAGGAAAATATTTCTATGTTATCATCTTTGCAGTGATGAAAAAGAATATGTTTAAAAGTTCCAATGAGAAATTGTCATCTTCTTTTTTTTTCACTTTGCAGAAGCAGCAACTATTTGAGAGGGACATCAGACGAGTCACATTCGTCGTCTTCCAGAGAAGGGAATTCCCCAAGTACTTCACCTACCGTGCCAGGCTCGATGTAAGTTTGATGACGTAGATGATAGGTTCATTCACACTGAAGATAAAAGTAAAAATCGGATTGTGATTCAGATTTCTCATTTCTGAAGTAAAATAATTCTCCCCTCCAAAAAGCAACAACATTAGATTACCATTTCATATCTCTCTCTCTCTCTATGTACCATATCCTGAGACGTGGGCGACCATGGAGTGCCACAACTCTCTGTCCCATATTCTATTAAGTAATTCATTTTTCAAGATACATAATTCTAATAACAATTTCCTAATGACAATTGTATAACAATAATAATTAAAATAATTACGTTACATATTGAACAGATAAGGTTGAAGTTTACTCTTGAAGGTTTCTAAAGTTTGGGACTCACATATTTCATGGGGAAGATTGTTCCAAAGTTGTGGGGCGCAAACAGAAAATGCTCGATCATCATAGCAGGTGTGCGTGCGAGGGCCTGGGGCCAGATGAAGATGTGCTGTGGATGATGATCGGAGACGCATAGATGAAGTATGAGTTTTAGGAGTGATGATTTATTTCCCTAATATCTTGTCTCTTGATCAGTTCCATGAAGACCACATCTACCGGCATCTAGAGCCTGCCCTGGCCTTCCAGCTCGAGATCAACCGAATGAGCAACTTTGATCTACATCTCATGGACAGAGCTAACTACCGCATGCATCTCTACCTGGGCTCAGCTAAGGTATGAAGATAATTATGATTGATTGAGCTGTTATGGTTTATGGCAGGGAACGTAGTATGATGTCTTTGATTTTTAAGCATCATTCAGTTGAACTTATTGATTATACTTTTAGCATAAGACGCTATATAGTACATGTATGTGCAGCTTGCACATACAAATGTACTCTGTCAATATGGAACATTATACACATGGAACTAGCTTTTCATCAAAAGCTATTTCAGTCAAACATCATTTTGATTACAGGACCTCTGTTCCACAAATATATATAGGCCATTAAACAAAGAGAGAAAAGAATTAACTTTGTTAACATAAAGTTATTAACTAAGAAATCACTCATTCCTGGTTCTCCTAGAGAAAAGAGGACATTTTGAGAACATTTACTTGTCTAAATGATAAAAAATTGTTAACAGTTTTACAAGAGAGTAACTCACATGCTGTCGATGGTAATTCGTTTCGATCAGGGTCAATTACAATAAATTAGGCAGTAGATTGGGCCTTGAATTTCTTGTAATTTTATTCTTTATGTTTTGGAGATGTTTGCATTTGCATGTGATTTTATTTTTCAGTTCATCCAAACTCCTCCTGCCGTGAGAGACTACCATGCTGGCAGCGCTGATCACATACCCCGGCCCCCTGACCTGCATGTAAATTGTTTTGTGAAATAACCTTAACCCCTGACCTTTAACCTTTCTGAACCTTAACCTATCTATAGCTTCACCCTCACATGTCATTTGCAGTATCCTCTGTGCATCATCTAAATGCTAGTAGCTCTCAGATTAGCAGGTGGATTGGGCAAATTATTTGTAATTTACCATGTATCTTCATATTGTCTGTTTGGAGCCAGAAGGGCAATAGTTTATTGTATAAGCTGATATTTTTGCGTACATATATTTTCACGAATTACAGGCTAAGAGTAATTTTTGCGAGTCGTTGCTTTTGCGAATAGCATACAGCAGAATTTATGAATGGGCATGAAGTACCATAAATCTCTGTGTTTAAGACGCACCCCTATTTGGGGGCAATTTTTTTTTTTTTGCCGACTCTGTAGGCAGCAACAGCAAGCCAGATCTGTGTTCAAAAACGCACGCGGGAAAGACCTTTATTTTACTGGGAGGTGCAGTTGAAGGCACCGATTTGTTCTTCATTGTGAACTTGTCTAAAACTAAAGATGACAGACAAATTTCATAAGTCCAAACAGAAATCCGGCCGTACAGGTAGTGTTGTTGTAGTTCGATGCTGTGCCATCACAAGAACCCAGGTGACAAATAGTGAGAGTACATTACTGTTGCAACTTTGTAACCTGGATTACAGATTATAAAATCTAGTACCGTTTTACTGTGCCACTTCAAATAACTTCCTACAGTATCTTACTGTGAATGTATTGGTGCGAGGGGTGAGTCAACAAACCTTGTATGACTGAGGTGGGAGACATTGCCAGTCACAGTGCTTGTGGAGGGGGCATAAATTTACACTTTAATTTTTGTTGTTGTACCTGTGTATAAGACCCAACCCCGACTTTCAATTTTTTGTTGGCAAGAAAAAAGTGCATCTTATACACAGTGGTTTACGGTATTTTACAAACTTTCTCATGCCTTGTCCTTGGGGGTAATTTTCTGGGGGGTAAATGATGCCTCTTCTCTGTACTTCTAACTGTACAACCTACATGCATTTTTCTAACTGCAAATTCTTCAGAAGATTTCTGAACTTCATCTAGTGTGCTAAATACTCTGTTTAACTATCTTCTGATGTAGAAACAATTATACTACGTAATACCAATTTCGGGATTACGTTAAATGAGACCCCGTTAGTGCGCATGCGCTAATCAGCAATTCGTTAGTCGCGTGTTATTTGAGCGAAAGGACCCCTTTCTGGCTCAAGAAATCAGATTTATTATCCACGCAATCCCCGAAATTCAAAGGTAAAAAACGTTATTAGTTTCACCCTTGACATTTACTGATAACTTTGAGACGCTTATTTTTTATAAATCACGCCCTTCTGAAGTGATATTTTATCGATAGAATTGTAATGTCTCAAATGGATAGCAGCACTGCTGCGTTTCCTCCGTCCGCGCTTTCACCCCAGGCACCGCCTGGTAGCGCAGGAGCCACGGGCTCCGACGGAAAGAAAAAATTACCCAACTCCAGTGGCAAAGTCACGGCTGGCAAAGTCAGCAAGAGTGGGCCGGGGAAAGCTAAAAGTAAAACAAAGTCGGACTCGGAGCCAAAGGCAATGAGCGAGAAAAATCAGGAAGTGGAATCAACGGTTCCATTTTCTACTTTTAATAACAGACTTGATAAAATGGAAGCGCTTCTTGCGCGAGTGGTTGAGGCATTGCCCGCTACTAATGCTACGGCTGTCACCGGCAGCTCACACCCGTCTTCGTCTCGCGGCCCCACCGGGGCTACCGGCGGGGAAGACTATGTGCAACGGCCTCCGTTCGACCACGGGAATGACATACCGCCCACCGGGCTCATGGATTTTTACGGTCTACCCGCGGATGCAACCGAAACGGGCGCCGTCTCGGAGGAAGAGAATTTTGACTCAGACATGCCTCAACCTGATAACTTTGTCATTCCCTCGATCGCCGCAAAATTCGCAATGGCGTCGGATATTGGAGATCCTATTGAGGAGGAGATAGCCCAATCTACTTCATATCTCATGACACACCAATTGGAGGGGAAAGTTCTTGATGAAGTTACTGCAAAATACCCAGCTCCAAGCAATTGTCAGATTATAGAGGCACCAAAGGTGAACCCTGTGATATGGGACAATCTACCTCCGATGACAAAAAGCCGTGACTTGAAGTTACAGCGAGTTCAGAAATCACTCACTCATGGCATCAATGCATTTGCCCGCTCCGTTTCTACGGGCGGTATAACTGATACACAGCAAGATGCTTTGGCGTTGATTTGTAACGCTAACTTTGAACTGAACTGCCTGCGAAAAGAGCTCATAAAACCTGACTTGAATGCAAGGTTTACGCATCTGTGCAAACCTACTCTGCCAGCTACTAGACTTTTGTTTGGTGATGATCTTGGAAAGCAGGTGAAGGATCTCAAAGATCAGCAACTGGCAGCGGCCGGTGTAATGAGGGACAAATTCAAAAACCGCTTTGCTTCGCATCCCTATCGGGGACGTGGCTACAATGCACCGGGGCACCGCTGGGGCTCACAGAGCCAATCCCGCGGGTATAGCAGGCCAATGTCAGGATCGCAGGGTGGCCCTTTTTTAGGGTACAGACAGAACAGGAGGGGCAGACAGCCTCCGTACACTCAGTCTCAGGCTCCGAACCAGCCTCAAATGCAAGTGCCAGGTGCCCAGAGGGGTCCCATGGGCCAGCAGAGGAGGAAGTAGAACTCCCAAGACCAAGTCACGACAAGGTTAGTGATTCACACTTTGATCTCATTTTTAGCGAAAATGATATGACTAATGCTAGTACTAGTACTAGTAGTGTTCCCCCAGTGGGCGGTCGACTGAGGTATTTTAGGAAAAATTGGCAAGAGCTAACAACAGACCCTATTGTTATTAGGGCTGTCACGGGATACAAGATCGAGTTTGATGTAGAAAAAATTAAAGACTTGCCTGAATTAAAGGCTAAACGCTATAAACGGAGTGTCCAGGATGCTAAACGCATTCAAGAAGAAATTACTAGCCTCCATCGTAAAAATGTTATTGAGCCCTGTGTACACGAAGAGGGTGAATTCATTTCTAATATTTTTACTACGCCTAAAAGAACTGGAGGTGTACGTCTAATCCTCGATCTTTCAGAATTGAATAAATGCATGATGTATAAGCATTTTAAGATGGATAATATCCACACTGTGCTGGACCTTGTATCCCCTGACAATTTTCTAGCCTCTGTCGACCTCAGAGATGCATATTATACAGTACCGATCCACCAAGAGGATAGGAAATACCTCAAATTCATTGTCAATGGTCAATGTTGGCAATTCAAAGCACTGCCCAATGGTCTCAGTACAGCACCAAGGCTATTCACAAAATTACTAAAGCCAGTTTTTTCTAAGCTCAGACAAGCTGGTCACATTGTGGTAGGATATTTGGATGACACAATCCTCATTGCAGAAAATGAGGAAAAGCTCAAAGCAGCTGTTAAGGCTACCACTGACATCCTTGCACAACTCGGGTTCATTATTCACCCTGAAAAATCGGTACTTACCCCCACCAAAGAGATAACGTTCCTTGGCTTTGTTCTGAATACAAATACTATGCAAATTAGACTTCCAGAAAGCAAGGCGCTTGAAGTAGAACGCCTCTGTCAAGAGCTTATTGACACTAAGGAGCCCTCAATAAGGCATGTTGCCAGGGTTATTGGGAAGATCGTTTCAACTTTCCCAGCAGTCCAATATGGCCCTCTCTTCTATCGTACTTTAGAGAGAGACAAAATTGCAGCACTAAAAGCAAACAGAGGTCATTTCGATAGGAAAATGACACTTTCAAATGAAGCCAAGGGTGAGCTTCAATGGTGGGTCGAGCATGTAACGTCTTCATTTGCACCAATAAGAAGACCGAAACCAGACCTTGAGTTGCGCACGGACGCCAGTGGGGCTGGCTGGGGTGCTACTAATCTCCAATCATGCACAGGTGGTAGATGGAATGAAAAAGAATTGCACAAAGCTAGGCATTATGGCATTAACTACCTTGAAACAGTTGCTGCGGGGTTTGGCGTTCAATCCTTCTGTGCTGATATGGAAAATGTGCATGTACTACTCCGTGTTGATAATGTAACCGCAGTATCATACATTAACAATATGGGGGGCTGCAAGTCTGCAGATTGCAATGAGGCAGCCAAACACATTTGGGAATGGTGCATGAGTAGGAACATATGGCTATCAGCTGCCCATTTACCAGGGAAACTAAACACAGAGGCAGACCACATGTCTAGACACTTTAACCACAAGACAGAGTGGATGCTCAATACAGATGCATTCAAAGAAATTGCTCAGCAATTTGGTCCACCAGAAATAGACCTATTTGCATCAAGATTAAACAAGCAAGTTGACAGATACATCTCATGGCTGCCTGACCCTGGAGCTGAAACAGTTGATGCTTTCACAATCGACTGGAAACCATTAAGTTTCTACGCTTTCCCACCCTTCTGCCTCATCGCAAAATGCTTACAAAAGATTAAATGCGATGATGCAACAGGCCTACTAGTAATTCCAAACTGGCCTACCCAACCATGGTTCCCTCTTTTGAAGAGTATGATTATTGGGGAGCCAATGTTCATAGCTAGAAGGCCAAACTTACTAGCACAGCCTATTACAAATGAGCCACACCCGCTTAATAATCAGCTTGATTTGCTTTGTTGCAGGTGCTGCGCCAGCCACTAGAAAGTAAAGGTTTGAGTGCAAGAGCTATCAATGTAATAGCAGCATCGTGGCGAGCATCAACGACAAAGAACTATGCCGTTTACATAAGGAAATGGAAGACATACTGCCATAAAAAAGGCTTGAACTATCTCCAGGCGAGATCCAATGATGTAATTGAATTTTTGTCAGAACTCTTTGAAAGTGAAAGAGCTAGTTATAGTGTTATAAATTCTGCACGCAGCGCCTTGTCTGCATTTCTAGTACTTGAGGATTCGTCATGTACAGTTGGAACTCATCCTCTTATTAGTCGTTTTTGTAAAGGAGCTTTTCAATTGCGCCCTCCAGCGCCAAGATATAAGGAGATTTGGGATGTGAACATAGTGTTTAATTATCTACGGAAGTGGGCACCAGCGAATTCGCTCACGCTAAAAACTCTGACTATGAAACTTTGCACACTTATGGCGCTGATATCGGCCCAGCGGGTCCAGTCACTGCACAGCTTGCATCTTGACTACATGAAAATCAAGGGAAGCGAAGTTCTGTTCATTTTTAAGGACCTCCTAAAGCAAACAAAACCGGGGAATGTGAACTTCAACTTGAAAATGAAGGCATATCCACCAGACAGGAGGTTATGTGTACTTAACTACTTGCGGCACTACTTGCGCAGAACGGAGAGCGTCAGGGGACAGGAACGCTATCTGTTCATCAGCTTCAAGAAACCGCACAAACGCGTTACTACGCAGACCATCGCCAGATGGGTGAAGGAAACGTTGACCTCAGCAGGGATCGACACAGACATCTACAAAGCTCATTCTACTAGAGCTGCATCAACTTCAGCAGCAAACAGTTCAAATCTGCCTATCAAGCATATACTAGCCCAGGCGGGCTGGTCTTCTGAACGGACGTTTCGAAACTATTACATGAAACCAGTAGAGAACAGGAACGTCAATTTCACAGGTGCAATCATGGCGTCCTAAAGGATGTCCTAGAATTGGCATCGCCTTTTTAAGGTCAGCTGGTTTACCTTCTTAGCAGCATGCTTTAGCTTGCTATTCTATCAATAATGTATACTTTTGTGTTGAGCACTGGATCGGATGGCCTACTGAGCTTTGAAATCTCATTTAACGTAATCCCGAAATTGGTATTACGTAGTATAATTGAAAGATTAAACGAGAACTCGTTTGAGATTTAATCTCAATTATATAAGTAATATAAAATGAGGGTTTACGTCCCTCCCTTACCCTCCCTAGTGCTGGGTATTGTTATTAATTACAGTTCTCGTTATCTTTCTGCTTGGTTCAGTAGGCACATCCTCGGCTATCTACGAATATTGCTGATTAGCGCATGCGCACTAACGGGGTCTCATTTAACGTAAACCCTCATTTTATATTACTTATATAATTGAGATTAAATCTCAAACGAGTTCTCGTTTAATCTTTCAATTAATTCCTGGTTCGTGTTTGACACCTGTTTTCCTCCTTTTAGCATTTTCCTCCTGGACACTTCTGTGATACTAATTTACATGTACATTGTATTCCATTGCACATGTATTTAAAAGAGAAAGTGGGTATTAGAGGTGTACTAACAACTCATACCATGAGCATACACTGTAGCTTCCACTTACATGTATTTCTATTATGAAGGGAGGATTCTTATTTTCTGCCCTTCAAATGAATTGAATGAACTCTAGATTCTTCACTTTTTCTGAAACTGCTGTGTGATACTTCTATCAAAAAATGCAGTAGAAGCTAATATTTTCATGTGCAGTTATTCTATATTTGTTTACTTTTTGGATGACAAGAACACATGCATTTTCACAAGCTGTCGGTATTGAGATCATTAACCCAGGCTATGTACAGTACATGACATGTTTGTACATTTATCGCCAGCTCACTGTAAGTCTAAACAAAATGTACACAGATCTTAGTATAAGAGACTGCATACACACATGTAGCATCAAACTTTGGTCAAAAATTGTTTTCTTTTTTTAAAGAATCATTTTGAGTCTTATTGTGGAATATGAAGGCATTTCAAGATACAATCCTATATGTCACATTGCTACTATATGTATAATATTCTTACACATACATGGAGGAATAAGAAGAAAATGAAAAAGCTCACAAATTTTATTTCACTTTTACCAGAAATCAACCATGTCTTTAAAACAGGGATGCCATTTTGCAGGCGATAGCCTGAGTTCAGGCCCTGTCAAGTTATTTTCAGATCATAGTTAAGGCTTTTTTGTGTACAAAGTAGCTCATTCTAGGTGATTTTCAGGCCCTCTGATCAATTCTAACTGGCATCCCTAATGATCCCTCTCTGTTGTCAGGTGGAGAAAGGTCAAGAGGTCACTGACTATCGGTTCTTCCTGAGAGCGATCATCCGTCACTCAGACCTAGTAACCAAGGAAGCCTCGTTTGAGTATCTTCAGAATGAGGCCGAGAGGATGCTCTTGGAAGCTCTGGATGAACTGGAGCTGGCCTTCACCCATCCTGATGTAAGTATTAAAGCCCTGCTGCACTTCTTGTAGCTACTTGCGCCCTCTATATAGCAAACAATGCCTAATCGGTGCCTGTTGGTCCCCCATGATCCTCTTTTTCTTATAATTAAAGGGATCATTTAACAATGTTAAATCTGAGATGCACGGCCCTATGTGTTATCAGTGTCTGTGATATAGTGTGATATTGATGCCCTAAACAAAATTGCCCTTCAAAATGATCATGAAGTGCCTCAAAAAAGTAAACAAAACTTTGAGATACCGGTTTTCACCATACTCATTTCCCCCAATAGACTGCAGTGTTATGAAAACCGTTAGGAAAACACAAATTTGGTTTTGATTTCCAATCATAAAATATATTGATAATCAGACAGGCGATCGGCTTGTAAAAGTCATGGGGTTCCTGACGGACTTAAAGGTTTATAATTGTCATTGCAGCATGAGTTAAATCCAGGATTTTGTTTTAGAATCTGAGACAAAGTTACCGGATCCCTTTAATAAATAATAGATCAAGGGAATGTTTCATAAAGAATAAGATTGACTTAAGTTGGACTTGAACTATGGCAGGCAATTTATGCCCTTAGAAAGTCTTGAACTAGATGTAAAATAAGAGGGAAAAAAACCTTAGAAATTATGATCTTTAGATAATGTTTTTTCCTTCAATAAAAAAACTATCAGAAAATGTGAATCCTGTAGATGTGTGACGTCTTTTGAGAGACCAATGGTGAGAGCAACAAGTAGCATTAATGGCCTGCTGTAGTTCACGTCCAACTTAAGTCCATCTTAGTCTTTGTGAAACACCCCCCCCCCCCCCTGTATTCATACAGCCCATAAAATGGAATATTGTATCTAAGCACTTTACAGATAATTTTACTCCCCCAGGTCATCTTATTATCTTATTCTTATTCATTCACGCACAGAGTGCGCAATATCCACTTCCTGGGGAGTATTCTTATCATGAGGGCTGTATGTATGTCAATTTCTATCACAATGATTGCTGTACGACCTGTCCAGAAAGGCCACTTGTCTACAATGGAAACTTTTGCTGTTTCCCTTAGATGGCCTTGATAGACAGGTTGGACTGTTTTTGATTGTTCAGTTTGCAAATGGTTGAATATTATCCATGATAATAATACTAATGATAATAAATGAAGTCTTGTATAGTACTCATGTCTACAGTCTAGCAGGTTGCCACTCCCAGCGCTCCATTGTTATTATCCTGACTTTATCAGGGCTGCCATTACAGCATTAAAAGGGATTAATTCCTGCCAGGTACCCTATTTACCTCACCAGGGTCGAGTGTGGCAAATGTAGATCAATGCCTTGCCCTCTCTGTGCACTACCCTTCTCCTAGACTGGGCTTGGTGGCTCAGTGGTTAGAGTGCCCGCCTCATGAACAGGAGGTCATGGGTTCAAACCCTGGCCAAGTCATCCCAAAGACTTATAACAATGGGACCTTCTGCCTTCTAGCTAGGCGCTCAGTATATAAGGTTGGAGAGGGGTAGTGATAACATATTATGTTATGCAGGGCACGCTGAAAGAGCAGTTTCATGTAAACTGAAGTGGCTACCCTGGGTAAATAAAACATTATTATTATTATTATAGTCCAAGAGGACAGACTGCAACCACATCTTCCTGAACTTTGTACCCACGGTGTACATGGACCCTGTGAAGGCTACAGATGGCCTGCGTAACATGATCAGCCGCTACGGCACCAGGCTCTGGAAACTACGCATCCTACAGGCAGAACTCAAGCTTAATGTCAAGTAAGTTTTCTTAATCATTTGTTTGTTTGTTTTTTAATTAAGAAGAATGTAAATATGATTCTATTTCACTTTTTTTCATTTGTCAAGTATAAGTTCATTGCAATCAGGCCTGCTAATTACATGATTTAAATCAGTTTCCCGATTATTTTTTTTCCTGATTTTTTTCTTCTTTTTATTTCTCCCGATTTTGTTATATTTTTAACTTCCTGATTTTACCCAGATTTTACCCTTATTCTCCCAATTCTTACTCAAAGGGGGGGGGGGGGGGGGGGGGGGGGGGAATGATGTTAGATGTAAAAAAAAAATCTTCACCAAATCCTTTTTTTTTGTTCCTCAAGAGAGGTGGTTGATTGCAATACAACACAGATGAATAATGGTTGAAGGAAATTTATTTTACCGTAAAGTCGGCTTACTAATTAAAAGTAAAATGCTCAGATGTTATCTGAATACGAGACAAGTCATATCACTTTGCCAAACAAAACACTAAGTAAAATACTGACTTAGTGTTTTGTTTGGCAAAGTATCATGCTACATATGATATCATATGGTATCATACTCATTCTGAATTGAATACAGTCCCTGCATTTTAAACATATTTCTCATGATGATGTTTTGTAATTGGTATTACAGGCTGAATGCACACAGTCCTCTGCTACAGATCAGAATCTTTGTGACTAACGAGTCCGGGTACCGCCTGGACATCAGTACTTACCGTGAGGAGACCGATCCCTCTACAGGTCTGGTGAGTACAAACCATAGAAAGAGAGGTGTCAGTGTTTCTGGGGCATTGTGGCGTGCGCCTGTAATCCAGCTAAAAATGGAAGTTACAAACTGATTCAGCTGAGGACACAGTTTTTGAAACTGTGTCACGTCTTTCGGATGGTGACGTTAAAGGGCGGTCCCCAGACGTAAATAATCATATCTGATTGATACTCGTCTGTAAAAACGCAATTCACACACATACATCCCAGGTACAGAGAAACAGAGATAGAGAAAGTAAGAGAGGGAGGGAGGGAGAGGTCTGGTGAGTACAAACCATAGATAGAGAGGTGGCAGTGTTTCCTGTATAAAATTTGATTAAAGATGGGGAAAGTCATGGGTCAGACCCCAGACAAGGCATGATAATACAGTCATACTGCTTTAGTGACCACATGTCTACAAGACCACATATTTGTTTCCCTTGAAAATGGTTTCTCATTGAAACATGTACTAAAGGAACCTGTCTACAAGGACCACTTTTTGTGTTTCCCTTGGCTGGGGCTATAGACAGGTTTGACTGTAATATTAACCTGTTGACTACTGATTTCTTTCATTCCCATTGGGCTTGATACAGGGACCACCTGGTTCCCATAGACAATGGGTTAATAACTGTGGAGTCTTGTATAACCCTCATGTCTGGCACATTGCCACTCCTTGGGGGTGTTTCACAAAGATCCTAAGTTGAACTTATCTCTAAGTTGGACTTAACAATTATGGAAAGCCGTTAGCATCTTTGAAAATATTTTGTAAAAGTTATTTTAAAAAGCATAAAACGTTGATTCAAATTATTCATATTTTCTATTATCAAGGAGATTTCATGTGCTTGATGTGGAATTTCTGAAAAGTCAAAAATACTTGGATTTTTGCTTTTTAATATATTTATTTTAAGGCTACAAATGGCTCTCAATAATTTTTAAGTTAAGTTTGACGTATGATCTTTGTGAAACACCCCCTGGTGCTCTATTATTAGTACCCTTGCCTTAGCACTGCTTCCATTACAACGCACAAGCATTTCAAAGAATTGTTTCCTTTATTGCCCGTGTACCTCACCTGGGTGGAGTGTGTCAAATGTAGATCAATGTCTTGCAAAAGGATGCTAGTGCTGCAACAGGGATTCAAACTCATTACCTTGTGGTAATTGTCTATAATTTAAGTACGGCAAAGGTAATTTATTGTACAGAATATGGGGAGTTTATTACATCAGTGAATGCATGTGTAGTAGTGGGAAGCTGACCATTGTCATGATGTCCTTACCACAGGTGAAGTTTGTGTCGTACGGCACGCAGAAAGGAGTTCTTCATGGTCGACTGATCAACGCTCCTTACATGACCAAGGATCATCTACAGCTCAAGAGATACCAGGCACAGAGTCTGGGCACAACCTACGTCTATGACTTCCCAGAGATGTTCAGACAGGTAGGCTACATGTCAATAATTATCATAGTTTTAGTCACATGTATAAATGTTTAATACTACGTGTTCTAAGAAATATTGTGGCACGGAGAGACCAACCGGAACGTAAAAGGATAATATTTAGTGATGCCTGTTGATTAAAAGTTGATTTTTGACAAATCTGAATGAAGTTTAGGTAATATTAATCCTAATCGAGATAGTCTTTACCAGTGTTTACCATGTATTATGTGGTTCTACCTCCATGTGATAAAATTGATTTTCAACAATTACAATTGTTTTCTTTCTCTCTACTCTCTGCCCATACATGTACCTCTCTCTTCCCCTCTCCATCACTTTCTCCTTTTCTTTCTTCTCCCCTCTCTCTCTCTTTCCCTCCTCCCCCCTCTCTCTCTCTCTTTCCCTCCTTCCCCCTCTCTCTCTCTCTCACTCCTCCCCCTCTATCTCCTCCCCTCTCCCTCCTCCCCCTCTCTCTCCATCACTCTATCCTTCTCTCTCTTTCTCTCCTTCCCACGATCCTTTCCAACAGAACCTAGCCATTCTGTGGGAGCAGCACAAGAAGCAACATCCCGACGTTGAGATTCCAGAAGAAATAGTAAGATCATTTATCCATTATCCTTCGTTTTTATCATCCATCATCTTGGAAATTATCAGAAACCTGACATGAAAACCTCATATTCAAGTTAAGGGGTTCGTTCAAGACTTTTAGATAACTTTGTCAGAAATATTACTATTTTTACTTGGCTTTGGGAAAAGATAAAATTTTGTTCTTAACCAACTACAATAAATACATGTAAACACTACAATGTGTGTTCCATCGGTGCCGGGTTTCAAGATTACCTTCTATGGCAAGTCCCAACTTCCATGTCTTTGGCCATTTCATGACCCTTTTGTTATGAAGTATTGTAGAGTTATCAACATGAACTCCCATCAAATCTATCATGTATTTATGTTACACTGTACTTTATATTTGGTATGGTTTAAGTTCCAGTATGACTATTGATTGGATACAGGGCCCTGTTATCTATAGGGTTACAGTTAACATACAATAAACCGGAGTGTTGGCTCAGTCAGTAGAGCGTCCGCCTCACAACCGGGAGGTCGTGGGTTCGAACCCCGGCCGCGTCTTACCAAAAGACGTTAACAGATGGGAGTTGTTGCTACCTTGTTTGGCGTTCAACAATAAGGGATAGAGTAACGTCGATCTGGCGCTGCTCAGTGGCTGCCGGGCTCACGATCAATTGGGCAAAAAGAATTTCCATTTCGGTTTAATAAAATTTGGAGTGGACTAAAAGATTATTATTATTATTATTATTATCACATCTTCTTCAATTAATGATAAAGTGATAATGATATAATAGTAACTTACAATTAATTTTTGGTTACATGTAAGTTGACTTCTATGTTACAAGTCTAGATGTAATAAAAGTCTTATAACTGGCCCGTTACGTATGGGACAAAATAGGTTTGACATGCCCATTTAGTGAATTAATTTAATTCTCTGTGTCTCTGTATCTTGCTTCTTTAATTACTTTAGATGATAGGTCATGAGCTTGTGCATGATAGGAACAATGAGCTGCAGCACATGAACAGAGTACCAGGAGAAAACACTGTAAGTTCCAACATATCTCTCACCCAACCAGAGATGCTAAACGTTCTGATTTCGCTGTATTTGTTCTGATTTATTTGTCTAATTAGAATGATACGGAAGGAGGCACACAAGTTTTAATTTTCATTTCCAACAGAATAGTAATTTTGACATGAAATCAGATATACAATTCAACATTCCATAATATGATACATTTTACATGGTTTACAGTTATGGAAATAGAAGGTTAACACAAATATCCAGTAATGGTTTTTAAAAGATAAACCTGTTGAAATGGAGGGATCCACTGAAAAGCAGAGCTTGTAGAATGTGGATCCCTCAAAATAATGACAAACATAATTTTGATTACATATGTTTAGATTGATTTCATGTTACACTGTATCATTTCATTTCATTTCAGTTACACTGTATCATCAGTTGTTCATCCCAGTTCATTAACAGACTTACAATTTCCTGGTAGACTGGTGAAAGTGAAAAATGGAAGGTGAAATTTTGTTGAAATTATTTGAAAATGGCATGTTTTGGTCTATTTTGTTCAGATTGGTATGGTTGCCTGGCAGTTCACTTTCCTCACCCCAGAGTACCCCAAGGGTCGGGATGTTGTCATCATCGCAAACGACATCACCTGCAAGATAGGATCCTTCGGTGTGGAGGAAGACAACCTCTTCCAGGTGGGTGCACAAACACTGCCTCATCATTATGAAACCATAGCAGTTCTGAGTCTTCTTAAAGGGATCGTTTAACAATGTTAAATCTTAGATACACGGCCCTACCTGTTATCAGTGTCTGTGATATGGTGTAATATTGAAGCCCTAAAAAAATTGCGCTTCAAAATGATCAAGAAGTGCCTCAAAAAAGTAAAAATCTTTGAGTGACCGGTTTTACCATAATTGTTTTCCCCAATAGACTGTAGTGTTATGAAAACCGTCAGGCGAACGGTTTTCAAAATTTGTAATTCCAATCATAAATATCTTGATAATCAGACAGGCGATCGGCTTGTAAAAGTCATGGGGCTCCTGACTGACCTTAAGGTTTATAATTATCATTGCATCATGAGCTAAATCCAGAATTTTATTTCAGAATCTGAGACAAAGTTACCGGATCCCTTTAAGGTTTAAAGAACTCAGTTTTCATCCTCAAATTGGCAACAAATATTTGTATTTAATAATAATAATAGTGGGTTTTTGTATAGCGCTCATGTCAGTCAGATTTGTCCCTCTTGGTGCTCCTGATTATTACCCTAGCTTTAGCACGGCTGCCATATTTTCCACTTTTTTTTTTTTTTTATAGTTAAACGATTGTATATTACATGAAACAGTGTAAAGGAAAAAGACAACAAAACAAAAATCCTGTTTTGTCCACAGAATATTGATTATAAACTTTACTTCTCTGTGTCAATTTAGATAATTCAGTGATTTAAACCTGAATGTGCAGCCTAAATTCTATATTTGTCCTGTTCATTTTGATATTTTTGATACTGAAAGCTTCAAATCATACAGTAGTGAGGTTGATAACCATCCAATTTTAATTCCATGAAGACATCTAGCCTTTATTGTATTTATTTTTCCTGTTCATTTTGATATTAACATATACAGAAAGCTTCAGACCATGCAGTAGACAAGGGGATTCCCCGTATCTACATCTCTGCCAACAGCGGAGCAAGGATTGGATTGGCTGATGAGGTCAAATACCTGTTCAAGGTCGCATGGGAAGATCCAAAGGAACCAGAGAAGGTACATGTAGAGATTGATAATATTCAGCTTTTATATAGCGCTTCATACATCTTGGACGTCTCTAAGCGCTTTACAGATATACTATTACCCCGGTCATTGGATTCAATGCTTGCCCGCACACACTGTTTGCACAATCTGCACTCCCTGGGGAGCACTCCAGCTGGCGTTACTTGACGCTCAAAAACTGTTTGACCAACAATGACGGTCGCATCCTACCAGGTACTCATTTTAACACCTGGGTGGAGAGTAGCAAGTGTAGTTTAATATCTTGCCAAAGACTATTCCAACACAAAGAAACATCTAGTATTGATGATGACATTAATGGTGTTATAATAAAGGATTTCGACATAATGATAATAATAGTAATAAGGTTTGTAATAATAATGAAAATAATATGTCTTGTTTACCCAGGGTAGTCTCATCAGTATTTTTGCAGGCATAGTCAAAAACACGACTTCACTTTGAACCAATCGGTTGACAGGATAAGGAGAGATACTCAAAGTAAGGTATACAATTTTAAGTAGTGCCCTTCAAAGTCAAAAATTGTTTACTTTTCCATCTCATCACTTATTCTGACCGGTGTCTGACTGCAGTAATCTCACACATTTTGTTTCTTTCACCTCTCTTATTATCACCAGGGATTCAAGTACCTCTACCTCACACCAAGCGACTTCAAGAAGCTGACTGCTCTGAACTCAATCCGAGCAGAACACATAGAAGAAGATGGGGAATCTCGCTACAAGATCTCATATATCATAGGTGAGTCATAAACAGGTTCATCACCAGGGCCGCATATTATAAAGAGTTAAGATTTACCTTAAGTTTAATCAAAACACGATGAGCCATAGACTTACGCTCAATATTAACCTAAGGATCAATTAAAAGGCTTTGTAATACATGGCCCAGGTAAGGTCTAAATGAGTCTGGTAAGGATCTTTGCATCCTCAAATTGGCACCATTTCTTATCTTTTGCTCCAATTATGCAAAGTGAAAGACTCTTAACAAGATCACATATATCACAGGCGAGTCATAAACAGGGTTTATTGCCAGTTACAGTCTAAATGAATGGGATACAGATTTATGTCTCCTCAAATGGCATCTTTTCCTATCTTTCACTCTGATTATGCGAAGGGAATGAAAATTCAAGGCCAATTAAAATGTACCATCATGAAAGAAACTCCTAAATAGTAACACAAAATTGCCAATATGTATGCAAAATGGTGATTTTAAAGTCCACTCTGCACTGCCACTCCAGAGATTGTAATGCTTATTTTCAATTAAATATTTGCTGTCATTTTTGCTCTTTCTGCCTAAATTATGTTTAATTCATCATAGATTTTTGTTCAATTCAATTCAATTTTTGTTTCATTACAAATATACAACAAAAAAAGTCTGAAGACTAACAATACTTGGTTCACATTGTGTCATATAAAAATGCATTAAAAACAGCAGATTTAAAAATTCAGTAATAACTTAAGGTAGGAAAAAACAGATCAAAAGATAATGTGATAATGTCACTTTAATAAAGTGAAATTTAACTGCCATTGATGAGCGAGGTAAAGGTAACTGACGCTTCTTGTTATGTTTTATTTTGAACGTTAGGCAAGGACGAAGGATTAGGTGTTGAAAACCTGAGAGGAAGCGGGATGATCGCAGGAGGGACATCAAGAGCCTATGAACAGATCATCACACTCAACATGGTAAGTTCAGAGAGGCACAGTTAGTGTACTAGGTTAGTGAAATAATAATATAGAAATATTTAGGAGCGCTAATAAGTACCATAGCGCTTACAACGCATTGTACAAATATATGAAAAGAGGACAACAAATGTACAGTTTCACACAGGAAGCAGATCACTGGGGAACAGAGTATCACCGAAAAAAAAGAGCGTAATTTTATTGAGTAAATACTATTCTTGCATCTCTAAGACTGTATTGCGATTTTTAGAATTATCACAATGTTCATCAAGATATTGTTACATGTACATGCAATCACATTTGCAAATGATAACAAGTGTTGTTCGGTTATTCTCGTATAATGAGGGCTTCACTTCAGAATGCCCCTCTACACATCAATGCAGTGCATTAGGGCTTGGAGTAGGGTCAGGGTTTAATTTTTGTGGAGTTTTATTCTCTAGTTAAAAAAAAAAAGGTTGACACAAACAAATAAAAATGTCAAAATATTTGTAATTATTTTCAGGTCACGTGCAGAGCCATAGGTATTGGATCCTACGTAGTGCGTCTTGGTCAAAGGATCGTCCAGAATGAGAACTCTCACATCATCTTGACCGGAGCGGCTGCACTGAACAAGGTGCTAGGTCAGGAGGTGTACACGTCCAACAGCCAGCTAGGAGGGATCCAGATCATGCACAACAATGGTGTGACGCATGCAGTCTCAAGGGATGACTTTGAAGGGGTCGGGACGCTCTTGAAGTGGCTCTCCTACATGCCGAAGGTAAGAGAATTCTTGGAATGGCTGGTGGAAATCTGGGCCCGTTGCACAGAACTTACCATTGATGGTAACTTTGCCATCAATGGTAACTACCATGGAAACCTTGATTTTGATTGGCTGTTGAGCCCTGTTACCATGGTAGTTGCCATTGATGACAAAGTTACCATCAATGGTAAGTTTTATGCAACGGTGCCATGGATTGTAAACTACAAGTTGAATTAGCTTATTTCTTCATTAACAGAATAAAAAGACTGACGATTGTATTACATTGGATGTTATTGAAGTACATGTATGCTGGATCCATTCTTTGTGTTTTCTTCCATAGGCTAAGGACAGCCTCGTACCCATCATACCGAGCGCAGATCCCATTGACAGGGAGATTGATTTTGTCCCTTCAAAGACACCATACGACCCTCGTCACATGCTTGCTGGCCGGCCTAACCCAGGTGAGTGCTGTGTAGGGAGATGATTGTATTACCCTTTAAGTAGTGGTCATGGACAGATGTGCTCTTTAGATTATATTACATACATGTATCTGACTGATGATTTTGAGGAGGATAGTGATGATGAGGAGGTGAAGGAGGAGAGAGAAAAGGAGGGTGTATGATGATGATTATGATTATGATAATAATAGTAACAGTAATAACAGAAAAATATTAAGGAGCATGAGAAATATGATGATGATATAATTTTTTTATTGTGGTATAAAAATACATTGTACATGGCAGCCTAGCGTTTGAATTGACTACAATTTTACATTAATGATAACACCAGAACACTGCACAAAAGACAATAGTATTAAAAAGTCATTAAAAATATTACATTCATAACAACAAAAATAGGTACATGTACATGTACACCTTATTCAAAGAATATTGATAATTATGACATTAAGGATGGTGAGGAGGGTGAAAATAAGGATGATAACCAACTTATCATAATAAGATAAATGAAGAGAATAATTATGGTGGATGAGGAGGGAGAGATTGAGAACTAGGTGGTATGAGCCACTCTCCAAGCGCTATAGTTCTCCTTAGAACTATAAGCTAAGAAAGATAACCAACAGTCTGTTTCAAGACTATACCAAACAGTCTTTTTCAGGACTACGAACCCTCAAGAAAGATTACCGAGAGTTCTTTTCAGGACTCCTCAATCCTCCCTCTCTCTCACATGGTGCACCCGCAAGCCTACTGTATAGGTGGTATTATGTTCTCCATTTTATCTTCATTCTCTTGATCAAATGTGTACCTTGTTGTTTCAGATAAGAGCAGTGAGTGGCAGTCAGGATTCTTTGACAAGGGAAGCTTCATGGAGATCATGGCACCTTGGGCCCAGACCGTGGTGGCAGGGAGAGCCAAGTAAGTCCTGCATCACCTCTTATCAACCTTAGGTAGCTTAGTGGAATGAAGTGGCACGAAAGGATGCATCGTTGAAAAAAATTCTCAGTGGGAAAGAACCATTATAATAATCATCCCTACTACTTCTACTACTACTACTAGTGAAGTCTTGTATAGCGCTCATGTCTGACACATTGCCACTCTTGGTGCTCCATTATTATTACCCTGGCTTTAGCATGGCTGCCTTAACGGCGCTCAAGCATTTCAAGGAACTACTTCCTGCCAGGTACCCATTTACCTCACCTGGGTGGAGTGTGGCAAATGTAGATCAATGTCTTGCCAAACGACATTAGTGCTGCAACAGGAATGTGCACCCTTTAACTGATTCAATGTTGTTGTCTTCCAGTCTTATATTTTCTATTCACTCCTCTTTTCTTCCTCTTTTTGAAAAGATTGGGAGGCATTCCAGTTGGGGTCATCGCCGTGGAGACCAGATCAGTGAATATTGAGATCCCTGCTGACCCAGGCAACCCTACATCAGAAGCAAAGGTAATTTCATCTCAAACCAACTCCCTGACATGTACATATCCCTCTCTCCCCAACAACAAATCTTCAAAAAGGACGGTAACATATCACCAGGCACTTGCCCTTTTAAAAATAACCCCCTTTTCCCTCCTTTCAAATAACTATGTGTACCTGTTCTACATGTACAATTTATTTTTGTTTTGTCTTTTAAGGGGAGGAGGTTTTCTTCTTTGCTATTTTCTTGTTTTTCTACCTTTAGAATTTGATTGAAGACTTATTGTTACATGTACATGTAGGATTAATCTACCTCTTGTACTATTGTCTAGTCATTTCAAACCTCATGTATCCATAGAATGTTTGTTCACAAGTGAACTTTAATATCCACTGCCAGATCACTTCTTTAAATAGAATGCTGTTCTGATATCTTAGTTCAATTTAACATAAGAAAAAAAAGGTTTCACAACACTGTTTTTTTAGTCGATATTGAAGCGTTAGTGTAATTGTGATGTTATGCTTCAAAACACTGTGCAAAATTCAGAGTATTTCTTTACTTTTGCTTTCATATCAGTCCATTGCCCAAGCTGGAATGGTGTGGTATCCTGACTCAGCCTTCAAGACTGCACAGTCCATCAAAGACTTCAACAGAGAAGGGTTACCTCTCATTGTCTTTGCCAACTGGAGGGGTTTCTCAGGAGGAATGAAAGGTAAGGTGGATGGATGAATGAGTGAGTGAGTGAGTGGGTGCGTGAGCGAGTGAGTGAATGATTGAGTGAGTGAGTGAGTGAGTGAGTAACAGAGTGAGTAATTGGGTGATGAATGAGTAAATGAGTGAGTGGGTGAGTGAGTGAGTGAGTGATTGAGTGTGGGAGTGGGTGAGTGGGTGGGTGAGTGAGTTAGTAAATGAGTGAGTAATTGGGTGATGAATGAGTAAATGAGTGAGTGGGTGAGTGAGTGAGGGAGTGAGTGAGTGATTGAGTGTGGGAGTGGGTGAGTGGGTGAGTGAGTGAGTTAGTAAATGAGTGAGTAATTGGGTGATGAATGAGTAAATGAGTGAGTGGGTGAGTGAGTGAGGGAGTGAGTGAGTGATTGAGTGTGGGAGTGGGTGAGTGAGAGAGTGGGTGAGTGAGTGGGTGGGTGAGTGAGTTAGTGAATGAATGAGTGAGTGAGTGAGTAACGGAGTGAGTAATTGGGTGATGAATGAGTAAATGAGTGAGGGAGTGAATGATCGAGTGAGTGAGTGATTGAGAGAGGGAGTGAGTGAATGAACGAGTGAGGGAGTGAACGAGTGAGTGAGTGAGTGAGGGAGTGAGTGCGTGAATGAGTGAGTGAGTAAATGCATGAATGAATGAATGACTGAATGAATGGGTGGGTGAGTGAGTGAGCAAATGAATGGATGATTGGGTTAACATATAAGTTAATTGAACAATTAAATGTATTAAGTACACAAGTTACTGAGCGAGTGAGCAAATATTTGAATGAATAATTGAATGAATTCCACACTGCAATAAATACTCTCACACGATGCCTGGATACAGGTCTATAGATTACCTCTCCTGGGTACAAACAACACTGACTATTACATTCACACTGAATGAACGCATTCCTCATCTCATTTTATCCCCTTTCCAGACATGTACGAGCAAGTGCTGAAGTATGGATCTTATATCGTTGATGGTCTGTGTGAGTACAAGCAGCCCGTCATGGTCTACATCCCACCCTTCGCTGAGCTGAGAGGAGGTTCCTGGGTGGTGATTGATCCGTCCATCAACCCTAAATACATGGAGATGTATGCAGACCAGGACAGCAGGTACGCCACGGAATTCATATCTATTGGCCTGTTTTCATCAGCTCGAGATAGCCAAATATCTCGCTATTTGAACTATCCAGATCGCAAATTAACCAGTTAATTTGCGTCTTCATCAGCGTGCAGAGCTGCCAACTAGTACGGATTTTCCGTAATTGGTACGGAAATTAACGACCATTACGGAATGTTGTCTCAAATTACGGATTTAAAAAAAAAAAAAAAAAAAAAAAAGATTTTTTTTTTTTTTTTTTTTTTTTTTTTTTTTTTTTTTTTTTTTTTTTAATGAATTAAATATGATTTATCGTAGCGAGTGCTGTGAATAGGAGCCATTTTTCATGATAAACTGTGTTGTGATGACCTGAAATTCAATACTTAACATCTTTGTGTGAGTAAAATCACCAAAAATTTCAGATAATCATGCGTCCGCGCAGTGTTGGCGTGTCGTTTTTTTAGATTCATAGCGCCGCATAAGAAATTACTGATTTATACCCCAAATTACTGATTTTGAGCCTTGTGATTACTGATTTTCTGTTCTGGAGGTTGGCAGCTCTGAGCGTGAAGTTGCAATTAGCAGGATATTTGGTCGAGATAATCATCCCAAGATATTGTGGGCTAATTTGCAAATATCCTGCTATTTGGCAAAATATCCTGCTATTTGTCCGGTGCGCGAACGCTGAGCAAAATATCTTGAGCTAATTTCTCAAGTTCGATTTTAAAGTTTCGAGGTCAAGTCGCGAGCTGATGAGGACGCGATTTGTAACTTCGTTATTATTTCCCAAATCAGAATTAGCGGGCTATTTCCCAATCTCGAGCTGATGAGGACAGGCCTTATGAGAATTATGATAATGTCAATAATACTCTGTCCTTGTAAATGCGTATCACATTATAATGTCCCTGAGCTTTGGAAATTATCCACTCTAAGACTAGAAACATTTAGGTTTGTAAACTCAATTGGTAAATGAGAGCAAATTTCACAAATTTGCAAAAATGCTTTGTGTTCAAATGCTAATGCTGGAGGTGGTGGTTGTACTAGAGATGATTGAGGAAAAAAAATACAATCTTTAAATTTCGTCTTTTGTAATTTCAAGAGTGTTTTGTATCTATTTTATTTCATAAATTCCCAGAAAACATTGAGACCATGCTCACACAAAAAAAAAATACCTTGTGGAATTTGCTTTCTCAAAAGCATTGTTAGTCTAAAGAATTAATCCACAGTATAAAGCCAAGTACATGAACATCCACGTGTCTGTTGACCTATCAATGTCTTTGCTCTTTCTTGTTCTGTACAGAGGAGGAGTCCTGGAGCCTCAGGGTACGGTGGAGATCAAGTTCAGAAAGAAGGACCAAGTGAAGGTTATGAGACGCATCGATCCGGTCTGCTCCTCTCTCATGGAGAAACTGGCCAATCCAACGCTCACTAAAGATGAAAAGACTGGTAGGTACATGACAGTGATGATGACGGTGAGGAGGAGGAGGAGGAGGAGGCGGAAAATAATGTTGCTGATACAATAACAACTTTTTTTCTTTCTATTCTTTTGATGATAATGATGTTGATGATGGTGGTGAATGATACTCTGCAACTTTTAATTTATGCATGATGCAAAGCTTTAAAATGTTGACATTTTTGGGTCCGGACTGAGGTTTTGGGCGCCATGGAAAACACAGGCACCTGCTTAGTGTCAAGCCCAGCCTTGTAGATCTAAACATGTGTTTCAACTTCGGTCCATGGCCTCCATGAAATACACAGATAACAAGGAAACTTTCTCTTGCCTGTTCAATCGTGTCATTATTTCAAACTGAGGTGCGTGCAATCTTTAAAGAAATATATCATTCAGACAGTGCCTCTTTTGTTTTCCTTTGCAGCACTTACCAAACAGCTGACAGAGCGAGAGGAGGCCTTGCTGCCCATCTATCACACCGTTGCCGTGACCTTTGCTGACCTCCACGATAGGGCAGGTCGCATGCAAGAGAAAGGAGTCATCTCGGTAAGTCATCTAGCAGCCTTTTCACACACAGCTAAAATTCTATAAACATGATTAGTATAAACGTGTTTGAAACGTGTTTAAACTAATCACGAGCCTTTCACACACAGAAATTTCGGTGCCGATCGTTAATCGTTTCGTGATTAACTACTGCTCGTAAAATGCGCAGTAGTGCCATTGCGCATTGAAGGTCATGCCATATCAATCAAAGCGCACGCTCCATCCAGTTTAAACACGTCTGAAACACGTTTAAACACGAATAACCTTTCACACACAAAATGTCAAGCTCTCTAGATACGAACTTTGTATCTGCAGCCTGCTTTTAGGGGTGTATGAATCGTGACTTTGTATCTATCCCAACATCGTATAAACGATGTTCACACGGAAAATTTTCTATAAACATGTTTAAAACTGTTGAGTTAAACACGTTTATACTAATCATCTCTAGATACGATGAATTTTAGCTGTGTGTGAAAAGGCTGTTGATCATGTCGCTTGTTTTACTGTTGTCCTTGCAACTTGCTTTATCTCGGCTCATTGCTGATTGCAGCTCTATGCATTCTTGCATTCTTATATGTATGTGTATATTCATCGCATCGTTGGACTATGCCAGGTCCCACCCCCCCCCCCCCAAGTGCATGTCACAGCTCAGTATATATATATATATCAGAGGTCCCTGTCTGCACTCACACTCTGGTAGATTAGTGTCAATGTATCCCCACTTGTGTATGAATGCCTTGCATCTCGTAGGCAGCCTGTTAAAGGTCATGCGATTGCATTGTGAAAGAAACGTTATGGAATCGATCAGAAAAGGTTGATCATCTAGCATACATGTATAAGTAATGGTGTGTACTGCAAGGTTCTGGAATCATCAAAATGATAAGAAAATTGGCCCAGTCTTGGTAAAGTTACAAGCACTGTACACAGAAATATGTATTTGGGACTTTGTGATACGTGCGCGATATCTATCCGGTCCGGATAGATATAATAATTTACCAAATATATCAATAAGTAGGCGGTTTCTCGGCAAAATTTGTATCATCACGTATTAGTCAAAACATATTCTTTCACATGATTAGTAATAAGAGCTTCTATTTCATTTTTTGAGAGGGGGCGTTTCGAAAACTGGTCGAAACCTTTGATGATGCAAATTGACCATCATTTTCCTTATTCAAATATTGTCTTTGCCTGTGCAGGAAATTCTGAAATGGAAGCAGTCTCGGACGTTCTTCTACTGGAGGTTGCGCCGTCTCATCCTGGAGCATGCCATAGTGAAGAGGATCTCTACCTGTAACCCCAAGCTTTCTCATGGTGAGATCCAGTCCATGCTCAGGAGATGGTTCGTCGAGGACCAGGGTACCGTCAATGTAAGTAGCAGGCCTGATAAAAACCTGATTTAAATCGGTTTCCTGTTTGTTTTTTGTTTTTTCCCCTGATTTTGTTTGTTTGTTTTCTTCTTCCTCGATTTTCCCCTTATTTTCTCTATTTTTTGCCAATTTTCTTACTCAAAAAGGGGGGAATGTTGCTGGATGCCTTCCCCCCCCCCCCCCGTATCCTTTTTTTTTACTCAAGGGGGGGCGTGGTTGAGGGGAAAAAAAAACCCTGTAGAAGTAGGTGACTGCCATGCACTAAAGCCTGGATTACAACACCCAGGGGTGTTTCACAAAGATCCTTAATTGAACTTATCTCTAAGTTGGGCTTAACAATTATGGAAAGCTGTTAGCATCTGAGAAAATGTTTTATAAAACTTATTTTAAAAGGCATAAAATCGTCGCTGTTTTCACGAAGTGACGGTAGTGAAAAAAAATTGCATTCACTTTGCGTTACGATTTTCCTCACTACCGTCACTTCGTGAAAACAAGGACGAAATGTTGATTCAAATCATTCATATTTTCATGCTACAAATGGCTCTCCATAATGTTTAAGTCCAACTTAGAGATAAGTTCGACTTAGAATCTTTGTGAAACACCCCCCTGGTGTCTAGCCTTACATGTAGACATTAACAGTTATGTGCAGAAACTCGTTTATTGGAAGGAAGAAGAAGTAAATTCATAATATTCTCATAATTTGCCTGCTCTATTTCAATCTTTCGCCATGCATCTTTTAATTTTTTGCTTCCATGCAAATGAACTTTTTACAGATTGGATTGCCCTTCAAATCTATGTTACATTTAGGAATATAATTACATGAAAAAATGATCACAGCTATTTCCCCAAAGAAGTAACCAAAACACCTGTATCCAGGGAGCTACTCGTTAATCTTTCAATCCTCACCTTTGATTATGTTAAATGCATTCATGAATTGGCACCAACTTATCGGCAAGAACTAATCCAGGAATACAAACCTTTACGTAATCTATGGTCATCTTCATTAAACCTTGTGTCTACTTCAGTGTCAACTCTTTCTTATGGTCATCGTTCTTTCTGCCAAGCTTCTGCTGAACTTTGGGACAAACTGCCTATAAATGTCAAAAACTGCCAGACTGTTAACCAATTCAAAACTTGTCTTTAGACACATTTATTCAAAATTGCTTTTGATGATTAACTACTCTGTTCACATTGATGTATATTTCATATGTATTGTAATTTGTAGATTTATTTGCATTTTCTTTTTTTTGGTTTAATATGTAATTGTTTGTCATTGTATTTAATAGCGCTTAGAGGCTTCAGCCGTGAGCGCTTTATAAGCACCGTTATTATTATTATCATTTATTAATTTGTTGCAAAATCTCTTGATTTGTCTCCTCATTCCTCAGTCCTATCTATGGGAAGATAACAAGGCAGTGACGAACTGGTTAGCAGAACATGAGAAGAAGGAGAAAGAGACGAAGACCTCCTTCCTGATGGAGAACATCAAATCAGTGAAGAGAGATAGCATCATGCAGCAAATCAGAGAGTAAGGATGATGATGGTGGTGATGGTGGTGGTGGTGGTGGTGATGATGATGGTGGTGGTGATGGTGTTGGTGGTGGTGGTGGTGGTGATGGTGATGATGATGATGATGATGGTGATGATGATGATGATGATGATGATGAAGTTGGCAATGATGATGACTGTGATGATGATGGTGACAGTGGGGTGAGTGGTGTTGATAATTATGATGATGGTAAAGAGATGATGAAGATAGTGATGATCTTGATAATCGTTTTGATACCTGTAATTGTGAGAATGATGATGATGACGACATTGTGTTAGGTTTACAAAATTGTGGTGGTGGTGGTGATGATGATGATGATGATGATGATGATGATGATGATGATGATGATGGTGATGGGGGGTGGTGGTGGTGATGATGAGATGATGATGATGATGATGATGGTGTTGGTGATTATGGTGATGATGATGATGATGATGATGGTGAAGTTGGCGATGATGATGACTGTGATGATGATGGTGACAGTGGGGTGAGTGGTGTTGATAATTATGATGATGGTAAAGAGATGATGAAGATAGTGATGATCTTGATAATCGTTTTGATACCTGTAATTGTGAGAATGATGATGATGACGACATTGTGTTAGGTTTACAAAATTGTGGTGGTGGTGGTGATGATGATGATGATGATGATGATGATGATGATGATGATGATGATGGTGATGGGGGGTGGTGGTGGTGATGATGAGATGATGATGATGATGATGATGATGGTGTTGGTGATTATGGTGATGATGATGATGATGATGATAGTGTTGATGATGGTGATGATGATGGTGATGATGATGATGATGATGATGATGATGATGATGATGGTGTTGATGATGGTGATGATGATGGTGATGATGATGATGGTGATGATGATGGTGATGATGATGATGATGATGGTGATGATGATGATGATGATGATGGTGTTGATGATGGTGATGATGATGGTGATGATGATGGTGATGATGATGATGATGATGATGATGATGATGGTGATGGGGGTGGTGGTGGTGATGATGAGATGATGATGATGATGATGATGGTGTTGGTGATTATGATGATGATGATGATGATGATGATGATGGTGTTGATGATGGTGATGATGATGGTGATGATGATGGTGATGATGATGGTGATGATGATGATGATGATGATGGTGATGATGATGATGATGATGATGATGATGATGGTGTTGATGATGGTGATGATGATGGTGATGATGATGGTGATGATGATGGTGATGATGATGATGATGATGATGGTGATGATGATGATGATGATGATGATGATGGTGATGATGATGATGATGATGATGAAGTTGGCAATGATGATGACTGTGATGATGATGGTGACAGTGGGGTGAGTGGTGTTGATAATTATGATGATGGTAAAGAGATGATGAAGATAGTGATGATCTTGATAATCGTTTTGATACCTGTAATTGTGAGAATGATGATGATGACGACATTGTGTTAGGTTTACAAAATTGGTGATATGAATAACAATGTTGATAGTAGTGGTTAGGATATTGGTCATGATGAAGACAATGTTAAAGATGAAGTGTTTGTCATGGCAATACTGATGACGAGGAAGAGAAAGGTGAAGAGGATGGGGTTTTGAAAATCGTACTAAAGAAGAAATTAATCATGGTAGCATTGGGGGAGGACGACTCACAGAAAGACCATCGTGTACAATGTACATGTGACCCAAGATACATTGTATCACATAAACAGGTACCCATTTAACACCTTGGTGGAGCATAGCAAGCCAAAGGATATTAGTGACGTGTCGGGATTCGAACTCTCAACCTTTGCATCTGCAGTCAAGAGCCTTAAACCACTCGACCACGACACTCCCACTGTCTCTAATATTTTGAATGAGCATTACCTTATCTTCATTTCCCATTCAGGCTGGTCAAGGAGAACCCTGATGTTGCCTTAGATTCTATCATCCACATCTCCCAGCAGATGACATCCAGTCAGCGTACAGAGGCATCTAGAATCCTGTCCTCCATCGAGCACAAATCCAACTGAGGCAATGTGGTCCCACTACCCCCGGAGGATGACTGGACTGTGTAACCATGGCAATGAGAATCTTACCTTCCGTAGAACATTATTCCAAATGAGATGATGTCCCTGCATGTTAACTGTACTGTGTAACCATGGTAACAGAAATAACACTGCAACATCCAAATTCTGCACTTCTCAGGATCTTCGTCATTTAGAGATTTGTCTGACAACAGGTCCTAGAGCATCCTGTCTTGAGATGCCTAAGATGGAACATGGTGACTAAAGGTCATCTTGTGATGGTAGTAATCCAGAGAACCATCATGATCATCCTATTGATGGAGCCATGGAGCCTTCCAATATTGCCCACATGAATATATAGCATGTGGGACTAAACATGGTAATGTTGTTCGATGATACCAGGTTTCCAAGGTTTGCGAACATGAGTTTCACGTAGGCTGGGAATTTCTATAAGTCAGCAATAATAGTATAAGTGACTTCCCCTCATGTTATGTGATCTACAAATACACATGAGCAAGTTTTTACAAAAGTTTACAGACTGTAAGTACGCGTACCTTACTCCGTATTACAATTACATATTCAGGATGTGTTTTGTTCTGTAATATATAATGCATTTTCTTTAAGGTGGATTTAGATGTTGCTGTTCTTTGCACACCATTTTAGGGCATCAGGAAAATGTTGGTGCAAATTAAGTTCAAGTCGAACAGATTTTCATAGCGAGGCTTGCATGTACGTGTCATCATGTGCAATTGATAGTGATGGGGCTAGGTTGGATAACTGTACATGAACATGACCTTTAAAGAGAAGGTTGCGTTCTAGAAAAGGTGAATTATTTGTGAGCTTTTTCATTCTTTTTGTGTTTAATAGTGTGGAAAGTTTTCATAGAAAATGTTTCCGCTGAAAATAATCATGGCTCTCCTAATGCTCTCATATTCAAATTTTCGAAATATGGCAAGGAACGGCTAAAGGATGTTGACTACCCTTTCTTGTGATAGGTTTGTTAATGATTTAGAGGTAAATTCATATATTTTGGGGATATGACCAAACATTTCGAGATGTTGTTGGCCAAATGTTGCCATAAACATGTATGTACTGTACCAGACCCACGTTGAATAACTATCATAGTGAGAAACCCATATTTCTTCTCCACCCACCCCCCCCCCCCCCCCAAAAAAAAAAAAGTGAGTGGGGTTGGGAGATGAGCTGGCTTTTTAAATCTGTAAAGACCATAGACTTATCTAAAAATATAAACAAAACAAAATGAGACAAATATAGTTACATACATGTATACATGTCTCCTCCCATCTAATGGGGGTAGTATTTATGTAGTATTCAAGTTTTCATTATGCCCATGAATGTATATGCATGTACATTATGATTTTCCGTAATATTGACCTCTGATCTTGACATTTCAACAGGAAGATTTAGGACAGTACTGTTTTTTGGACATGATCCTCAGGGAATATGATTTTTTGTTAAACATTTTGTAATGGTCATAATTTATTGGAATCACTTAGTGAACATCTGCATATTAATGTGCAAGTAGAGTGTAGATTGTACATGTAAGCAATGAGCAGCATTATGATATCACTTAAAAGTGGCAATTTGTAATCTATTGTGTTGTTTTAATACGATTAATTAGTGCAAGTAGGATAAAATTGGATTATCTACACCTACATGTATACCTACATGTACACCTACATGTACATGCAACAAAATAGTGCATTGTAAATGTACTAATGGACATGGGATGTTCTTTTGTTAAGTTTGTGAATCGATGTTCCCTTTAATTTAGTTCAGTTTAATAGAATGTTTTTTATAGCTCCTATTCTTACCTGTTTTCAAATCCTTATCATAATGCAGTGGGATATATGCAAATTGTATGCAGGCCAGTATTGAAACTAATGTACATAAATAGACTAACTCTGTATTTGGCCTTTCGCCTGGATGAACCACTGGACTGCCATATTTAGTATATAACACACATGTACTGAATGTGGGCAAATAGTTGGCTGTGACACTCCGCTGGTTGTTCCACTGGTCGACCAAAGCTTGTGTAGAGTTAATGTAAAAAGTTGTGGATTGAAAGATTTTATTGCTATGAATTTATTGCTGTGAATTTATAAAATGATCAAAAATGTATATTATGTATATTGAGTAGTATTGCAGAGAATGATTGTGACTGACTTTTATACTTTTTTTAAAGATATAATTTGATTTATGAACAATTTTCAATGAAGCAGCTTGGAAAAGGATGTTTTACAGATTTTGTTTCCAAAACAAGAGATATTGTACATGTAGATTCTATTATATTTTCATGACATACATTGTACACACACATGTATCATTATGTGGGTCAAACTCACCATATAATGCAGTCTATTATGTGACACTGTACAGGTGCGTTACATGTATGTGTATCTTGATACATCCTGCCTTGCTATACTTTGCAAGGCAGAAATGCAACTAAATGTAGTTGGGATTTTCTACTGTGCACTTACATAATATGCATTGATAAACCATTTATGGATTTGGTTGTAATTCATATGAAAATGTGCAATTTTATTATATTTCTATTCAATCTTACTACATTATCGGAGAGAGAGGGTGTATTTTGTATATTTTTAGGGTGGTTGTAATCTACTATACTATAAAAGGGTTTCTTTCGTCAGTCATTTGTAATATTTAGTCAAGTACTAGCCGGGAAACTCGTAGATAAACTAAGGACTTTTTAAAGGCTGGGTACTGTACTGACATCACTACGACTGCCGTCATGTATTCAATTGGCCATCTTTCGGTGAACGCATACATAGAGCGATTTTGGTTCCTGTACCCAAGCATCGTCACGCATGCATCATGAAGTTGGTGATGCATTGTGGGACCAGGCCGTCGATACATTGGGGCATTGTAATCAGCAGAGGGCAGTATACATAAACCTGAAGTGGTGTGAGTAGAATGCCTTGCCTTTATATGGTACAAATATCTGTACCTCCACACTGTATTATTGACCAAAATACAAATATATATATGCATGAATATTCATAAAATGGGTGGTTGAGGAAATTAAAAATGTATTTTCAGTATTCTTTGATTGAGATATGATAATTGAAATTGGGAATAACTGATTTGCATAATTTAGATTTAAGCAATGTTTTTCATACATGTATGTTGTTGATTGGAGAATGAATTTTTATTTGAATAAAATTCAAATTGATGCATAAATACTGATTCACAAAATGCCTTTTCTTAGAGTATATATGTTCCTTCTAAAATGAAATTAGGTGACAAGGCTAATCATAACCATGTTGAAAAACAAGTACATGTAGGATATCAATTGTCATATTGCTGACATTGTACGTTTGTTTGACTGCAATGAATGAACATGATTTCATAATGAAAAGATACTAGAGCAAAGAAACCTGTTATCGTCTCTCTCTCTCTCTCTCTCTCTCTCTCTCTCTCCCCCCCCCCTCTCTCACTCACCCAATCTCTTATCTCTCTTCCTCTCTCTATCTCTCTCTACCTCTCTCTCCACCCACTCTCTCTCTCTTTTGAATTCCATTTCCCATTCTTCTTGCTCTGTCTTTTTATGATTAATGTCATTTTCACATTTCTTCAAAATACATCAAAATTACAATAAATGCTTCGCACTTCTTCCTTCTCACTTTCTGAATTTCCCTCTTTGACATTATACTCAAAAGAGCAACCCTGCCCCCCCCCCCCCCATCTCCAGAGTACCAAAGTGTGATGTCATACTGGCTAAGTTGTCAAGGTTGCTGGTTCCAAACAGTATTCGTGCTAAACAATGGAATTTGCCCTGCTCCAACCTGTACTTGAATCAGTTTGTGGTAAACATCATGCGCAGGCTCTCTTGTTTAGAATCAGTAACCTGGACAATGAGCGAATATTAACACTTCGATACTCTATTCTTCACCTCACCTGCAGAAATGAGTCATTGACAGAGTTTTATACACATACATGTATTACGATTTATTCAATTATACTCAATAGAATGTACTTAATTTTCCACAGACACCAATACATTTGGTATACAATATAAATTTCTCAATATCAAAATTTTACAAAAAGCAGTCACATTGGCTCATACAGTCACAAATTCCATGCCATAAACGTTATGTACATGAATAGAAGTGCAGTGCAGGTGATGAAAACACATTAATGAAAGCTTGAAGCATTCACATTACTGCACTGTTCACAAAATACATTGTAGATGTACGATACAGAAAAGCTGACCCCCAAAACTGTCCAGTATTACCTTCCCAAATCATCAAAAGTAAATTTACTTTCCACTTTATTGAAGAGACGCATAAATGCTTGTTCCGATATGGTCGCAAACAAATGCTGCATTTGTTTCCTTTTAATGTGTTTAAAAAAATGGAAACTGCACGCAGCAAAGATCCTATAGGCGCGATAGCTCAGTTGGTAGAACAGTGGTCTCGTAATCCGGAGACTCCGGTTTGAAACCAAGTCGATGCGCTAGTGCCCTTTGGTAAGGCATTAATCCTCATTACCAGGTCTCTCGGAGAGGCCCTAAAGCCGTCGGTCCTCTGGTTTCTAACTAACGAGCATTTATGCTTTCTTAGCATTAGGATAAAATAACCCCCACTACTATATGTATTCACCGAGCTTCGTGAAGCATATTATGAAAAAAAACGTTGTGGTTTACTCGGTCACATCTGAATGCACTCTACATACCTATAAAAAAAAAAAGGCAATAATAATAATTATCCTTGCTTATATAGCGCCTAACACTCACTTTATCAGAAGGCAAGAACATGTACCATTACCAAAATGTACCGACACCAGGTACGTTAAAGAGAAGGTTGAGTTCTGGGAAGCTAGAGGTGAAAAATGTCATTGTTATTATGCAAATGTGGAAGAAAATCAGAGAAAAAATGTTCCCTGAAAAGCAAGGCTCTTCAAATGCCTTTATATTTTAAATATGACAAGTAACAGCTTAAAAATGAGGTCTGATTGTTATGCCACATGTTCGTATAGTACCATAAACATCTTTCTATGTCCAGTACTGCTTGTTACTTTACCAGGACTGGGCCAAATTTCTTATTATTTTGATGACTACAAAACTGGCTTGCAGTACACTTCAATACTTACATGCTACATGATCAATCTTTTCTGATCGATTCCACACCGTTTTTTTCACAATGCAATTGTATTAGAACTCAACTTTATCTTTAATGGCCAAAACACGGTATTTAACATTCTGAGCATTCTCAGTCACCTACAATAAATAATTTGGAAAGATATATTTGAATCTCAGAAGAATTATAATACAATCAAATAGAAATCAATGTACAATAGAAGCATGAATACACTCTCCTGAAATACAGTGGAACCTGGTAAAAACAATGTGCTTTATCTAGGACCAAGGAAAGGGGGGGGGGGGGGGGGGGGGGGGTAGTGAGCAATTTTTTTTCTCCAACATATGAAGGATAGTCAATACCAAGAATCTGCATCAATGAATAACAGTTGTGGAATGTCCACTATCGGATGTTATGATAAGTTAGAGGGAGAAGACCAAGCATTAGAAAGCAAAATGATGGGACAGGACCTGGGGTGGCGTTTCACAAAGCCTCTTTTTCAATGACAAATAACAAAAGCAGTGACAAATCTGCTGATAACCAGTCAGAAGCAAGGATTTCAGTGGCTTATAACAAAAATTGTCATTTGTTACTGCACAAGTTTTGTGAAATGCCCCCCCCCCAAGTCCAAAAGTGTATTACATTTACACTAAACAATCTAACATTCAATATACTACAGCATGTAAATAAATACCAAGTATTAAAGGATTAGTTAAAAGTAGCTGCACGTAAGAAATGCTTTACATGTACACATGCCCAATTTTTCTGTGTGAAATCAAATACAGAAATGCAAAGCGGATTATGAATACACCCTTTCGCGGTTACCAGAGTGCACATGCGCCGACATGGGCGCCATTCGTAATTGCGAGTAAATATTGCGAGTAACTTTTGTCGTATGCAGCATGCAATTAAAGTGTTGATACGATGTCAGCGCAGGCAGTGACGCAACAATACATGCGCGTCTGAAAACATTGATGACCGTGCTTTTAATACTTGCAAATTGAAATGGTGGCCTTAACTGTGAAAAGGTGTATTACTACATGTAAATTCTAATGATGTGATTTTACTTTATTGAAACAATGTAATCTCAGAACTAAAAAAACACCAGAATACAGCATTCCTAATATTAAACAAGATTTTACTACTTAAATATTAGAATACAATAAATACTATGAAATACATGAACTGGATATACACACGAATTGCAAGATTGCAGAGTTTGAGTGAATGAATTGTAACACTCTAATTATGAATTCTAACTGAAAAATCAACTTATTTTGATACTCCGTTTGGGTTTCAGCGGTCATTGCAAGAGGAGCAAGAGGAAATCAAATGACTTCACAAATGCTCATCTGGAAGCCGTCATGGGACAAACACAACAGAGGTAATCCAGCAATGACTTACATGGATAAGTATTAAGATAAAGATACTCGTCTACCAAGGCAGGAACACCCAAAGATCATGAAGAAACAAACTGAATGAAAAAATTAATTGTCAAATCAGTGTGAGTATGCTTGACCCAACAGTAGTAGATACCAAAGAAATTCATAAAAATCAAATTAAAAGTATATCTACAGGCTACAAGTATCACTGTCATAGCTATCAACATGCCAATACACACCGTACCATCAATATATCAATTCAATACATTTGCCTTGAAGTCACACTGCATGTACTAGAAGCGCTACCGCACAATCCCCTCTAGCGCCACCTCAGGTCAGCTGTACCTGTATGGTCCAGTAACTCGCTGCGCTGTTGGTTCTTGCAATGAGTCCCCTGCCTGCGAAGCGGAAATTAGCTTTTGGGTTATGCACTATTGGCAAGTTGACTATGAGATGGCGGCGAGCAATAAACAATATGCCAAGGCAGAAAGTTCATCAGTACAGTATCGCTTTAAGAAAATATCAGCAAGTACATACATCATCAACACAGAATACAAAATAGACCAGGGGGGTGTTTCACAAAGATTCTAAGTCGAACTTAACTCTAAGTTGGATTTAAATATTAAGGAGAGTTGTTTATAGCCTTATAGTGAAATATATTCAAAAGCAAAAATTCAAGTATTTTAAACTGTTCGTAAATTCCACATCAAGAACATGATAATAGAAAATATGAATATTTTGAATCAACATTTTATATGCCTTTTAAAATAACTTTTACAAAATATTTTCAAGGATGCTAATGGATTTTCATAATTGTTAAGTCCAACTTAGGGATAAGTTCAACTTAGGATCTTTGTGAAACACCCCCAAGGACCCTTTAGAACCCACTTGTGCTTGTAAAAGGGACCCCTCACAAGTGAAATATAATTATCATCTTGATGCAACTGATATCATGAAGAATATTCCCATTTTACTTTTATAATTATTCTAGTTATAATAACACAGGCAAGACGGAAAGCAAATATTAAGCAGTAGTTAATTGCTGAAGAAAATGAAATTTGACTGATGGTTAACCAGGTTATATAAAACAGTGCATAAAATTGGAATGATCCTTGCATGTACCTAATGCTTGCCTTTCGGAGCATGTTGCTTCCCATAATACTTTAGACTTTAGAGTGATTTTGTACTTATCTTTTTAAATCAACCACAAGCAAGTAAAATTGAGGGGGAGAGGGGTTTCAGTACCATAATGTAACCCCCATAACCTTTTATACAAATCAGATAAATGTACTAAAACCATTCTGGGCCATTTTTCTACAGTTTTAACATACTGTGAATTAAATATTTAAATTCAAAGAAGATGTACATGAATGTGAGACAAGTAAATGTAAGATACATATTAACACATTGTTTATTTTTTGACAGAAGGGCAATACCAGTAAATCTGTCTTCAAATATATGATTTAATGTCCTTCTGGCAGTGAACAGACAAGGTGTTTCTTAATTAACATGAGTTATACCGCCTTTCAGGTGAGTTTAACAACACACTAGTGGATAATATAGCACTGACCTCCAATCATTGTTGGACTAGTGCAGATCTCCGTCTCATAAAGAGTTGCGATTGATCAATTAAATCGTTAGTCCTCCAATCAATCATAAATTTGCAGTCTCCTATCTCTTATGTACATAGTTGCGATTGATATCAACTCTTTATAAGACAGGGCCAAGGACTGATAAAGCCAGTGCAAACATGTACATGTGCAGCAACAATATGTTAATATCTTCAAGTACTGTAGGTCATCCCGACGTTCGTCACAAGCAGGACAAGCTCAAGTGTAATCAGCTTTCTAAAAACGGCTTTGACTTGATAAGCTTCAATACATATTTTTATTCCATTAAGAAATGAATCATACCAGCTTGTATTTGCAGTTTATTCTGTGACTAGCTTTGCCCAACTGTAGAAGTAGGTTGAAGTGCTGTTACGAGGAAACTTGCCACTGTGAGATAAAAACAGACATAAGTATAATGTAAGAAAATTTGTTGTCAAACAGAAACTTATCACGAATTTTCAAGAGTCTGATCTGGACTTAAAATGCTTCTTTCATTGTTAAATTTGGTATTAAATGTATCCTTTGCAAACAATCATCATAACAATGTTATCCTATTCTCTTCAGGAAGACAAGCTTGGTCATTTGAAGCCTGTTTTTTTGTAAGAAAATTCAAAAGTAAAGAGACAACACTACAACGTGTTGTAGTCTAGAGGATAAGTCACTGGACTGTTCAGTAGATCGTAAGGTATGGGGCTCAAATCCCAGCAAGACACTAACATCCTTCGGCAAGATGTTAATCTATATCAGCACCCTCTACCAAGGTGTAAATGCATACCGGGGGGGGGGGGGGGGGGGGGGGGTTCACAAAGATCCTAAGTTGAACTTATCTCTAAGTTGGACTTAACAATTATGGAAAGCCATTAGCATCCTTGAAAATATTTTGTAGAAGTTATTTTAAAAGGCATAAAATGTTGATTCAAACCATTCAATGGCTCTCCATAATATTTAAGTCCAACTTAGAGTTAAGTTTGACTTTGAATCTTTGTGAAACACCCCCCTGATAATGCTTGCGCACTACATGTCATCACTTTGGCAGCTCAACTACCGGTATAGAGTAACAAAGTGCCGATGTCACATTGGCTTGTCATCTAGGTTACTACCTCTATACACGAGCCTGCACATAAGGTTCTCCACAAAATCATTCAAGCAACAGGCTGGAGCAGAGCAAATTCAGTGTTTAAGCTGGTGTGATTACCGACCACACCATTGTTCAGCACAAAATTGTGTGGGACCAGCAACTTGGACAACTTGGACAGCACACTTCAATACTCTATAACCGGGGTAATAATGTTTATAAAGTGCCATGAGCATCACCGCGTGACGGACATGAGCGATATAGAAGTGGCAAAAATTATTATTATTATTATCATTATTTTATAGTAGCATCATTTTACTGTTTTCATCCCTACTTGCAATTCCCTTACACCTTTCTAAAGGTTAATTAATCAGTTTTACCTCCTCAAACTGGCAACACATATCAATCATTTGTACGTTTCACTCTAAAAGTTTTTAAAATATTGAACAGTATATTGAATGAAAAAGTGAGAATGAAAATTATCCAAACAAATAACAAGAAAATGCTAATATGTCCATGAAAAAGTGATTATAAATTTCACTCTGCATGCCAATTTATAGACTGCAAAGATAATTTTTGATCAAATCACTCTTATTCACGAATACGGCAATATACTGCAACTGAAATGGATTCGAATTTTCCAGTTATTTCTGCATACAATTTATAAGTCACAGCATTCTGGATTTGAATTGAATTGAATTGAATTTATTCACCACTTTCATAAAAACATCCAAAGGCTGAAAGAATACTACAATTTCTTGCAAACATAGATAAACCATAAAAAATGGAAAATACACTAAAGGAAATTACGAAGTGGTTGGATCATCAAAAAAAGTTACAAAAATTTATAAGTAGATGATCCCAAAAATGTACACAAAAAAAAAAAAAAAAAAAAAGAGACAAAGAAAATACAATAATACAATGGTAATTACACATAAATAATTGCGTTTGTAAAATTCAAATTTTCTACATCAGATGAAGTTTTAGATTATGCTTAAATTTGTTTAAAGATGCACACTGTTTAATAAAGTTTAGGGGGTAGTTTGTTCCAAATAGTGGGTCCATGGCATAAAAAGATACTATTTGAAAATGAAGAATGACCATGGATCAAAATATAGAAATGAAACATCACTAAAAGGTGACGCTACAATGCTATGGTTTAAGAAGTACCTTTAATCCTCCTTGACCACTTGTGTCGTCTACTTTGGCTGCTTTCCTCTCAGCGTCTTCTTTCTGCTGTAGTTTTCTCTTCACTCCCTCTGGGTCCTTCAATCCTCGGCCCTCTTGCTATGTACAGGGAATCATTTACAAGAAGAAACATGTTTTAGTATTTTTGTGGGTAGTAAGAACAGAGACCTTTCCCTCTCTCTCTCTCTCCATCTCACTCCCTCTTTCCTTCTCTCTCTCTCTCTCTCTCTCTCTCTCTTTCGCTCTGTCTCTGTCTGTCTGTCTCTCTCTCTCTCTCACAAATTTCCACCCTACCTCACTCTCTATAGACCAATAAATAACAATTTAATAATAATAATAATATAAATAAAATGGTTTACCCAATGTTCAATGAAAGCAATCACTGGGAAATGAAATGCTAGGAACCATCCCCCTCCCCCTTCTTCTTAATTGGAGCTCTTGTTTAAATTTGAATATTCTGAATTTAAACAAGTCCTCTATTTAAGGTTTACCTGGGTTAGTCTTTTTTCAGCTGCTTCTGCTTGTTGCCTACGTTTGGTTTCCTGTACAGAGAGAGATGGAAAACAAAAAGAGGGGATTACAATAGTGCCTTGAAGAATGTTTGCAAAGAGTTTGAATGCTTTTATATCCTCCTCTATGGGTCTAAATGTACTTCTTTTATCAGTATTAAGTACATGTATGGGCCGGTGCACAGCGTAGTTGGTATAATTGTCTCTCACACTTGAGATTAACCACTTGACTGCTACCCACGTATATGTACATGTACGTGCTTAGGGCAGTGCACTTTCAAGACTGTAGCACTGCATAATGCCAAGCCCTACTGTGTAATTAGCACTGCAATGTTGGTTGGTTCTTCGTTTAGATGGCGCTCTTCAATCTCAAAGATTATTTGCGCCAGTCAATTTTGTGTATAGCTTTGGCGTGGGCTTCGGAAATCAAGCCCACGAGCGACTTTCCTTGGTGAAATGAAATTAATAGTGATATGGTTTTATAAAAAAAAAAAAAAAAAAAAAAAAAAAAGCTGCAATATTAAAATTGCATAAAATGCACATAAAAGGCAAGATGGGAGTTAGTTGCAATTGTTCATGGAAAAACCGCAAATACTTCATTTTATATATTATTACAGGATCGACATAAGTTAAGGGGATCCCTGATAGCTTTAAAAGCTATCTAAAACGATTAGTATCGTATATGTAACCCAATAATTCACGAGTAAAAATTGGGTTAGACATCAATAATTGTTTCAGATTGGGGTTGTTCAATTTAATCCTTTCTTTTAAGAGACGTCTATCTTTGTCGTATTTTGTACAATAGAAAATAAAATGTTTAATTGTTTCATCTTCTTGACAAACTTCACAAAGACCAGTATCGTGTTGGTTAATTTGAAAAAGGTAATAATTTAAACTACAGTTACATGTACCTACTCTTAGTTGTTGTATCAAGCATTCTTCTCTGCGAGATAGGCCTTGTCTATGTATGGGCTTTGAAACGTCGCTATGCAAAGCATATAAAAATCTACCGTGTTCTGCATTGTCCCATTCTGCTTGCCATAATTTGTTATAATGGATCAAACGAGAGGCTGCCAATTCACTTCTTGTATTTGGTATAACTATGTCTATACACCTTTTCATGGCTCCTTTTTTGGCAGCCCGATCTACGATCTCATTGCCCCTAATATCGCAATGTGACGGAATCCATTCAAAAGCAACACAAACATCCTTAAACTGCAAAATATTAATTATGGATAAAATTTCATTTACAATAGCACATCTAATAAAGTATGAATCGATCATTTGTAAAGCTGACAAAGCGTCGCTAAAAATTACCACCGAAGAGGATTCAATAAATGTATTAGTCCACTCTAGTGCCATTAGTATGGCCACTACATGTAGTTCTGCTCTCATAATACAGACATGGGATAATCTAAAAAATTTCACCACATTATAATGAGACACATAAAATGTGGCTCCTGTCTTCCCATCCTCGAGTTTAGAACCATCTGTATCCATATGTAAAAACCCATTCCATGAATTTCCAATGCTATCTAGAACAATCGATTTTATTTCAAATGGAGGCATTTCCTTTTTTTGCACTTTGCCATGGTGTTCGAAAGACACTTGTGGTCGTGCTAACCGCCATTCTGGGATTTTCGGCAATAAGTTGGTTTGCCCTTCCACCACTACTTCGTCTCTAAAGGATCGCAGTTTAAAAGGTCCTTCTCCTATCTTCCATTCTAAGTTATTTAAATCATAGTCATCACCCAATACTTCTTTTGTTGGGTGGTTTAAAGTACTAGACAGTAAATAAACTCGAAAGTTATCATTTAACAACCTTCTACGATATCTCAGAGGCAGCTCCCCGGTCAAAACTTGTAAAGCCTCCAAAGACACATTGTGTATTGTGCCTGTAATAATTTTTAAGGCTCTGTATTGGATAGAGTCAAGTTTTTTTGTTAAAGATATACAAGCAGAATCATACATTTCACTCCCATAGTCCAAAATGGATAGGATAAGTCCTTTATAAATCATCATCAAAATCTCATACTTACTTCCCCAGGGGGTGCCGGAGACACAACGTAGCAAGTTTATTCTTTTCTTACATTTATCAATGATAGAATCTATATGGACAGACCAAGTTAAATTGGAGTCAAACCTCACACCAAGGAACTTATACTGCTCGCATATAGGCAGATTATGTCCTTTTATTTGTAGAAGAATATCTTTCTTTTGTTTGTTGGTAAAGACTAATACTGCAGATTTGGTAGGGGAAACGTTTAACTTCCACGTCCAACACCATATCTCAAGCTCATGCAGGGCCTCTTGTAATTTCCTGCGGGCCAGCTCTAAATCCTTATTTGAACACCAGATTGCAATGTCATCAGCATAGCAAGATAATTTAACATCACTTACATTTATCTTGAGATCATTTAACATTAAAGTAAATAATAAAGGACTTAATGAACTTCCTTGCGGGATTCCATTTTCTAACGTGTAGTGGCGAGACATATAGTTATTTATCCTCACATTAGAAATCCTACTCAATAGAAATGCTTTTATAAAAAGTAACATTTTTCCACCAATGCCTAAGATAGATAATTTTCTTAGTAGACCTGTTTTCCATAGCGAATCATATGCTTTTTCTAAATCAAGAAAGACCGCTACGGTATATTTTTTACTTTTCAAGGATATACATGTATGTATGTCCGTCTCCAATCTCACTAAGTGATCTTTGACATTCCTATATTTGCAGAAGCCAGATTGAATAGGATTTAATAGTCTGTTTTTTTCTAGAAACCACGTCAGGCGATTTTTTATCATTTTTTCCATAATTTTAGAGAATGTTGATATCAACGAAATCGGCCTATAAGAGGTCACTTGAGTCGGATCTTTTCCGGATTTCAAGATTGGTATTTGAATAACCTCATACCACTGATGTGGAAAAAGTGAGATTTTCCAAATGTCATTATACAAGTTTAATAAATACACGAGTGCCTTGTTCGGCAAATTCTTAATCATAATTAAATAAATATCATCCTTACCGGATGAGGAGTTTTTCATCTCCTTTAAAACATTCCCCATTTCACTCATGTTAAAGTCATCATTGATACTAAGGCTGCGACGGGTAGTCGAATGCTCGAGTACCCGCACGGTTGACAACTACTCGGGTACGATTTCTTGTACCCGAATATTCGGCCGCAAAAAAAAAAATTAAAAAAAAAAAAAAAAAAAAAAAAAAATGTCCAGGCCCACGCTTACCCGTGCCAGGGAGAGCAGCGTCCGCTGGCATGGTACCGTCGGTAAAAATGTTTCCCAACTCAAGCACTGTCAAACTCACCTTTCAGAAACTGGGACCAAATGTCCAGATTTCTGTTTGGACTTGGAGGAAAATGGATTATTCTGCCATCTTTGGTTTTTAAAACAGCATTGTTTACTGTTATTATTCTTATTAAATCGGCGCCTTCAACTGCAACTCAAAGTAAAGTTGCATGCGTTTTCAGCGAGGGACCTGAGAAACTGCCGAGAGGTATGGTAGTGGCAAAAAAAGAAAAAAAATCAAAAAAATCCAAAAATCCAAAAATTCAAAAAAAATCAAAAAAAATCAAAAAAAAATCAAAAAAATTCAAAAAAATTCAAAAAAATTATAAAAAAATATGGCGTCCGAATACTCGAGTATTCGCCTGTGAGCCTGGGAGTGTACTCGGGTACCTCATTACACTGTTGTGCACAGCCCTAATTGATACAATCATCATCATTTGTTGAAGAATTATTGTACAAGATATTTTCGTTTTCATTTTTAGTTACGGAAAGTGATTCATCAACCGATTTAAAATAGGTTGCCATTGCATTTGCTTTTTCCTCAGATTCTTTCAAGATATTTCCGTCTACAAATAGATTGTGAAAGATGTGCTTGTTCATTGTACTGTCCTGCATTCTTTTAACCTGTTCCCAGACTTTCCCAATGTCTGTAAATCTATTCATTCTACGGCAGTACTCTAACCAATAATCATATTGAGCTCTCCTGATTACCTTCTGAGCGACATCTTTCTTCTTTAAGTATTTCTTAACATCATTTAGATCATAATACCTTCTTAACCTGTTTTTAAGACGATTTCTCTCTTGCACCGCCTTCTTGCAGGCATTGTTCCACCAGGGATTTACTTTTCTTCTCTTGGCAATCTGCACACGCGGAATGCACTTGTTCGACGTTTCCTTGATCACCTTAACAATCACATTGTATCTGCCTTGAATGTTTAGTTCTGCACCAAGATTTTCATATCCTTCTTTTCTCAATGCCTCTTCAATTTCTTCTCTATACTCTTCCCAATTAACCTTTCTAAAAGACCATCTCTGTCCCATATTCTCACCCCCTGGTCTATTGTACACATGTTTAAAATTTAAGCAAACCAGATTATGACCACTGCCAAAATTATTGGATAGTACTTTCCACTCTGTATTACGTGCTAATTCTTTCGATACTAAGGACAAATCCAGATTTGAGTATGTACCATAATATGGGTCTAACCTTGTAGGAGATCCATCATTTAATAAAACCAAATCATTATTTTCTATAAAAGACTCCACAGTTCTACCGTTTGTGTCTAATTTGTTGCTCCCCCATAGAGGATTGTGACTATTAAAGTCGCCTAGAATCAAATACTTCCCCGGCACATTTCTTATCATGTTATTTAGATCTATCAGTTCAATCTTTTTACACGGATTATAATAGTTGAAGATTGAGATAACTCCGTTTTTACAAAAAATATCAACTTTTTGGTATTCGGCGTTCCTGGGTGTATCCATCGCCTGAAAAGTGATGTCGTTTTTTAAATACATCACCAAACCACCTCTTCTGCCGTCCGGCCTGTTTTTACAAACACAAACGTAATTGGGTATAGACAAAACATTAAAATCGTTAAACCAAGTTTCTTGGATGCACATTATATCTGGGTGAATACCTAACAAATTGTTATCAATAAGGGAAGATAAAAAGTTTGCGCCATGCGCCGTCAAGCCTTGTGCGTTCCATTGTACAATCAATAGGTCTGATATGGACTTATTAGTCATATGAGGCGACTTTTTACCATTTCCATGGTAATGTCTACCTTCAAAATTTCTTTGCCTGCTCTAACTACCGCTTCCAAGAAATTATCATCATTACTGGACTGAGGCAACTGTCGTACCACAAACAGAATAAACATAATCAAATCAATAGATGTCATATTTACTGGAGTTTGGGTTGCAGTTTCCTTCTTTGTTTTTCGTACTGGAATTGGGATCTGGGAATGAGATCTGGGTATTGCCCTGTCCCTTTCTTCCTGTCCCTTTCTTTCTCGTACTGTGTGTGGGGTATGGGCCTGAGGGTTCGGATTGGCTCTCTGCAATGATGGTATACAGGTCTTGAACAGTAGATGGCGCTCTTCCCAAAAATAATCCGGCTTTTTTGTGTACAGTTTTTGCCAGGCTTTTGTACAATACAAACATGCAGTAGCACTGGGGGTATGAACGCGTTTAAAGCCAATAGCAGTCAAGTGGTTAAGCTTACATAAGCATTTAAGAAACCAAACCAAAAACAGAGAAGATTTCCCCCAATTTTCTTTTTTCTTCTATGCAGGTCAGGAGCCCATTGGCATTGGTTTAGCGCATGGATCATACAAAAACAATCTTACGAAGAAAAAAGTATTTACAAGGTTATTTGTTCAACCTAGATTGCCATTAGTGTAGTTTACAATGAGGAATCTGCCTATTACATTTTTAATTTAAGTTGAGGCAATCCTTCAAAGCAAATTTAAACAAAGGAAAATGCTATTTCAAATAGGAGATCATCTCAAAAATAGGCTACCAAAAGTCTCTGACAATAGAATTAAAAATAGTCTCTCAAAAAGAAAAAAAAAGAGTATCCCATATTGGCTGGCTCATCTTAAGCTGGTTAAATGATAAAATTAGATTCAAAACCCCCTGCTACATTAGCAAGATAGGGAAAAATCTGGGCTATATACTGGTAGATAGTAGTGTTATTTTTACTCCTCCAGTCCAGACTAGCCAGCCTAAGCTGAGATGAGCTGAAGAATATAGACTTATTTACAGAATTGTATGCGAGAATAATAAAGGTTTTTACAAATTTCAATTTAATTTGTAGCTTGAATGATATACATGTAGAAATGTAGGCCTACTATTCTCTTTCTCTCTCTCTCTCTCTCTCTATATATATTAACTTACATAATTTATTCATCTAGAGGTCTATATAAAAAAAATATAAAAAACGTCCATCAAAACTACTTATCAAGGCACTTAATGACTTATTACTCCAGCAAAGCAGAGAGTCAATGCTAATGGTATTGACCTCTAGCGCTGCATCACGTGCCGAGAGGCAACAATTGCACACAATACAATTCGAATTTTCCAAGTATTCTTTCTAACAACGCTAAGTTGAAAAGATTGTATTTTACTGCTAGTATAATCACTAAAGTTAAAGGTAATACAAATTTTGAAAATTGGTTGGATAGTGATTCTTTACAATTTTGATATATTTCATGATTTAAATGTAGATGCCCCTGTGGACGTATTAATCTTATTAGACCTATAAGCACTAGAAAATTGAGCCCCTGAAACACTTCTGCTTTCGATAAAAATTGAATTAAAAAATTTACCGGTGCTCCCAGTAAATTTTGATAAATTTCAAATAGCGCCTACGACCATACCATGGTAACTGCGACCACGAAAATGTCAGAATATGTAGTAGTGATGTACATAATATCCAAACAGGATCAGCCAATCAGTCAATTTTAGGGCTATTGTATTAGGCAAGAAACGTTTTTTTATAGCTTAATTAATATCTCGACCTTAATTTTAAGAGGAAGCTATACAACATAAATAGTTTATTATTTACAATTGCATTGCTTTAGGCCCGATTTCAACCGCGACAATGATCACTGAATATTGTAGGATCTCATAAATGCTTCCAATAGATCTGTTCATTGCCATTGGCACCAAATTCATGACCCCACCAGAGTTAGAGTTAGACTCCTCTTACCCAAAACTTTGTATTACCTTTAAGTGCCGATTTTGAGTGAACTCAGTTGAGTTTTGTACAGTGGTGTTTGAAATTTTGATAATCAATAAAGGTCGTCTCAACAGTTTTTAATACACAGCTAGGATAGTAATGCAGCTATGTGTGATAATTATACTGCATTTGTCTTGATGTTACGGCCTACGCCTTACGCCTAACATTGCCCCACATATTCAAAATGGTGGGTGAAACTCAAGCAAAAGTAACACACGAATCGTTATTTTGAACATAAACTTTAGAAATGATAAGAGAAACTTACCGGATCGACATCTTCGTAATCCTCCCGGGCTCCAAACAAGCATTCATTACAAGCACCCATTATGCACAGACTAGGGCTCCAAATTGCGACTCCTTGTCAGAAATCAGCGTAAACAAACGATCAGAGCTGCAAAGGATTCCCTCAAAATTACGCCAATATTAGTCTCCACGCAATCGTTATCATTTATTGAAATAATATTGTTTCCTTTCTCGCTGTAAGTCTTATTTCTAAATAGTTAGTACATATAAATGTGGGCCTGTAGTTGAACATTGCATTATTAAATTCAGCTTTTACTGTACAAATATTTCGCCATTTTCGTTAATGTGAGATTGAAATAATGAATCATGAATTGATCAGAATTATTGACGTGAGGCTATATTGTAAACAGGGTACACCTCTATTAACACAGGCCTACACCATTTGATCAACGTACTGAAGATAACATAATAATATAAATATATATATATATATATATATATATATATATATATATATAATATCTAGATATGTCCTAATGGTCAAACTAATATTACTGAATGGATGAACGAATGACTGAATGAACAAAATACATATAAATAAATGAATATAGGATAATAATAGGGTCACGTAATATAAGAGGCCTAAATTGATGATACTACTACTACTACTACTACTACTACTACTACTACTACTACTACTTCTACTACTACTAACTCTACTAATAATAATAATAATAATGATTTAAGGGTATAATTTTACTCATAGGTACTTGTTTAGTTTACATTATGCCTTTCCATAATCTACGATTTACATCTCCTAATTTGCATCTCAACTCATTATGACCTCGATCCATTGCCCTCTGCACCTTCACACATCACTCTCATTGCCATTGCCACACCTAGTTCCATTTCCCTTCCATTTGTACTTCACATGTTTCTATTGTTTACTTGAATACTCACTATGAATATGACGGACAAAGAAAGAGGACAAAATATACAGTTCCTCAAGTAAATAAAGGAACATCCCTTCACTGTTATTATGTAAAAATGTGTAACATGCATATTCACCTGTTCTACACATTTTTACATTATAGCAATGAAGGGATGTTCCTTTGTCTACCTGAGGCTGAGGAACTGTATATTTTGTCCTCTTTCTTTGTCCGTCATATTCATAGTGACTTCACATGGTTCTATTGTTTAGTTGAACACTTCACCCTTCCATGCATACGTACCGCCTATTCACTATGAACATTACGGACAAAGAAAGAGGACAAAATATACAGTTCCTCATTCTACCCTCAACAATTGCTGTGGTAGACAATAAAAAGAACATCCCTTCACTGCTAAAATGTAAAATTGTGTAGAACAGGTGAATATGCATGTGACACCTGTTCTACTTATTTTACATAATAGCAGTGAAGAGATGTTCCTTTGTCTACCTGAGGAACTGTATAATTTGTCCTCTTTCTTTGTCCGTCATATTCATAGTGACTTCACCCTTCCATGCATACGTACCGCCTATAGGTTCTTTCTTCTCACTGGGTTCTTACATTATGTTGTCCTATTCCATATGTTTCGGATTAGTTTATTTTTGATGTCACTTATATATGTTTTGATCTGGTGAAATTGAGCTTCAAGTCAGTGTACCTCAAGTCTTAAAACCGGTAGGACCTCAATTCTTGTGTGTGTTTTACAATAATAATGGTAATAATAATAACAATAATAATAAGCACCTTCAGAGAGGCAGTGTTTTTTCTGAGGGGGGAGGAGACATATTGCCCCGTCCCCCTAAACCACTGTTTTAAGTACCCTCAAAGGGCCCTTTTTAACACATAATAATGTGGCTCTGTTTACCGTATGTTTATCATGTTTATTCTATGTATATTTCTCTATATATTGGGTACCCCATTAATCAAGCCTTGGCTTTTCGGGGCACCCGGACCATTTATAATGTATTAATACTTTTCATACATGCATAATTTGTAAATTGATTTTTGTGTTTAAATGGTTTAATAAAACGAATTTAATTGAATAAATATGATAATTTCCTGTCTAATTCGAAAGCTGCCCGTTTCCCTTTGTTACAAGTGCTCCCTTTTGAAAAGTGTCGCTTTTTATTCGGAAAAGTGCCATATCTCTTTTATATTGATAAGTTCCTAATTTCCTTTTCGACATACAAACATAAATTAGCAACAAACTAACTTAAATCCATGTAGAAAAAAAATCATCATATTGATTAGGCAGTTACAGGCTACAGCACATAATATTGTGACTTTAAACATTTTTTTTTAATGTGAATTGACGTTTTTTCATTTCATTTCTTTCGTCATATAAAAACATACATGAGTATAACATTGATATTTACAGATAAGTAAACAACATACAAATAACATAAGAAAAGATAAACATAAAATACAAATATACGAATGAGGAACCAGCAAGAAAGAACAATTAAGTCTTGTGTGGTGCTGGTCCCTTGCGACATAATAAAGAATTTTAACCTACAGCACTTAACACCTTACAACTAACAACTAACACCTAACATCTAACACCTGATTGCATATATATAACAACTAATAAAATACTATTCACAAAAACGTAATTGTTTGTATCTCTTTTTAAATGTATTCAGAGTTGGACTTGCTTTTACATTAGGAGGTAACTCATTCCATAAAATTGGTCCTTTAAAGAAAATTGAATTTTTAAAGACAGAAGTTTTGATAAGTGGTATATGAAAATGAGATGATTGTCTAGTTATATATGAATGTATTTCAGAATTCAATTCAATAGAATGTAAGGAATGGTTTTGGTGTTTTAAAAAAATTGTGTATTTTTGTGCGTGTTTTGTCACCACTGTGAACAGTTTGAAAAGTCCATGATGAGTTTAAGGATTCAATGAGACTAATTGGGGTATCAATAGAAGTTTATAATCATAATGTAAACATAAATACAAGCTGCAAAAACTAATGGATTACAAATTTCCTTTTTAGAGCTAAAAAAAAAAAAAAGTAGCGTTACGGAAATGACACTTTCGACCGCTTTTATTAACCCCTGTAATTTTGCCTCAATAGGCCACGAAGAGCCACCCCCCCCTCGTTTCCTTAATCACAATCATTCAAAAAATAATGGAACCTAAAGATAGGATGCTTTGACCGAAACTGTTTCTACATTTTTGCCCAAGAGTAAGAATTAAAAAAAAATAATGCCTGAATATGCCTCAATTCTCTGGTATACCACTGAGATAAAAAATAAAAAAAAGCATTTGTAAGGCGTTTTTGTTTTTATACTAAATTTGTCGTGGTAGACAAATGTCTTTGAAAAATATAGTAAATTTCATGATTTTCTGGAAAGTGAAAATTTTTAATGGAATAGTCCAGGTGCTTCATGAATACCTGTTGTTTGCCCTCTTAAAATACTACTTCCACCTGTGTATGGGTGAATAAATGGATAATTATTACATAACCTTCATGAACACGTATCCAGCATTCGCCTCTTACATAACTTACATAACTTCACATATCTTACATAACTACACATAACTTACATAACTTCCTTAAAACCTGTCTGCACTGGTTTGGCCAGGAGGGATTAGACCTCCCAGCGTGGTCACTGATAGGTGGTTATCTCATCAACTCAGCTCTCAATTAACATAAGAAAAAGAGGATCATGGGGACCAACGGGCACCGCTTAGGCATTGTTTTCTAAGTAGTGCAGTGGGGCTTAACTTCATTTAACTTACGAAGCACACAGGACGTACAAGCTGTTTCTAATGCTACGTCACACAGACACAGAACACACTCTTGGAGATTGCTCTTTATTTTGTGCGGCTCCAGAATAATCTACCTCTAGAAATAACAGAAGCCTTATCTGTTATCGTCTTCAAAGTTTCACTGAAGACACATTTCTTTTAAAGCAGGGCTCCCACTTAGCCGAGTTGGAGCCTCGAGTTGTGGCGAGCTGGCGCGATCTTATTGCAAGCCGTTTTATTATTAATTGATATCAATAAATCAATTCTTGTTATCAAGAAATAATTTTATGTTGTAAAGCATTGGTAATTCTTGATATCAAGAATTCGATTTCGTGATATCAGGAAATCGATTTCGTGATATCAAGAATTGAATTCTTGATATCAAGAAATATGTTTTAATGATAAAACTGCTTGCCATAAGATCGCGCCAGCTCGCCACAACTCGAGGCTACAACTCGGCTAAGTGGGAGCCCTGCTTTAGAAGCTTTTAAATCGATTTTGGTTGGGTGTCCTTAAAGTAGCACTGCAGGTTTTGTTTTTGCTGTATATTTCTTTCTTCATCACAGCGCAGTAGAGTATATTTACCTAGTAGGGTCGCTGTATATATTGGTCTGATAATAATAATTATTATTATAATTATTCATCAGTCCATGCGCAGATAGCATCTACGAACGGGCTGATATTATTCATTAACTACACGATCCGATGTTTAAATTTAAAATGCCTAGAACATGGAGCTGGAGAAGAGTGCTGAATTCTTTGTTCATTTGGTGGGAACTTCCGGCCTTTACACCTGACATACCGTCAAAGTAATGATAAGGTACATTTGTCTTGTTATTTCCCAGTCGCGAAGAAAAGGGCCAAAAACCGTAGAGGTCTATTTCATCACAAAGCTGCACGGCCATTGAAACCAAGTAGAAACCTGCAGAATAGAATGAATAAGAAAACACATGTCAGCAAAATATCTTAAGATTATGCAGGAAGCTGTAATGAATGGAGATACCGTCTCGAAAGAATTTTCCGAGGGAAAAATATTCAAGATTAACCTGGCTTAACAACAAGAAATGTAACCCTCTCCAGCCATCATTTCCATCAACAGCTGTCCATATCAATGCACAGTCCCTCTCTGGCATTCCAAATAGTACGAAATGTTACGCAACGCCATCTGCTTCTCTAAGTTCTCTATTCACTCTTTTGCAAAAATATGCAAGCATCGAGCTTTGAAGCCATGCGTGGCACCGAAAAATTAAGTCATGTTCAGTGAAGATGTGTTTAGCTATAACATATAAAATACAGAATTCACAACATATGACCGATGCAACTTTCTATTAGTCATAAAATGCCTGTTCCGTTCTCGGATAGCTCTACTGAAGACATGGCCATTTCAACCAGCGAAATCGACCAAGGAAATCATGAGTTATAGCGAATGAAAGGTTTTCATCATCATGATTTTTTTCATCTAATTATTGACATTTTCCGAAAATTTCCGAAATTTGTACATAGCTAGGAAGGTAGTCCAAAGGTTTATCTTCCTAAATAACTTAATGAAATTGTGTTATATGTTTGCGCATTTATTGATTTTAGGGCTAGAAGTTGTCAAGTTATCACCACTATTCACCCCAAGTACGGGCCGGTAAAGCAAAACCCGCCGTGCTCGCTGGGCAGGGTTGTGTGTGGAAAGGGAGGACTCAGTGCTACTAGGTATCTGTACGGTTTGGGAGGGGGATTAAGGGGATTACGGTAGGGGAAACAAAAGACGCGCGGTGCCACGGATGACTTCAAAGGGGCTTCTTGGACGGGATCTCCATTAATTACAGCTTCCTGGATTATGATAATAAAAATCCATGTAATAATGATAATAATTGGCTGATAATGATGATGCATGAGATTCAGCTAATATCAAGGTATCTACTTTCAGCTCGGAGGTTAATCGCAACATTTTTTCACGCATATCTATACATTTTTGAAATGGCTGCTACATCGAAAATGTATGATTCTGGGGAACAAGTTTTATATGTATGTAAAGCTCATAAACTTAACTTTCATATGACACCAAAAAGTCCGCAAATAATTTATGCTTGGGTGAGCACTGCTCACTTTTGTAAAGGGTATGCAAATTAGGTTGCGCAGGAATTAACCTACCAGTTTGTGAGAGGTAAATCCTTTGGAGCTTACAAAATTGAGGGTCAGATACATTCATGATTTGCTGAGTGAATTTCACGGTTTATTAAATCGAACTTTTATGCATGAGTGAACAGGAACTGCATTTTTTATTGAGGTGTTGTAACTTTCCCTGGTAGACTCAGTGTTGTGTTCATGGGAGTCAGGATGGGGGTGAAGGTACATGTTGTAATTTCCATGTTACAAACTGTTATTTTTTACATCTGTGACTTTGAATGAAAACCTTCACCCCACATTTCAGTTACCATTTATCTGAGGAATAAGTAGCCGACATCTTGGACATTCCTTTTTTCAACAAACCGTATTTGAATATTCAATTTACATAATCCCTACCTGGGTATTAAGTAAATCAATGAAATGTTCAACTAATCTTACAATCATTGAAATGTTGGGTGAAAGTTTTTTTTTTTTTTTTTGGGGGGGGGGGGGGGGGGCTAACGCCCCCAAATGAAATTAAACCATGACTTAATTCCATATTATAAGAAGGGTAGAAGAATCCCTGCAATCTGATTGGGCAATTACCATGTAATTATTTTTACTGGATGCACGCGATGCACGCCTTTGAATTTGGTCTAAAACCCACTAGCTTAATTAGGCTGCGCCTTGTGGGTTCAAACCATTTAAAGATACCCTGTGCACACAATCCCTACCGACGCACTCAAACCTGTGCATCATTTGTATACAAGTGATTTATAAATGTTCGTGATATCACATGATTTTCAACAAAATGCGCGTTTCTCTAGCTATTTCTGATGTAAACTAACACATTCCCAAATAGCCAGGAAAAGCATATGTTTTTCAAAATCACTAATGGGCCTTAATAAATGGCCACTACCAGTAACACTAGTCCTTTCCAGAAGCTAGCTGCGACAAGCACCGGGGACAAGCACTGCCGGGATCGAGATAACATGCTACCCACCACTCTGGCTGTGCATGCACAGATTTGCGAACGAACGTTCCATGCGTACATATGTAACACTGTACTTGTACCATTAATAAGGGGCCCAGTGGGGAAACTGAATTCAGACAAGAATTAAGAGTAGAGAACGGTACAACGAGTCGTCTTCTTTCTCTAATAATTTAATGAAAAGGCAACTGAATTCAGACTATAGGATTAAAGGTCGAGTTGTACAAGGAATCGTTTTCTTTCTGTAATCATAATTTAATGAAACGTCAAAGCTTCCGCGCTTTGCGGGGTAGGGGGCGGGGCAAACTGAATTCAGACAAGGCTCAAAAGTCGAGAACGGTTCAATGAATCGTCTTCTCTTTCTAATAATTAAATGAAACGTCATAGCTTCTGCACTTCGCGCGGGAGGGGCGAAACAAGAATTAAGAGTCGAGAACGGTACAACGGATCGTCTTCTTTATCTACTAATTTAATGAAATGTCAAAGGGAGGGGGAAACTGAAAAATAACTTAATTCCTGGCCCCGGGTTTATAGGGTTTGATTTGTGGACATTGGGACATTGGCATAAATATATTTGTCGGTATTTGGTAGCTAGTTTTGTCGGTAATCGGCGGCCTCTATGATTCCCCCCTCCCCAACTGAGAAAGGTCTAGCGAAGCCCCTGATAACAATACAGTTTATAAACTCAAGACATTTTTTGCAAGTACTACTGGTGAAGTACTGGACCACCTTTCCGGCAGTAGACCTAAGTTTACCAACACTGCATTGAATTTAGCAGAGATCACTATAGATATGTGTAAATAAACATAGAACAAAACAAAAAAGGAAGGAAGAAGAAAGAGAAACAAAGAGACGAACAAACAAAAACCATTGCAGGGGTTAAGCCCATTTTCACCAATTACCATATTGTTTACATAAAAAAGAACTAATGAGATACAATTGTTCCCCTTATTATTAGCATCAATATTATGAAAATTATTAATAATAGTAGTAGCTATTATTATTATCATTATTATCATTGTTATTACTACTATTAGTGTCATTATCGTTATTCAAAGTATTTATAATTATAAAACATTGTTTATTATTATTATTATTATTATTATTATTATTATTATTATTATTATTATTATTATTATTATTGTTATCATTATCATTAATACTAATTTTCTTAATAATATAATAACTAATATTATTATGATTATAAATATGAACAATATTATTGTCATTACCTGTAGAAGGATTTCGATCTATCACGCCTTTCTTCTTCCAGAAGTCACGGACAGAACTGAAGTGCTTTCCGTTCATGCACACAATTGTCGGTTTCTCTCCTTTAAAGATAAAGACCGGGGGGGGGGGTGTTTCACAAAGATCCTAAGTACAACTTAACACTAAGTTGGACTTAAAAATTATGGACAGCCATTGGAGCCTTAAAATGAAATATATTCAAAAGAAGAAATTCAAGTATTTTAGAATGTGTTATAACTTCCACATCAAGAACATGAAATCACCTTGATGATAAAAAATATGAATGATTTGAATCAACATTTTATGCCTTTCAAAATAACTTTTACAAAACATTTTCAAAGATGCTAATGGCTTCCCATAATATTTAAGTCCAACTTAGAGTTAAGTTCGACTTAGAATCTTTGTGAAACACCCCCCAGTTATGGTCATGCGATTGCATTGCGAAAGAAACGGTGTGAAATCTATCAGAAAAGTTTGATCATCTAGCATTAATGTACTGCAAGGTTCTGGAATCATCAAAATGATATAAAATTTGGCCCAGTCTTCATAAAGTTACAAGCACTGTACACAGAAGGATGTATATGGGACTACGCACACGTGCGCAACACGTGCGTTTATCTCTCACAAGCCAATAGATAACCTAATTTACCAAATATATCAATTAGTGGGCGGTTTCCCGGCAAATTTTGTATCATCATGTATTAGTCAGAACATATTCTTTCACATGATTGGTAATAGAGCTTCCATTTCATTTTTTGAAATTAGGGCGTTTCCAATACTGGTCTTTACCTTTAAAAGAACTGATCGCCCTTGCATTATGCGCCTGTTTCATACCAAAGCAGGGAATACTCAGCATACCGCCGTATTGTGAAATGTCTTGGTTATACTTTTTGATGTCGGCATCTTTCTTCAGTGCTCCATATCTGTAGGGCAGGGGATTCGATATTTCAATAACAATATAACCAGTTATCATAATTTTATTCTTCTCACTATGAACATGACGGACAAAGAAAGAGGGCAAAATATACAGTTCCTCAGGTTGACAAAGGAACATCCCTTCACTGCTATCATGTAAAAATGTGTAGAACAGGTGTCACATGCATATTCACCTTTTTACATAATAGCAGGAAAGAAAATAAAACAATCGAATTGAAGAGAAAGTTGGAACAAATATTTACCAACCTTAGTAAAGAACTGGATAAGCAAAATAAAATTTCTGATGAGACTAAAAAGGATTATGTAAGAATCAACTGTAAACTGGATAACTTATTTAAAAGAGAGTGTAAAGGAGCAAGTATCAGATCTCGAGTCAAATGGTTAGAGAAGGAGGGAAAGAACGCCAAATATTTTATGAGCTTAGAAAAGAAAAATGCTGAAAAGAAAACCATTACCAGACTTCGAAAAGGTAAAAAGATTGTCACAAAACGATTTAATGTTCTACATGAGGTTGTTTTATTTTATGAAAAATTATATACTAGTAAAAATGTACCAAAAGATGAGGTTAAAAAGTATTTTGAATGTACCGCGGTAAACAGGTTAACTGAGAAAGAGAAAGAATTATGTGAAGGTTTGTTGACTAATACAGATTGTCGAAAAGCGGCATTTAAGATGCCTCAAAATAAATCTCCGGGAGGAAATGGTTTGACTACAGAATTCTACCAAGAATTCTGGAATGATATTGAGTTTATGCTTGTCAATGCATTGAATGGAAATTTTGTTAATAAGATCATGTCAAAAACACAACGATTAGGAGTTTTTTCATTGATCCACAAAAAAAGGAGAGATAGAAGATTTAAATAATTGGAGTCCAATAACTCTGTTGAATTACGATTACAAAATAATGGTATCAGTGCTGGCAAATAGGCAACATAAAGTAATACAGAACATCATACATGAAAATCAAGTAGGTTACATTAAAGGTACTATGTCTCATTTGCAGGTCCAAAAAATGAAAAGGGTAAATTCCAACGGCATGTGAAAGATAATACTAATTTTGAACTTCCCTTAAAAAAGGGGGGCTTGAAAATTCTTTTAAGTGGGAAAATAACGACTATTAGTTGTCGACGCGACTTAAGAGCTATAGAGCCAGTAAGTAATAGTCTGATTTTCAGACCATTGTACTGAACGGTTGTACGTTTTATGCTGCGCAAAGACTCAATCAGTTTAATTTTGGCCATTACAAGAAGTGGGTTGTTGATGTAGACAAATGCTCATATACCCTTTACAGCTCATTTTATGGATGTTATTACCAAAGAAGAAAAAAGGCCAGTCAGTCACTCAATAGTGTCTGACAGTGAAGTCTAGAAAGTAAACAGATTTCCTTGTATAATTTGAATAATAGGACACTGCTAACGTTTACATTTCACAGATAGGACATATACATGACATATTTATAATTCCTGCAAAGTTCTACAAATTTGATGTTGTCTGCAAAAGGGACATAGTATATTTAAGAGCAGAATGAGCGGTTTTGATATTAGGCTCACACAAGATGTTCTGGAATATATGCAAAATAAATGTTTGAAAGGGGCACTAATGCTGATCGATTTTCGAAAAGCATTCGTACTGTAGAATTTCAATCTATTGAAGATTGTCTGACTATTTTAAAATTTGGGGAAGATTTCCGTTGCTGGATTAAGTTGATGTATGAAAAAGTTGAAAGCTCAATACTTGTTAATGGATGGAGAACGAAATTTGAGATAGGGAGAGGAATAAGACAAGGCTGCCCTCTATCGGCCATGCTGTTTATTTTAGCAGTAAAAACTATGGCAGATAGAATAAGAAAGAATGACAGGATTAAAGGGATTCCCTTGGGAAATACTGGTAATCAGAAAGAGTTGAAAAATGTATTTTAGAAGAATTAGAAAGATTTAGAAGCGTTACTGGCCCAGTGCTCAATAAAGATAAAACAATTTTGAAATGGTTGTGTCCTGCAAAGCATAAATGGAACTTTCAAGCCTTTGGCCTTTATTGTACAGATGGCTGTATCAAATACTTAGGAATTTATATAGACACTGACCTAGATTTAGTGGTGAAATTAAATTGGGAAACGAAACTAGAAAAGATACAGAGAATAGTAGACAATTGACGGAAGAGAAACCTTACAATTATAGGAAGAGTTCTCATAATTCAGACAATACTAAGTAGTCAAATATTTAATCTGATTATGTTTTGTTCAGCACCAAATTATATCGTAAACAAAATAGAAAATATTATATACAATTTTGTATGGAATTTAAAAGTTGACAAAGTGAAAAGAAAAATGATAGTTAGAGATTATACAGATGTTGGAATAAGAATGGTTGATTTAAACAGGTTAATACATAGTTTCAGATTGATATGGCTTGGAAGAATAGTTGATGACACAGAAAGTTATTGGAAAGACTTTGCAATTTTATATTTCCAACCTTTAGGAGGTATCAATTTACTTTTGAATCGTACTATTGATCGATACATGATATAAAAATATTCCGTCGGCAAATTGCCAAGGTTTTATTTAAAAATTATGAGAGCCTGGTCATAAATAAATGATATTGTGAAACAGGATTATATTCATTTGGATGCTCAGATTTTATGGTATATTAAATATATTACGCATAGAAAACAGTCACTCTTCTATAAAGAGTTATATTAGAATATTAGAATATTAGAATATAAAACAGGCGCGGATCCAGGAATTTCTTGCTGGGGGGGGGGGGGGGCACCGTGTGTGAAAGAAAACATAATATATATATTTTTTTTAGTCCCAAAAAAATCTCAACGACTCAGCCAGCCGCTGAATAAGGGAGGGGGGGGGGGGGGCAAGAGACACTTTTTGTTGTTGAAAATTTGAGGTAAGGTAACCTTTTTAGGCCAGCCATTGACATTTTTTTTCCATTTAAAAAAAAAAAAAAAAATTTTAAATAATTTTTTTTTTTTTTTTTTTAAATTTAGCCGGGGGGGGGGGGGGGGGGGGGGCACGCCCCGGTTTTCAGTATATTTCGGGCGAATTTAGGGCTGATTTTAACATATTTTTTTTGGCCGGGGGGGGGGGGGGCACGTGCCCCCTGTGCACCCCTGGATCCGCCACTGTTAAAGGAAACTTTATTTCCATGCGAAATTGATAACAACCATTGAAAATAAAAAAGCGAAAGCGACAGCAGTTTTTTGTTTTTCTAAACTAAGTTTGGACTGATAACTTAAAAGAATCTATTTTGTTAGAAACTCCAACTATACCAATTGGTTTTGAAGACAATTTATAATTTGATTCCTGAAAAAAGAATGTTGTTTTTAAGGGGATTTAGAAATTCCGATAAATGGGAAAGATTGCCTTTTGGAGCTTTTTAAAATGATAATTTTGAGAAACGAAAAGGGAAAAGATGAAAGGGAAAACAAAATTGTGGTATATTTTTTGAAAGAAGTTAAGATACGTTTTGACAGCTCTGTCAAAAAAAGGAAAACGAAAAATTTGTTTAGTAAATTCTGTATATTTATGATTATTGTTAACATCCATTTCCATTTGTTACCGGAGTGTTGGCTCAGTCAGTAGAGCGTCCGCCTCACAACCGGGAGGTCGTGGGTTCAAACCCCGGCCGCGTCATACCAAAAAGACGTTAAAAGATAGGAGTTGTTGCTACCTTGTTTGGCGTTCAACAATAAGGGATAGAGCAACGTCGATCCGGCGCTGCTCAGTGGCTGCCGGGCTCACGATCAATTGGGCAAAAAGAATTTCCGTTTCGGTTTAATAAAATTTGGAGTGGACTATTAGGCTATTATTATTATTATTATTATTATTATATTATAGTATTCTAGTTCTGAACTCTCCTTCAGTCTGCGCAGCTGGTCAGTTTTGTACAGACGTATAAATAAATATACATAAATAAATTTAAATCTTACTTTTTATAGAAGAGACTTGGATTCATTGTGATATAATTACTTTTCATACCAGCGTCTTCTTTGAAAGGTGTCAATGGTGCTATGTTGCATCTATAAAGAAAATGAATAACAACAAAATCAGCAACAACATTGACGACGTATAAGTGCGAAAATGTGGTCGCAAAAAACTTGGCACATTGGCTACCTAGACCTCGTGTTGTGAATGGGTTTTCAGAGTGGAATCGCCCCTCATACATCGTCTGTACCCCTTAATTACCTAGTTGTCATGTTTTTTTTTATTTCATTTTCATTGTTTGTTAAATCTTACCTCTTAACTTTGCCAACATTACATCTTTAATATTTTTGTGGGTGTGCATCTGAGAGTTCAAAATAAGAGAGGCTTACTAATCAATGACATGTATAGGGCGCGTTTATCGGGGCTTGCCTTTTTTAACACACCTTTTTGCGTCTTTAGATATGCCCATATCTAAAGCCCTTTAAAAAAGGCTTTGCGTTTATCACCTTCTAAATTTGCCTGAAAGACGTTTGAGAAACCTGATTCTAGCCAAAAATTTGGTCGATAAACGCAACCATTAACACAGGTATTTTCACCTCTCCCGGATAATATCAAATATCATACCATACCATAAAACCAAAATCAAAAAGGTTAACCTGACAAACCTAATTACAAAATCGTGTTCATCAATACGTTCTCCACAACCACTGTGTAGTATTGAACCGCTGTTTCCCACGATTGCACACGAGGGATATCTCTTCTTCTGGGGTAGGCCGAATGGATCACTCTGGAAAAAAAGAATAGGCCCTTTATTATATATGTATATATATATATCAAATATAAAAATATATACATGTGTGTGTATTTATATACGTATTAAGGTTATTCAAGATAAATGAACACTGCAACATACTTTTAGGCTCTGGAGGGCCCAAGGTGCATCGTTTAGATTAATACAAATACAAAAATCTTCACTTTAAGATTGTTTGGTGCTTCCAAAGATTGAAGCTACGTAGAAGAAAGTAAACTCTATCCCTAACATTACACTCACCTTCGGGAATAGACTGAATAGTTCTGCTGACGTTCTTTTTAATTTCCTCGATGATCCATTTACTTGGCAATTTTCCCGATGGAGAATAATTTCCGAACTATCTTTTAATTCGGTCCGATGTGCCGCCAGCTCCTGTCTGAAGTAAGGGATAAGTACTTAAAAGGGTAAACGTATCTACAGGATATATCAATAAAAAGTTTACCCTACTTTGGTAGGTCCTTATTGAAAAGTCATAATTAATATGACTTTGAAAATGAATTCAGGTTGAAGAGTAACCTATTTTCTGTTCAAAAATACCCTATTCATAATAATTTCTGCCACGGATAAAAAGGCACCAGGGTCCTAGTGTTGTCGAAATCACCTTGATCCAAGTTTGGGCTTTAGGTTAGGTTAGTAGGTTAGGCCATATGCATGTGCTTCTTTGGTCTTAAATCCTTTTAAAAGTTAAATTGTGCCTCGTGCTTCAGTGTGCCATTGTTTAAAATGATGAAATGTAACAAGGCTTTCACAGAACCTTGTTTAAATCGATATGATAACCTTTAATTATTTTCAACAGCCTACTAACTTCTTGTCTCATGATAACTAAGTTCTGTCTGCTCACTTCTCCACTGCGCCATTTCACACGCGTAAGGAGCATAAGGTGTTTATGTCGAGTAGCGATCGAAAACTCAAAGGTTACTAAATCCAAATGCAAGAAAGAACATTTATGATGATAAACATCAAAGAAATTGACAACAGCCTTTCATAAAAGTAGCATCCCTGATAAACTTTAGCCATATTCGTCCTCGTTTTCACGAGGTGACGGTAGTGAGGAAAATCGTAACGCAAAGTGAATGCAATTTTTTTTCACTACCGTCACTTCGTGAAAACAGCGACGTATTGTATCACTCACTGAGAAGGTTACCTTAATCAAGAGATGCGAATGATGGCAAGATTGTAATCATCATAACGAAGAGAATATCATACATTTTGCTTGTAATAAGCATTTCTTTGAGTTTGAGTTGATGTTAACACCCTTTTTTCTCAACTGCCTAATAGTCAATGTAAATAAAGGAGCAATTGTTTCGGTATGAGATAATAACACACATATAATGGCTTTTGACCCACCAACATTCATTGCTTCAGCCTAAACTTGGTAAAGGAGGATTTTGACAATACTTTTTGATAAGCCTGCTGTTCAGTCATCCTCGGCAGCATAATTATTAAAGTTGTATATTTACACAGGATATCGGTTATTTGTTACCATAAAATATGATTCAAAGTCACATAAGCTATAACTTTTTAATTGGAAGCTACCAAAGTTGGGTAAACTTTTTTTTGACACTCACTATTAATACATTTTATCACATAACAATTTACGAGAACTACTCCAATTCAAAGAGTTAAAACAAAACAAATTCGGACGGGTCTAAAATGAGCTGATTTGTTTCACAATAATACTAAAAAAAATAATCGTGATGATAAAGATGATGATAATAATGATAATAACAATATCAACACTATTGATGATATTCATAATGATTGTAATGAAAATATTGATAACTTTATGATAATGATAATAATATTAAAAATAATAATAATATTAAAAATACTACTACTACTAATAATAATAATAACAACACAATTATAGTACATGACCACCACATTTGCGGTATGCTGGTTATGGGTGAAATTGCCTATTGTTTTTTTAAATCATTTTCCACTAGGTCTTTTTGAAGGGGGGGGGGGGTCGTTTTTTCCTCCTGTTTCGGGAATCGACATAACGAAATATGTACAATTTCGGACTCAAAAAGGAGTGATGATAATAATATCTATTAAATCATAATATAACAAACACATACTCACCTGAAAATTTCTGTATTCGTATGGTTTGCACTAATATTCCTATTGATTATTAATTGCTCATAAAGGAACAGCACTTCATCGTTAATGTCCTTAAAGCTCCAAAGACTACCAAGGATAGATATCTTCTTTCTATAATGTAAACATATAAACACAAAACAATAATAAAATCATACTGTCACTAGGACCGCCAAGATATGGTAAATATCCTTTCAATCGTGTCCACATTTAGGCCAATCGTGCGGCAAGATTCGTGGTATGTGGTATATAAATTAAATTAAATGAATAATCAATTAACCAATCCGGGGTCCACTTTAAAAAAAGGAATAAAGTTTTAGCCATTTTGTTTACATGAAGTAACGAGCGAACATGCATGTTTGCTTTTTGGTTGGGGGGGGGGGGGAGGAGGGGTTGGGGATAATTTCTAATCAATATTCTGTAATTTTTCTCAGATTGGGGTAGATATTAATTATTAAAGTGTAATTAGTAAAGTGTTACCCAACAGACATCCATGTTCTTCGTTTACCCGGTATTTGTTAAAAGCAAAAATACACAATATGACTTTCCTCCCCCCCCCCATGTTTTTAGGATCTAAATTAAGGACATGAATACATGTTTTGGTTCATACGTATTATTTGCAGCTGCCGGTGAGAGGAGATGACTCCCTGAATCAGGAAGAGATGTCGAGTTCTGAGCCAGAGAATCAAGATGATCATCATCGTAATCCCAGTCATCCAGTAAGCGTGAGCAATTACTAATGATAACAATGATACATAAATAAATATGATATGATAACAATAATAATAATAATAATAATGATATTAATTAACAAAAACAATTAATAACTAGACTTTAATTCGTCACTTAGACGAATTAGGTGATACGTATGATATTGGTTTACATAACGAAGAATGCATTACACTATATCATATTATTTTATAAAATGCTTCTCCCATTATGATCCATCCATATGTCGAGTTTAAATTGTGTCCCCTTGATCATTATGGATCTTGGGAAGAAGGATTGAAACAATATATGACCATTGACTCTGTGCAGTAACCAGCTACACCTTTGACACTAATTTACATCATGAAAAACGCATTTTGACGATTTTATCTTATTCAAAGAAATGAAAATGTAATTCATAAATGATAATCTTCATTATGATAATGATGATCATGATCATGAGCGTGATCCTGATATCTTATTGAAAAATGAGGAATGATTTAAATAGCATATAGTCTCAGCTACAACATACTCAAAAATCAACTTAATCCAATCAGAAATAACGGCGATATTGCTCGCAAAAGACAGGAATGTAGAATCCAGATTTGAGAAAAAGTCATCTCCCATAGGGATTACACGCAAAAAGTAATGGATTAAGTGAAAATAGGGTAACAATAAAGTAAATAGGGTTGTTTATTACATTATTTGCTATTCTACGTGTTCGAATAACAAAAGGAGATGGTACAGTGAAAGGTCAACAAGAAAATAAAGTTAAGAATTTTTTTTTGGAGACACCCGGACTCGAACCCGGGAACTCAAGGTCGGAAGTCAAGTGCGTTACCGAGATACCAAAACATTTCCCATAGCGATTACACGTAAACGAAAATGGAATTCTAAAATCCCACTTTGCAAGTAAAATATGAGCATGATCCCGGCATAAGATCGAAAAATGAAGTGCACATTGGAGGTAGCTCATTGTCTCAGCTACAACATACCCGAAGCTCACCGAAAACAAAGTTAAAACAACGGAGATGTTGCTCGCGAAAGACGGAAATGTAGAATGCAGTTTTGAGAAATAGTCATGTCCCTTAGACAATACACGCAAAATGTTAAAAATTGACATGCCTCCTTTATTCGCAAAAATACGCCATAATGTCTTTGTCAAAATGAAAAACTGTGATAACTGCATTTGTAGAAAATTATCTCAGCTACAACATATCAAAATTGAGAAGAAAAATGATCAATATCTACAGAGATACAATCAATTTTCCAAAAATATGCATGCGTCATAATATGCAAATTTAAATTTTGAGTTTGGAGGCCATTATGATGACATTATGACTTAATTGAGGGTCAAATGAGACATGAAATCATATCTCCATTTCACAATCTATCCAAATATTAGGAGTTTCGATCTATTCTCAAGAGTTACAATGAATTTTATATAGGCATGTTTTTGCTCATGTATTGTGGATAAAGATAACGCAAATCCGCGCGTGCTGTCAACTTTGACGGACGCTCATTGCGTTAATAAAAGGTGAACAATTATCAAAATGCTTGGAAAAATGTGCCAAATATGATGACAGAAAAAATTCGGCGATTCTATGTTGCAAAATGCCAGTACGCGCGGAAACGCGCACGCATGCGCGTGTGCGCGATTTTTTTGCGAAATGCTTTAAATGGCCTGAAACGTATGCAAAAAAATTTAAGACGATTTAGAGTATTTTAAATTTTTGCGCGCGCATTAACGCGCGCACGAACGCGTACACGCGCGTTTACGCACGTTTATTGACCTTAAATTGACCGGACGGATATTGATCTTAATCATGATAAATATGAATGAAAAATTACTATTCGTTATGAAGATATGATCATTACTTAATTTTCACAAAATGGCGCCTGGATGACGTCACGATGACTTTGAGTCTTTGAAAATTCACGCAGTTCTAAGTTAGACTAAGATCTATCATCATTGAAAGATTCATAACAATGGCTTTATTCAGTCTTGAGATATCCTGCGAACAAATTCGAGGAAGAATAATAGGAAGAAGAAACTAGATTTTAATTCGTCACTTAGACGAATTAGGTGATATGTATGATAATGGTTTACATAACGAATAATGCATTACACGATATATTATTTTATAAAATGCTTCTCCCATTTATATGCTTCTCCCATTATGATCTATCCATATGTCAAGATTAAATTGTGTCTCCTTGATCATCATGGATCTAGGGAAGATAGATTGAAACAATGTATGACCTTTGACTCTGTGCAGTAACCAGTTACACATTTGACTCTAATTTACATCATGAAGAACACCTTTTGACGATTTTATCTTATTCAAAGAAATGAAAATGTAATTGATAAATGATTATCATCATTATGATAATGATAATCATGATGATAATGATCATGATCATGAGCGCGATCCTGACATCTTATTGAAAAAATAAGGGTTGATTTAGATAGCATATAGTCTCAGCTACAACATACTTAAAAATCACTAAAATTCAAGCAGAAATAACGGCGATATTGCTCGCAAAAGACAGAAATGTAGAATCCAGATTTGAGAAAAAGTCATCTCCCATAGGGATTACACGCAAAAAGTAATGGATTAAGTGAAAATAGGGTAATAATAAACTAAAAAGGGTTGTTTATGACATTATTTGCGATTCTACGTGTTTAAATAATCAAAGGAGATGGTACAGTAAAAGGTCAAAAGGAAAAAAAAGTGGAGAAAAAATTGTTGGAGACACCCGGACTCGAACCAGGGATCTCGAGGTTGGAAGTCAAGTGCGTTATTGATATACCAAAACATCTCCCTTAGCGATTACACGTAAACGGGAAATGGAATTCTGAAGTCCTACTTTGCAAGTGAAATATGAGCATGATCCCGGCATATGATCGAGAAAAAAAGTGTACACTGGAGATAGCTTATTGTCTCAGCTATAATATACTCTAAGCTCAGCAAAAACAAAGCTAAAACAACGGAGATATTGCTCGCGAAAGAGGGAAATGTAGAATCCAGTTTTGAGAAATAGTCATGTCCCATAGACAATACACGCAAAATGTGAAAAATTGACATGCCTCCTTTAATCGCAAAAATACGACATGATACCTTTGTCAAACCGGAAAATTGTGGGCACTGCATTTGTAGAAAATTATCTCAGCTAGAACATATCAAAATTTGCAAGAAAAAAAAATCAATATTTACAGAGATACAATCAATTGTCCAAAAATATGCAAACGTCATAATATCAAAATTTAAATTTTGAGTTCGGAGGCCATTATGATGACGTCATGAGTTAATTGAGGGTCAAATGAGACATGAAATCATATCTCCAACTCATAATCTATCCACATATGAACAAATATTGGGAGTTTCTATCTATTCTAAAGAGTTAAAATGAATTTTGTATAGGCATGTTTTTGCCCATGTATAGTAGATAAAGATAACGCAGATCCGCGCGTGCCGTAAACTTTGACGGACGCTCATTGCGTTATTAAAAGGTGAACAAATTATCAAAATGCTTGGAAAAATGTGACAAATACGATTACAGAGAAAATTCGGCGATTCTATTTTGCAAAATGCTAGTACGCGCAAAAAACGCGCGCGCATGCGCGTGTGCATGATTTTTTGTCAAATGCTCCATATGGCTTGAAACATATGCAAAACAAATTTGGGATGATTTGGAGCATTTTAAATATTTGCGCGCGCGTAAACGCGCGGACGAACGCGCACGCACAAATTTGAGCACGTTTATTGAACTGAAATTGATCGGACGGATATTGATCTTCTTCCTGATAAATATGAATGAAAAATTACTTTCCGTTATGAAGATATGATCATAACTTGATTTTCACAAAATGGCGCCTAGATGACGTCATGATAACTTTGAGTCTCTGAAAAGTCACACAGTTATAAGTTAGACTAAGATCTATCATCATTGAAAGTTTCATGATAATGGCTTTATTCAGTCTTGAGATATCCTGCGAACAAATTCGAGGAAGAATAAAAAGAAATAACTAGACTTTAATTCGTCACTTAGACGAATTAGGTGATACGTATGATAATGGTTTACATAACGAATAATGCATTACACGATATATTATTTTGTAAAATGCTTCTTCCATTTATATGCTTCTCCCATTATGATCTATTCATATGTCAAGATTAAATTGTGTCTCCTTGATCATCATGGATCTAGGGAAGATAGATTGAAACAATATATGACCTTTGACCCTGTGCAGTAACCAGTTACACACTTGACTCTAATTTACATCATGAAGAACACCTTTTGACGATTTTATCTTATTCAAAGAAATGAAAATGTAATTGATAAATGATTATCATTATGATAATGATGATCATGATGATAATGATCATGATCATGAGCGCGATTATGACATCTTATTGAAAAAATGAGGGTTGATTTAGATAGCATATAGTCTCAGCTACAACATACTCAAAAATCAACAAAATCCAAGCAGAATTAACGGCGATATTGCTCGCAAAAGACAGGAATGTAGAATCCAGATTTGAGAAAAAGTCATCACCCATAGGGATTACACGAAAAAAGTAATGGATTTAGTGAAAATAGGGTAATAATAAAGAAAAAGGGTTGTTTATGACATTATTTGCGATTCTATGTCTTTTAATAATCAAAGGAGATGGTACAGTGAAGGTCAGGAGGAAAAAAAAGTGAAGAAAAAAAATTGTTGGAGACACCCGGACTCGAACCAGGGATCTCGAGGTTGGAAGTAAAGTGCGTTACCGATATACCAAAACATTTCCCATAGCGATTACACGTAAACGGGAAATGGAATGCTCAAATCTCATTTCGCAAGTGAAATATGAGCATGATCCCGACATATGATCGAAAAGTAAAGTGTACACTGGAGATAGTCTCAGTTACAACATACCCACAGCTCAGCAAAAACAAAGCTAAAACTAGACTTTAATTCGTCACTTAGACGAATTAGGTGATACGTATGATATTGGTTTACATAATGCATTACACGATATCATATTATTTTATAAAATGCTCCTCCCATAATGATCTATCCATATGTCAAGTTTAAATTGTGTCGATCCCTTGATCATTATGGATCTAGGGAAGATAGATTGAGACAATATATGACCATTGACTCTGTGCAGTAACCAGTTACACTATTGACTCTAGTTTACATCACGAAGAACGCATTTTGACGATTTTTATCTTATTCATAGAAATGAAAATGTAATTGATAAATAAGAGCTTATGCCTGAATAATTAAAAATGAATAGTGTATGACGTCACGATGTCCCGGCGTAAATGAAAAGTGTGAGAATACATTAGCGATCATTTTGAGTTGTCGACGTGAGATTCACTAGTTGCTTGAAAATAAAATCTTTAAATATCGGATGGATATATACTGTCACTGTATAAGAAATGTGGATTAGAGGGATATTGATCCGTCAGTCTTTCTTGAAGGCTTGTCAATTAAAGGAATACAAAGATTTGAATGTATTTTGCTCAAGAAATTACATACAGCATTGCCAGTAAATTTCACGGGATCAATGTTAAAATCTCCCATTATATAAACCTGTTTATGTTCAGTATGTGTTTTTTGTAAAACATTTTCAAAGACAGGGATGAAATCATTGACATTTGATTGGGGTTTCCTATATATGACACCTACAATAATATTATTATGTCTCGGAAAAAATTGCTTTCAATAAACAGTGATTCATAGTTGTATGATGGGTATAATATAAATATATCATTGCGTATTTCATATTCAAAATTGTCAGCGACCAATAGACCAACACCTCCACTCTTTTGTACTTGGCGATTAAATTGTATAAATGAATGACCAGATACATTGAATAATAGTGGCGTACTATCATTAACCCAAGTTTCTATACATAAGTACAGATGAAATTGGATAAAGCATTACAATGTATGTTAAAACTACGCGAATTAAAATGTAAAATACTAAAATGATAGTTAATGTTACTGAATTCAGTCGTAAAATCCTCATCAATATAATATTTACAGTTCAGAAACCTACTGAAATGAAACTCATATTCTTTTTCGGATAAATAGTTTAAACCATTGATATCAGTATAAGTATTTGGAGTATTACTACCAAATATTGAATGAAGTTCGTCATTATTCAAGTCTTGAATAGGAAATGAACAATGAGAACAGAGTGGGTTATTAATGTAGCCGAATGCTCATGTTCTCTATAACGCTCATTTTATGTATTTTATTACCAGAGAAAAAAAGATGTCAGTCAGTCACTCAATAGTGTCAGAGAGTAAAGTCTAGAAAGTAAAAGGGTTTCCTTACATAATTTCAATACGAGGACACTGCTAACGTTTAAGTTTCACAAATAGGACATACGTGACATATTCATCATTTCAACATTCAACTGAAAATTGTGATATGATCTCATCATCTGATCAAAAAACTAAAAAGCACCGTTTTTATAGCCCATGGTCTCAGCTATAACATACCCAAATTTGGGAGAAAACAGAGCACAAATGAGCGAGATAGTGCTGAAAGATGGATGTGATGTAGATTCATAGTGTGGACAAAATTCACCCTCCATAGACATAACACGCAAATGACGAAAATTCTGACATGTGGCCCTAAATTGAATTTTGTACTAGGATGACATCATTTAAATGAAAATTGGTGTAAACCGATCTCGAAGGCGATTGCCTCGACTACAACATATTAAAATCTAGAAGAGAATCGATGAATATTAAGAGAAATACACTAAATTTTCCATAAACATAATGACGTCATAATATGCATTTTTGTATTTTTGACTTCCAAAGCCATTATGATGACGTCAAGATGTACTTAATGGCCAAATGAGATATGCAATCATACCTTCGACTCATACTCTATCTAAATATGGAAAAAAAATTGGCAGTCCTTATTCATATCAATGGACTTTTTATGGGCATGTTTTTGCCCATAAACGCTATGTAATACAAAAATCGCGCGTGCGGACGGTTATCTTGAACGGACGCTCGTTCCGTTATTAATAGTGATAAAGAGATAAACTTGGTATCAAATTGTTCGGAAAATTATGAGGAATATCCTGTCAAAAGTTTTTGCGGAGGAATTATTTTTCGTTCGGCCGTGACGAACGAAAACGTCCAAAAATGCGTGTTTTGCGCGATTTTTTTATGAAATGCTTATAATGGCCTGAAACGTATGCAAAAAAAATTTAAGACGATTTTGAGCAATTTTAAATTTTACGCGCGCATTAACGCGCGCACCTACGCGTACGCGCATTTTTGCGCGCATTTATTGATCTGAAATTGACCCGACAAATATTGACCTTCATCATGACAAATATGAATGAGAAATGGCTTTCTGTTATGAAGATATGATCATAAGTTGATTTTCACAAAATGGCGCCTGGATGACGTCACGATGATTTTGAGTCTTTGAAAAGTCACGCAGTTCTAAGTTAGACTAATATCTATCATCATTACAAGTTTCATGATAATAGCTTTATTCATTCTTGAGATATCTTGCGAACAAATTCGAGGAAGAATAATAATAAAAACTAGACTTTAATTCGTCACTTAGACGAATTAGGTGATACGTATGATAGTGGTTTACATAGCGAATAATGCATTACACGATATATTATTTTGTAAAATGCTTCTCCCATTTATATGCTTCTCCCATTATGATCTATTCATATGTCAATATTAAATTGTGTCTCCTTGATCATCATGGATCTAGGGAAGATAGATTGAAACAATATATGACCTTTGACCCTGTGCAGTAACCAGTTACACATTTGACTCTAATTTACATCATGAAGAACACCTTTTGACGATTTTTATCTTATTCAAAGAAATGAAAATGTAATTGATAAATGATTATCATCATTATGATAATGATGATCATGATGATCATGATCATGATCATAAGCGCGATCATGACATCTTATTGAAAAAAAAGAGGGTTGATTTAGATAGCATATAGTCTCAGCTACAACATACTCAAAAATCAACAAAATCCAAGCCGAAATAACGGCGATATTGCTCGCAAAAGACAGGAATGTAGAATCCAGATTTGAAAAAAAAAGTCATCTCCCA